TTATTGCCTTACGTTGCCTGTTAATTGTTTATTTTTTGCTGATTTTCTTTTCCAAAACAGCCAATGGCGGACCCGAATCGAAGGAAATGGGTAGCAGTGACGATTCTATAGATCTGAGGCACAAATTAGAGGAAATATTGAAATTAATGTTGCTGATATGGTGTCGAGAAAATAAAGCGCTGAACTTAGTGTCTTCAGAAAACAAGAACGGTTTGTATCTGTACTTGCACTAATCCACTAACTTTTTTGAACTGGTACCATGATTATAAATAAAGGAAATGATAATGTTATCCCGCAGATAATATTGCCAAAACTACCAAAACTAATATAATGTAATTTCCATGGCACACAGTGGTCGGATTTGTTAAAAATGTGGCAATAACGACCTTGCCGAATTTTCCCTTGATTTGTGTTATTTTTCTTCTATTTTTTTTTGTCTTTTTTACTTGTGTTTTATATTTTTTTATTTATTCATTTTTTTTATCAATGAAGACCATTTAATATTATTACTGATTTACTAGCAACCAATGTTCTGAGAGATGCGTCACAGAGAAAATCTTTTTTGACATTAACTTCAATTTCCAGCTAATAATCTATGTAATAAATGTGATTGTCAAATTCAAATTCATACAAATTTACACTTAAATTTTGGTAAGTTCTAAAATTTAAAAAAAAAACATTTTTTTTCACTTATTTAACGTTCTGTAATCAATATTCAACAATATTAAAGACAGGCCTTGATGGTCGCGTTGATGTATGCCATTCAAAAACTTGCATGCAAAGACGTTCCCTAGGTCTGCATATAGACACACCTACAAAATCTGCAGTTGTTTGTTTACACTAATGTGCTTAAAATGAAGAATAAAGAAATAAAACCGGCCACGTGTCATTTAAAGAATGTCTAAGACGGAATGGCAAAAACGGACTAAATTTCTCACGACGGCAAAAATTTGGTGCTTGCGTTTTTTTTTTAAAGTGCCTTCAGGTACGCTCTTTTCCATACATATTAACATTGTACTGGGTTGAACGCGCGAATATCAATGTCTGAAGGGGTCTTAAAACTTTAATATGAATATTAACAATGTAGGAAATGACGAAAATTTTTTCAGTTGTACCATGCTCGATTTTTAGTATCCACAAGTATAATAATAATAATAAAACTGTTTTATTTCAATTCGCTTTTACAAAAATAAAGTGAAATACCGTCGACAACAATGATTAATCCACTTATATAACTAAGGTATTCTCCGAGTGAATTTAAATAATATGAGAATAAAATAATAAATATAAAATTTCTGATTTCACAAAATTTTAAATTTTTACTATCGATGTATATTGTTAGCAACAATAATTAATAACATTAATCCACCTAATCATGATATATCAACACTTTATTTTATGTAAGGTGTGGAGCTTTATAGGCAAAATAAAAATATTATGTTTATAATAATATGGCACACATGAAAAATTGTAATTTTCTTTACTATATAAAATCGTGATATTTAAAAGTTTGAAATGTCATTCATCCAATTGTAAATCGGTAACGAAGATTGAATGCTATGAAGATTCACCCGTCCCCCAAGTTAGCTAAACTTATTTGCCAGACTTCAAAACTTTGAAGTTCTCGGTATTCGTTCATCCATTCATCTATTGGCGGAATATTATGTTGTCGTCACTATTCTTTAATCCCGTATCTAATTTTAAAATGTTATTATAACATCGATAAAATTAAATTGCCAAGTCCCGATATTAAATATAATGAGCGGAAATAGCGCTTACGGCCACATCCTGCTTTGCCAATGTTAATTTATAAAACAAATCAGATATTTTAGGTATATCTACTTAGCGATGTTTGTGCAAGCACAAAATCATACCTGTAGCTTGCTTGCTTCGTCAAAGTCAAATTATGAATCTCGGAAAGCGTAATAGACCCGCAGATTCCCTTAGGGAAAAATTGCGTTATTGTCGAAAAAAAGGGTTTACAGAATTCTAAAATTTCGATTTCCGTAGCTGATGGAATATTTCTGGCATATTTTCCGACACAAAAATGGTATATTCAAAATCTAATCTGCCCGCACTATGAGTTCATAAAATATACACACTAATTGAGATTTTATAAGCGAGTCCTATAGAAAAACTATTGTTTGCTTGCTTAACGCTTATTTAAAAAATATAAATTAGACTAAAATTTTCATTTAATTTTTGAGATATAAATTTCGAAATTGTAACATCTAAGCGAGATATGAACATTTTGCTCGTTCGTGATATCGTTTATTCCATAAAACAGATTAGATTAGACTTTTTTTCCCGGGTTTTATTTCTTTTACTAGTTGAAGGTTAAATAAACCTTGCAATGTCTTGTTTTTCTTAAACCACCATTAACTTTCTTTTCTCTTGCCGACAGCATACTGACCATTTGGAGATATTTGTTCAGATACATTGCCGACGTCTTAAATTATCAAAATTTGGTTTACATGTAACGGATTGATATCGTATATTATATGAGGCGACAAGTTTAATAAACTCCATTTCAGTCAAGAGTTTCACATGGCAAGAGCGGTGCAGGTGCCTAATAAACGAGTGCTAAGTGTTACACGCTATACTTTTCCTACGACCATTTGCTTTCGGATATATTTTTGCGAAACTGAAAGAATGCGTAACTCTTGTATTGGAACGTCCAAAACCCCTCGCGCCCATGGCTAAAGAAGCTTTAGTGTAGGCAGTAGTATCAAATATTTGTTTAGTTTTGGTTAGTACTTTCAATACTTGGTTACAGATAGGTTCAAATATATTTCATTGGACTGATTGACGATACCCAAGTGTGTCCTAATTTGAGCTACCCTGCATCCTTTTCCTAATTACATTAGCAAAGTGAAAACAAGATTTCTGTACTTCCTGTATACGTTCATTGTCTAGAAATACCTGCATAGTTTTTCAATCCCATTTTTGTTTTTTTTTTAATAACATAACTAATTATGTTGCAGTATTTATCGTTAGGTTGTGTCTATTTTGCTTGCGCTCAATGTTCTAGCGAAAATGAGTGTCGTTTTGGGAAGTACCCCGTATTGCTTAAGTCATTCTCAAATCTGGGCTTTTATAATTTTTTCAATAACTTTAAAGAGGCATGAAAGACTACTTACTGGTCTTAAAATATTAACATGTTGGATAATGCAGTTAGATAAATATTTTTAAGCATGCAGGTATTGATAGTATTAGTTAAATATGCTAGAAAATAAGTTTGACTACATCAGAACCTATAGCAAAGGATTTTGTTGTCATTAGCGTTTTTGAACCTCTTCAATTGTAAAAGTTCGGAACAAAAATAGGTTTTTAAAATGTGCATTGCAATAGTGAAGAAGGTCGGAATCTATAACTGATTTGCAACTAACTGGTCGGTTTCACTGCTCCATTGCCAATAGTTAAATTTCAACCATCTGATAAAATAATAATAATAATCTTTATTGTCTAACAGATTTACATCGATTTAGAAATCAATTTTATCTCCCGAACAATAAACTATGACTATAATAACTATTCAACTATATTCACTCCAGCAAAGTAATTCAATGTAAGAGACTAAGTCAAAAAAAAAACGTCAATATCGTTACAGAAGAATAATTTGATCAACTGATAGAGAGAACCTTTGATAAAAAATTGCTTCTTGGAGTTACTAGGGTTACAGTCCTTACAGTCCCTGAAGGAACATGAAAATTCAACTGGCTGAGCAACTCAGGGCAATCCACTGATGAATTACAAAGTTTATATAAAAACTGAAATGGAATGTAACTCCTACCAATCAACAGTGAGGGAACCTTAAACATTAGTAATAACTCAATCTGTGGCAATTTGAATGGTGTACCTGCTAAATATTGGCTGCCACACGGTTGAACTGTACTCTACTTTTGAACGTACATAACACAACAGTTTTAAAGTATGTTGCAAAATCTATACAATTTCTCATAGCATTTTGAATTCACCTCGACGTTCATCTGAAGGAGAATTGTGTGTCAAACCTTACACCCAGGTCATTAAAGCAGTCTCATTTTCTTATCCAGATGGTAATTAGAATCACGCCAAGAACCAGTCCAAATCATTCTGCAGAGACACACAATCGACCATACCATCAATTATTCTAAACAATTTGACATCATCAGCAAAGAGCAAAATTTGACCATCAATATTAGCTACTATATCTATGGCGCTAAATTGCTACCCTGGGGAACGCTGCTACTAGCCGTGAACTTAAGCCGTGAGAGACCGCTGAGCTCCACATACTCCAGATATGACTTTATGAATGCCACAAGATCACCACAAAATCCGAGCATCCTCAGTTTAAAGAGCAGTACTGTGTGGTCCAGCTGGTCAAAGGCTTTTGTCCGTGTATAGCACATCCATCCGCTTCCCGTCGTCCAAAGCGTTAGCAGTGAATTCTTCGACCTTTAAAGAAACCGTGTTGTTTGTGGGTTTCCAAGTGTTTCATTTGACTGAAAATACTATCATGCTGAAAGCCCTCGCAAAAGGCGATATTATCGGCCTGTAATTGGATATATCAGATGCTTTTACCTTCTTTAGGTCGGGAGTAATTCTAGTCTCCTTTCTGGGAAGCTATTTGTTACTAGGGCTAAGTTAAAAATAAGACACATGGGTTTAACCAAAGCATGTGCTCAATCTCGCACAAACAAACAAGGAAATATTGTCAGGACTACACCACCACCACTTTGTATTGTTGTATGTTGGTAATATTGTATGTTGGTAATATTCAACGCAGGATGATATGGATTAGAAACAACTAAGTTGATAGAAGCTACGGAAATTCATAAAACTATTAATTCTATATTTCACTATCTATACTAGTGATATATGCATCCTTGTCTATTATTTATCTTATTCTAACTGACTTAGGGGTCATTAATGCTTTTTATATCACTTGGACTGCTAAATTAATACTAGGTTTTTACGTCAAAAGTGGGTTACAGATTTAATACACATTTGAATTTCAGAATGTGACAAAACCGTAATCGTTCGCCGCGAGTCCGGTGAATTCGGGTTTCGAATTCACGGTTCGAAACCGGTGGTCGTCTCCGCCATCGAACCGGGAACTCCTGCGGAATCATCCGGATTAGAAGTAGGAGACATCGTCCTATCTGTAAACGGGGTCAGTGTCTTGGACAAGAGCCACTCCGAGGTAGTCAAAATTGCCCACGCCGGGAGTGATATCTTGAAATTAGAGGTAGGTTAGGCAATAAAATGTTAATTGAGGCACAAGGCGCACAATTAGAATGAACAATCACCACCTGCAGCAACAAAGCTATGGAAGAATAGACCGTTTAATTGTTCAAAAACTTAATTAAATGCTAAAATCAGCTTGCAAAAAAATCAAGACGAACCAAAACATTTTATTCACTGAGCATAACACCCGCCTAGCAGTTTTTCGTTTTTTTTTACATTTTTTTGCACGATCATAATTATGATGATTTCTTACTTTTTTTTCATATCTTAGAACGCTATGCACAGTGATCGGGTCAAGAATGGGAAAATAATTTTTACGATATCTGCTAACTGAAAATCGATTTCTACTTCTAACATACGACCACCGGTATGACACATAAATAACATAAATAATCACAAAAAATCAAGAGTTAATTCCGCCATCACAGGGGTCACATAACATTTGTCAAAATCGATTTCTAGGATATAAACGTGCACAATTAATTGTGAATATAATGTTTCCGACTCGTTCTTATGAACAAATAAATACATAAACAACTGCTTTTACTGAAGAAAAAATCGATTTTGTTATGTTTATAATAACATATAATTTTAATCAAAATATAATTACTTCGCCATTGCAACAGAATATGAATGGTACTCAACCCCCAGGGACTTCAGCTCAAAGACCCAACTCTAACCTAATTTTCTCTTTGTTCCAATACAGATTACCCATTATATTACAAAAAAAAACAAATTTTTAAATCAAATTAATATAAAGAAAATTAAAAAAAAAACATTTAACACTGAAGTCGTTTCCCACCCAATTTACATAAAACAAACATTATTGTTGCTTACTCAATAGAGGGACCACTTATATTATTTTTTGTCCAATAGAAACTATTACAATTTGATTTAATTTTTAATATATATTTTTAATATCAAAAACCAAACGTGGCGATGGTTCCATGCATTCAGTTTCTCAAGACAGATTTCAGTCGGATTGCATTTAATAATTTTTACAATACATTAACATAAACGATAGTTTAACCGGAACAACTATAGTTTAAATTATTTTTAACGTTCAGGTAGCAAGGACTTGTTACGCGCTGAATACAGCCAAAGAGGAACATTCCAATTCGGGCGCCCTCTACAACGGCTATCTGTGGAAACTCAGCGGGTATGCTAGCGGAACGACAACAAACAAGTGGATACGAAGATGGTTTTGTCTCAAGCAAAACAACTGCCTTTATTATTATAAGACTGATGCTGTACGTACATCGGCGGTTCCTGCTAGCCTAAACCATTAAGCTGGCATGTTTTTAGGAAAAACAACCTGTAGGTGTAGTAATGCTATTTGACCAAGAAATAAACAGACTCAGCGACGATGAAGGAGGATTATCAAAACCGCACCGATTTGTTATCCAACGGCAAGGAGGTGTACCCCTCCATCTGGCGGCGGATACCGAGAATGCGAAAAATAGATGGGTATGATTTGAATTGATGTTCGCAAAATCTAAAAATCTTTTTCCCCTTGTTACCGTACATTTTTAAATAGTTCATGCTTTTTATACTTTCTTTTATTTAACCACCATTTTTTAAATAAAAACTACAAATACATTGCAGTATCATTTTTATTCAATTTTTCAATAATCCGTAGTTGGATCGATCTTTTTTTTTAATAACTGGACAAAATGGCTAAAGTAAATTCTAATTGCAAACAAATTCATTGATATGGCAAACACCTAGGTATTAAATGTTAATACGAGGATTGCTCAATAAGAAAGAAAATAGGAAAAACATTTTTTTCGGCATTTTTTTTATTTTTCATCACCATAAACCTTACCATCCGACTTGACAGTCTTCGCCTATTTTAGAGTCAGTACTTAAACAGCTGACTATAGTTAGGAGTATTACTGATTACTTATTGAACGACCCTCGTAATACGGTGTTCACAATTTGTCAAAGTAATTAACTAAAATAAAAATCACATTTTTCATTTTAGCATTATTAGTGGGATTATATTAAAAAGATGTTTCGTCAAAAGATTATAATCATGCATATTACTTTTTCACACATTTTATTCTTATTTTAGTATGCTCGTGACGCGATTAATGCAACTGAGAGTCAAAAATTATTATTTATTTATTATTACTTAACAGTGAGGTAACAATATTCTATTTTACATTGTGTGCAACATTTTGTTTGTTCTAATTGATGTTATATGTATATCTTACTTACTTACACTCTTTTTTTATCGCCTTATAGGTAGAAGTAATCTTAAAAGCCATTAGCGATAGTCAAATAGTAGACGAGTTCATAGAAGAGACGAAGAGGAACTTGACGCTGCCGCCGAGTGCGATGAACCAGACGGATTGTTTTGGGTACCTTATTAAATTGGGTAATCAATGGAAATCTTGGAGCCGACGGTACTGCGTGCTCAAGGACGCCTGTATGTTTTTCTATGTGGACGCGAATGCCAAAAATGCTTTCGGTATGAGGACAAAACTTTAAACGATAAAAAATTGAGCGTCAATCGGACCAAAAATATTCACCTACATCATAGAAAGCTTTACTATATCTACAATAAAAATGAAAAGTTTTAGGTCAATCTACAGGATTTATTTTGTAATTTGTAATGTTTGGACTTATCATATCGGCACAAAATACTTATATTGTAATATATAGAATTAGCAGGAGCATATACTTGACAAATTCTTAACAAAATCAAATTATTCGATAACAGGGGATCGTATGTACTACTCCACTAGTTGATTTTTTGAATTTGAATTAATTTTGTTTTAGTTTCTTGAAACAAAGCTCCACAAACAAGAGTTATTTTGTGTCGAAACCTATCGCTGAGATGGCAATAGTAATATGTATTTCGCAACAAAATAATACAAACAGTATCACGCTTTATGGTTGCAAAAAATTGGTTGAAAACAATTACAAACTGTTCAACCCCGAGACACTGAAAGTAATATTCAAATAGATACTTGCATATTAGTTTCGATCCTTACCAAGCCATAAATGAAAAAGTTTTCTACAGTTGGAAATAAAAATAGTACACAAAAAAAAAACAAAAATAGCTAATGAAAAACATAACAAAAAAAGAAAATCCCGCTCTGTACAGAGTCTAAGTTTAAATAAGTTTAAACCTAAGCATTTTACTTTTTCCGGAACTCAACCCTCCAAAGAATCACAAATAACAGATAACTTTATTTAAATGACGAGAATAATTTTCAAAAAGAAGATTTCCAAACAATTAGATTTAATAATACTTAATTGTTTTCAGGTGTTGCTTATTTGCATGGATACAGGGTACAGCCAGCGTCGGTCAGCAAAAAACACGCATTCGAACTAATACCCCCTGATCCAGGCAAAAAACATTACTATTTCCACACAGAATCAGATGCGGATAGAAAGAGGTTGGTGAAACACATTCCAAATATGTTTTTGCCAAAACAATTTAAAAAAAAAGTTTGTGTTTCCTTTTTCAGGTGGATTACAGCCTTAGAATATTCTATCGACAGGTGGCTAAAAATCTCACAATGAAAGACTTCAATATAAATATTTAATCTTGTGTAAGCTGTGCGTTTTTGTTAGATGCCATTGTTTTTACGTGTTTATATAAATTATATCACCCAGAGAAAAATAATGTACAGAAAATTTATTGCATGTTTTTTATTGCAGATCATTTATTGCTCAAATTATGGATTAATGTTTGTATTTGTTTATAGATTTATTTATACATAAAAAATTACAAAAATAAAATGTGCACTGCCAAGAATTAAATGTTAAATAAAATACAAAACAATTTTTCTAACAAGGGATCTTTTTATTGTCATGAGCGGTTCAGCTGCAAGTAAAATCATTGTAACCTTATTGTTGAAAATTGAAGCAATCGGTTGCAATTGATTGAACTTTTTTGGGCGTTTACGTAAAAACAGTTGTTCTTCTGTCACCTAAAAAATATGTGAAAAATCAACTTAATAGTATTATAACAATCGATGGACGACGTCTTCAGTTATGAGTCTGGCACTATCAAGTCAAATATGAGAAGATTACTTACCTTGTACTAATCCTACTTTCTTGGAAAAACGCTCCAAACTTTATGTAGCGATCCAGAAACTACTAACAGTTCTTAAAATATCTATGGAAATTTTAAAATTGTTGTTTTAAGCAATATATACTACAGATACCTAGTCGATGCTGATCATATGGCCACTTTTGATATTGCGCATGTGGAGATGTGGCATATTTTCGGCAGTATTTTGTCAAGAAATGCCGGATCACATTAATTTTTTCACAGAAAAAATGAGCTCGGTAAGTGGAGATAGTTCTTCAGAAAAAAATGCTGCAAAGTGCAGGTTCGTTTATAAAATTTAGGAGAATGCTCCTTCTGTAGGAAAATGTCATAGCCGCCTGGGGTGCATCAATTTTACGGTATTCAAGTTCTAGGGAAACTGTTCCTAAATAAATATTTTACTCCATAAATGATCGATGAATAAAGTACAAACATTTTTTCACTTTTTGGTGGATTTTTCGGAATTTTTTCTTTGAGGTATGAAATAATGACAAGTATGACACCACAAAGCTTCATAAAGTGTTTGGTAGTAGGGCACTAATTAAGTTTGTGCAACAACATTATTCTTTCTTAAAATTTTATCAAGTTCTAACTAAACAATGTTTCCGAATATTTAAATTCTTCAATTCAATTCAAAGAAGTTTATTAAGTTGCGTGACTTTCAAAATTATCATCACAAAATTCGGTTCTATGAAATTATCTAGCTGGCCGTTTGACAGCATTAATACACCCGCTTAAAAGTGTATTTTTGGAAAATTCGCGATTTCCGTCCGTTCCAATTCCAGTTTTATTAATAGAATCGTTTTAGAGTCGTTTTAAACTAAGATTAATATAAACGTCGGAAGGTCTTCGATGCTTTCACGCATGTCTATGCTTTTGGAGTATTTTATTTTCTAGATTTATATTTGGTATCTTCGTGAAAATTCACCTGGTGGGATAAAACTGTTACTATCAAAAATTGGATATTTTTTACCAATACCGACGAAGGTCACGGAGGCACTTTCGGTTGTCATGGAAGCACTTCGTATTTTCAATTCTTTGAAAAATTATTCTAAATATGTTTTATGGCCCTTATTGCTTATGAGATATTTAACAGATACCTACTCTTTGTCAAAAATTACATTTGTACACTGAATATCAAATATTTCATATACCTAAATCAATTAAAACTTCACTTCTGTAAGTTAAAAATGTAAAATTTAAATCAAACCACAATCAGTTTAGGTTTAAATTTAATAAAAATGGGTGCAAAACTTATTTTTCCAAATGAAAACCCCAACATTCTTAATATATTTGTCTTATTTTCCATTAAAAATATTACCGTTTGAAACTAATAAATTAACCCTACCCACAAGAGCTAACGAAATATTTCAAAATATTTTATTTAGTAACAAATCTTTGCTATTTGTATTTTCCCTTTGCGCGCTACTGTACCTAATAAAATAAACACGAATCATCTGCAAACTTTTTGGATACTGACACTGACCTTGAATGAACGCGTAGGTATTTAAGCAAGCATTGTAATGCATGGAGTAAGAACTTTTATGTCTGTGCCGCGCCTCAACAAAAAATCAATAGACTATGAAAAATTGTTTTCGACTGTGCTCCAACAGGTTTAACCTTTAGCTTCGAGTATAATCGGTTGTGTTGACAGTGTTTCTATAAAGCAATTTTATTTAAACACATGAAAAACGTGAACTGTATATAAGGTATAAACCACTCCCGCCAATTAAAAACCATCGAGTCATAATAGAAAATACATTTCTTTTGGACCTTCACGCCCTTATCGATCTCGACATTTATCGATTAAACCAATGCAAACACAGTGGAAAAATAATTTATTTGCACAGTTTTTTTAACGCAATAAGTTATTTTAGCTTGTTTTGTGTTCATTAATGTTGTTAAAATCACGCTTTCGTTTTAGGGGAAAATAATGGATCTACTTTTTTAACAACTTTAAAGGAAGACTTTTTTTTTGTTGAGATTGTCTTGCTCCGTTTTTCCGATGACGCGAAAACAACAGCAAAACGTATTTTCCGTGAATTCGGCAATATAAATATTATTTTGTCAACGATGAAAATTATTACCTAAATAACTTTCGAACCAATCCTTCACATTTTTATTGGCCGGCTTATCCGGCTTATCTTAACGCACTGTACGTCTAACTCAATGTGATGTACGATTTCCAGATAAAAAGAGTTTTGTAGCGAGTATATGCACAAAACGCTGAATTTCATGTAAACTACATACAGAATCTGCATGTAACTGGTTCGTATACATTGGGAGAATTTTTAAATATACTTAATACTTAACTGTGCTCTAACATTGACGACTTACAGCACAATCAAGTTGCGTTCAAAGTGTTTCAATAAAGCAACTTTCTTTAAAGACAACCACATAAAACTGTTGTATGGGGTACAAACCTCTCCCACTAATTGGAAACCATCGAATCACAACAGCAAATATATTTCTTTTAGACCTTTACGCCTTTATCGATCCCAACATTTATCGATTGAAACAACGCAAACACAGTGGAAAAATAATTTATTTGCACATTTTTCTAGGTCAGTGTGTGGCACATCACCACTGTACAAATACACAATGGTGGTTACAAAAATCGCAACACTTAGAATGGAAGCGTAATAACAACGGTTAGACGGTTTGACAAAAAAATGGGAATATAAGAAATAAGGATATTTTTAATCTAAACATATCAAACAACGAAACAAATTATCATTATAAGTTGGGTACAAACTAAGAAGGCTACACATTACAACCGTTATAAACAGGAATAAAATTGTCGGCCAATACAAAACTGGAAGGCAATTAGGAAGAACTCGTAGGAAAAGAACATGAAAATTTTTTTAGTAGGCACTTATTGCGTTTCAGTAAATGAGGCACCAAGTGATTCCTTAATTTTATTAACTTCGATCAATTTAGATATCAGGGCGGTTGAATTTTATAATTGTATTGAGTTAAGTTATGCATAATGTACTGACCGAATTTTAACTGGTTAAAAATATATCTCTGAATATTATAAATATAAATAATAATCGATTTTATAGTTCTTCAAAAAAAATTTATTGGTTCCCTGTATTTAACTAATTTATTTTAACTTCTTTTGTGTTCACTAATGTAGTCAAAATCACCCGTGGAAAAGTTTTGTTCAACGATTAAAAGCGTGAGTTGAGTATTATTAAGATCGTCTTGTTCGGCTTTTTTGGATGAACCGAGCAGCAAACGTATTTTCTGGGAATTCGGCAATATACAAATTTTTATGTCAGCCATGTGGATACGAAAGCGCTTCAAATTATTAACAGTGTAGTATTGATTTCGTATTTATCCTACCTATTTAGGTAGGATAAATACGAAATCAATCAAAGTTATTTAACTTTGGAAGCAATAATTCAAAATTTTATCGCCCGGCTTATCTGGATGATCTTAGCGTACCGTAGGTCCTACTGATCTCAGTGGGATGTACAATTTCCAAGAAATTTGCTATAAATCTACACGCAAAATGCGTTTTTTTTTTAAATTATGTTGAAAACCAGTTTGGTCTTGTTTTGCTATTATTTCGAGTAAAATAAAAACGAAATAACTACCTGACCAATGAATTTCTTAATAATGAATGTAAACGGTATCCCTACAGACACCAGTTACTGAAATTATAAAAATACGCAATCTGTATGTAACTGGTTCGTATACATTACAATAATTTTTAGATATGGATAAGTTTAATCAGCAATTGGCACAATCGCTTTGAAATTATGGTGTTGGCACAAATATCGTCGTAAATATTAAAATCATCGATAAAAGATAAGGCGGATACTTGAGGAAGTAGACATTGGAATTTGCTTAGGTTAAGGCGATGTTGCCGCGTTACGCGAAAGTTCTCCAAATCACGTTGCGCAACTTAACGAAACTCTATCTATACTTAGTAAAGCATTAACTAAAATAAATCGACACAAGAACAAAACAACAGTCCACCTCCTATATAGGTGGAGAAAAAAATGTTTAAGCAATCAGTTTTTATAGGTTAAATTTACGGCTTTTCGAACGAGGCACGGGGAAGGCACACGACATTGACGATAATTAACACACTGCTAATTGTCTAGGAATATACGGGCAACTTGGCGTTAGCGAAAACCGCACTCTAAAAATATTCGCTAAAATAAATTAAATCTGTTCGCGCGTAATAAAAACTAAAAATGCCATCACATCAAGCGTAGAACACAACCGTCGAATAATTTTAAGTATAATAACCACAACAGAACGACTACAAACTAAATAAGTACAAGGCGTGTGTTTTCTTTTTAAGGGCGAATTCAAGAGGTCGCCGTGTCTATTTGCACCTCAAAAGTGACCGACCCGGCCCTGTCTAGGGCACTTCCGCTGTAGCGGATGTTTTTGGCCCACGCTCGACACTCTATGCTTACTATCGTGTTGGGGGTCAAGTTACGCAACTCCACCGCGACTATCGGGCTTAAGTAATTCTTGTCATTTTTGTAAGGGTAGTAATAACCGGGAAACCCGTGGGGGTAGTAATTAAAATCGGCGGTTTTTTCTTTATCGACGTCATCTTTGCCCAAACACGATACCCAAATCTGTTGCCTCTCCTTTGATTTCGTGTTGTTCTCGATGTGATACTTCAACTCATCCGGCATGTCCGGATGGGGAGCGGTGTAGAATTCCGGTTGCCAATTGAATATTCTATTGAGTTTCAAAAATACGCACGGCGATGCCGTCCGATACCCGTAAGATCGTTCCGGATTGCAGTTACCTAACTGGTCCACAGATGTCACGCACACTTGGCCCTCGGCCGGGTACTTGTCGAAATCGCAGTTGACGTAGTTTTCCCCCGTCTGGTTTCGTTTGTACAGCTCCAAGAAACTATCTACATAGTTTACCCACCTTTGAATCTGGGTTTGATTCGTCGTGTTGTACCATATCAACGAACCCTCCTCGGTCCTATCGGAAATCGGCCTGAACCCCAGTCCCGGATTGTTACCGATCAGGCTGCTGTCCAACGTCCACTTGGGCTCCTTGTCGCTCAACGTCGCGAACAATCCCTGCATGCAAATCGCAAACAGGGCCGCGAGGACCGCGTAAAACAAGGCGTAAAAAACGAACAACTGACCCCAACTCTTTCCGGTCCTGCCCAGGAACTGATGGGTACGGGGATCGTAGATGGCCTTCTTAAAGGCCTCCCATTTCGTTAGCTCAGGCGTTTTGGCAAACTCGAACTCCTTAACCCTACCGTTGTCATTGTCCTTACTGACAACCATGTCGTTGCCGGTTGACGGATGTCGGACGGCTATTATTGAAATGAGATCGCGGCGCGACGACACCGATCTCAACCGGCCAGACCGTTAAAACCTGAACTCGAACGGCAACTACTTTTAGCAGCTCGCACGGCGACGACGATGACGACCGCGCCGCGATGGGTTTTCATATCTTTAAGCGCGACGTTGCCCAGTGTACGGTAATACTAGAACATTTCATAAAAATTTTAACGTGTTTTTGGTAGTCTACCCGGGTTTAACCAAACGGACAGTCAAGTAACTTTCGTGTTTTTGGAACACAAACGAAAAAATAATACTGAAACAAAACCAAAACACTTGTTTCCGTGAAGCGGCATCCTTTTGAATCCATAAAAAACAGGTCACTAGATCAAACCTATAACCATTGATAAATACCCAAAAATATTTCACGCACTTAACAAGAAAAAATAATACTGCCACAAAACGAAAATCGTTGCTTCCATGAGGCGGCATCTATACTTGGCATCATCTGAATCCTTTGGATCCATAAAACTTGCTTACAGTTAATTAGATAAACCTAACAATGCTGACACCAATACCTTTTACAAGATGGCACGACGATATTTCACAATAGTATTCAACTAGCATTACTTATATGGTAAGGTTTGCTTTATATTACATATCATGATCCCATGTACATAAAAATGTCTGAAACATCGCTCCTATATTTTGTTTCATTTTATATTATATCCGACATGAATATTTACAGGATAGCCAAAAGATGTCGAGAAGTTGTACAAAAATGATAGTCCATAGTTCAGAGAATTTCCAGTACTTCGTGGTTAATATATGGACTATAAATTTGACATATCCTGCTATATGTGCTATAATATAATAAAATATAATTCCAACCCAAATGACTAACTTCATGAACAGTATTGTACATTAATATTAAGCTATTAGATTACAATTTACTAGTTAATTTACTTATATAATTCTGCGATTCGCAAAACCTTATAAGAATTTGAAAAAAAAAAGAATTTCATAAGAAAACTAAAACTATGGTCAACGTATATTCTTCTACTCGTTATTTTCCGGAAAGGCTTCCATTGCATCTATTCTCGGCAGATCAGATCAGAAAAATTCAAGTCAATTCGAAAATAGAATACAAGAACCCTTTTGGCAGTCTTCACAAGCTTAGTGAACAGTCCCAGTTTTGTGTTATTAAACACTAGTTAGTTTGTTTCTGTTTCTGCTTAGTGGTGAAAAGGAATAATATATAAAACCTAATGTGTAAATGATATCTACCTTTGTTTTGAAGGTTTAATTCGTCACGAAAACACCGCTCATATTATGTCGATCAATATACCGAGACGTCACCTTCCAGCTAGCACAAAACTATCTAAAATGCGTTAAATTTACGTAACAGCCGTATCAATAAAAATGAGTAAATCCTTTTACTAATACCTAATTTAATTAATAATTAATGTTGTTTTGCGAAAATGTAGTCAAAATCTAACGGTCGTAGAAAAAGTATTGCATACTATACTTTTTCTACGATCGTTAGCTTTTGTCAAACGTCAAAATTGAAAGCGTGGAAAATATCTCCGAAAACATCCGATTGCTCCCAAATCCGTGCGGTAACATCCCGGAAATGTCCGAAGTGGCTCGGATTCGTGGGAAAGGAAACTGACTTGGTAAAGTGACACTTCCCGCACGCTAGATCGGTGTGTAATTAGGCATTTTACAGAGGGGAGTAGAAAAAATATTTTGCTTCAAACCGTATTATAAGCATTGGCATAAGGTAATGCTGAAGGTGAAGATTGATCTTAAATATAATGCAGAACCAGAGGACACTTATCATAACGGTGAAGACTAAGAATTAGAAGATGCTTCTTCTTCATCGTACACGAGAGAAATGTTTTTAAATAGCCGATGCGTTTTCTTTGGAAAGGGGTCTTGAGTATAATAGTATATTATGCAACAAGTGCGTGGTAAAGTGACGCTTCCCGCACGCTAGATCGGCGGATAATTAGGTATTTTACAGACGGGAGTAGAAAAAATGTTTATCCATGTAAACTAATTGAAAGGTCATTTCCTTACTAAAAATAACAAATCTCGAATAGACGATCTGTAGGTCTTGCAAAACTATTACTGATTTTCGCGCGGTATGCATTTCAAATGGGCTCTGAAAGCCCACAGCTTTTTTTTTACTTCTATAGCTCTAATCCAATTGTAGACGAAGAAGAAACCTGCAAAACAATTTAATTCGAGGACTGAAAATGTCTCAACAACAACCATCAAAAATAGTAGCCAAACTTCAGATAATGAGCAACACAGAGACAATTACGACTCCCAGTGCTGTAATGAAAGCCATGTTGATCCTCCCCCTCGAAGGTTTCTGTTCAAATAGAGAATTTCAGAAATCTCTCTCGAAAGAAGGATCCATATCTACGCAGATATTCAAGCAATGTTTATATAAATCCCTACTAAGAAAGAGAAAGTTCTAGCCTTGTTTGGAATCCCTCAAAATTTCGAAAGGAAATATCAAGTTAGATCTCATAGTCAAGAAATACACTATGGAAGTGCTAAATGCTCAAACTTTTTGTGAAATTGATTCTAGCATAGCACATAATATCCCACGCTACCCTGATGAAGGCTATATAACGCTATAACGCGATTTTGTGTAATTAGCTCAATAAAAAGAGAGCGATCATTTATTTTGCCAATTCTCTGATAATTTACAAATCTTCTGCGACTCTAAGTGAGCAACAACAGCCACATCTATACCAGCTAACTGCGACACTATTTAGAAAAATTATGTTTTCAGTTACGCCAATTACGTCAAAACAAGCGAAAATATGTTTCAAACGTTACGGATTCACTAACGATACGGCATCACTGTACTCGCAGTATTTTTAGAAAGATAAAGAATGAAAATGCGATTATCCCAATAGAACTAACCTAAAACTTGGATAATCAAATAATACTAAAGAACCCCGGTGAATTTGTTGAATCTACTTTACAATCGTTGCATTATAACGTTTCAGATATACACTGCGTAAGCCCACATCTGGATGTTTTTTAATTGCTCAATTTAATTACTCTGCTTAAAATTACTGGTTCATTAGATTTGTAAAAAGCGTTGATTGAATTACTTACGAGAAATACCCAAGCAATTGATATTACGGAATTATTATATTAATCGTGGCGTACTACCTAATTAATCTCAAAATTTGATTGCAATGCAAATTTACCATATAAAAAAAACAGGAACTATAATTCGTAAAAATTATGCTTTAAAATCGAAATTTTTATTTTAAGATAAATTTGTTAGAAAATGCTTCACTTTCAGTTCTTATCAATATTAGTTAGAAAATTGTAATAAATAATAAGGATCCATAATGGAATATATATTTTTTCAAACATAATAAAATTTGAAAAACTGTCTAACGAGTGAGCGCCATCTCTGCTGTGATTATTGAACAAACTCTGATATTACAACTTGACCTAATTATTTTATTTCCCATAAAGTCAAAAGATGTAGCAGCGTGCCAGATGACTGCATTCGTCATTTATTGTACTATGATAAATGGACGTCAATGTGGTATGTTAACCTACATTTGGCGAATTCACGTAATTTTGTAATCCCCTTAGGTAAATAGAATAACAGATAAATTTTGCTAGCTTCGTGAACATGCAGCTTTATAAAATATTCTTAGTTTTTTTAATATTCGGCTGTGCATTTGCAAACTTCGATGATTTAGCCGATAATGAATTTGCGGAATTCGAAGATTTTGAAGAGGAAAGTGAAACGGTTTTACTGAACGAAGATGAACCCTCCGACAAAGAAAGTCAATCTAACGACTTCATTGACGATAAAGATGAAGCGTTTATTAGTGATGAGGATGTGGACGAAGCTATTGTAGATGATGATGTTGATTCGGAATTCGAACATTTTCAGGATGTGGAGGAATTTGAGGGGTTTGACGAAAAGGATGACAAGCCTGTAACTGAACCAAAGATAACGATCGCGAAGGTACCAATTAATTTCCGGCAAAATTGGGATAGCTACTATCTTGAAATATTAATGGTGTTTGGTTTGATGATTTATTTTATGAATTTTGCCCTGGGTCGAAGTAAAAATACACAAATTGCAAACCTTTGGTTTCAAACGCACAGACAATTGCTAGAAGAAAACTTTGCACTGGTTGGGGATGATGGAAACTTGGATAGGAATGAAAATGTTAACTTACTTAAAGAGAGTGAAAATGTCTTTACTTTGTGGTGCAGTGGAAGAACCTGTTGTGAAGGAATGCTAGTAGAACTAAAACTTATTAAAGTAAGAATGTGATATTTATATAATTTATTTATGACTAAGATTTAGATTACCTTAGCGCCAAGATTTGGTGGCAATAATATCAGGAATGATGCGGCCAACACTCGATCAACTTCACATAACCATAAAAATGAACAAAGACGATATGGACAGTTTTGTCATGGCTGTTGCTGCAAAAAAAACAGCTGCGAATCTTGTAAAAGATTTGGCTGATATTAGTGTTTATTGTCCTGAAAGGAAGGTATGAAAATATCTATAATTCACTCAAGTAATTTCTGTTTTTTTTTGTCTTGCATTAAACAATTATATTTTTCCAGCTAGGGGAGAAATTTAATATCCCAGCATCATTTAGTGTAATGAGTGAGATTGGCGAAGCTACTTCTGCAATTTTAGACTCCAAAGTCACAGCAATATTGAACAAATATCCAGAATATATAGATTATATTCACTTCTCAGACCAATATTCTGGTCATAAACCAACTGAGGATACATCAACTGCACTTAAACTACCTGACACTGAAAAAGTTGGCATTATTCAGAGATGGCATAAAGAATTTATTTTGAACTTTAATTTTTAGGTACTCATGTTTGGAATTAATATACCTATTAAAGGGGTGAGCTTGGAAGAAGCTATGATACGAATAAAACCAATGTTAAACATGGTTTTTTATTGCATGGATAAAGTTAAACGTTATCGCTTATCAAAAGAAGGTAAAATTTGGTGTCCAATTAGTTTTACAAATTTAGTGGATATTTCTAACTAATAGGCAAGGTAAAGGCGGATAAAAACCGGCAAAAAGTTGAAGAAGCTTTTCTAAAATCAACACACCATGCAAGAACTGAAGCTGCTGCAGCTCGACGTGAAGAGAAAAGGCGGATGGAGAAAGAGAAGATAATGTCAGAAGAAGATCCTGAAAAGCAACGTAGGTGGGAAATAAAGGAAGAGAAGCGGCAGGCAAAGAAAAGGGCCCCAAAAATGAAGCAACTGAAAGTCAAAGCCCTTTAAAATAGCCTTACAACTTTTGTGTAAACATTGAATAATTGTTTGATCTCTATATTTTTATTGTTCAGTATCACATCAGCAAGCACTATGAAGACCAATGTTGTATGTACTTTCATTAAACGAGTACTGTATCAGGATTCAAGAATAATTTAATAATCTCACCTCTTGTACTTCTAAACTTTATTTTTGTTGTCGCATTGAGATTATTATAATCTTTCAATGATGCACGTTTTTTTTGTGAAATTATGCAATAAAATATTTACTGGTAACAAAAATTTCTCATGTTAATACTTATTATTTGCTTCATTTACAATTGTTAATATAGGGTAGCAAGGCTTCAGATTTTGAACATTCAACAATTTTAAATTTAAATTAATCACAGTTTTCGCAAACAAATTATCTGATAAATCCACAAAATCCGCAATAACAATATTAAAACCTCCATTTGGGCCTGGACATTGTTTAGAAATCCATCTTGTTCTTATGTCTTCTAAATCAAATCCACATTTGTCTTTTAAGTTACCTAATAACACTTAAAAGTAGATTTGCATTTATTGAGGACATTTATACTTACTAAATAAATTCTTAAAAATATATGAAAGACTAGGAGTTAAAATGCACTGACTCACAAACCCCACAGATAAAGATCTTGATTTTAATCCGGAGTCCAAATCATTAAATAAATCAGTTTGATTATAAGTATTAGGCCATGGATTTGGAAAATTTGCAGAAGGCCATAGTAAAGGTTGTCCAAAACGAGCTTCGTCTGATCGATACACAGTTATAACCTGGAAAATGAAAATCTGATTTTTTGTTTTTTTAGGGGTACTAATAAAATCTAAAAAAAAAGAAAAGCTGTAATTTAACCGTTTAACACTCCTGAAGCATTTTCCCACTCAGATTTATAAGAAATTTGCCATAAGTCCACCCGCTTTTAAAAATAGTCTTTGTTAATGATCTAATTTTTTTTTTAATTCCTGACACCCACTTGGTATCCAAACAGAGTAGTCAGGTACTCTAATGTTAGAAAGTCCATATGTTCCGTGTAAGGTAACAGTTTAGCTCCGAAAGTAGATGTAAGCAATTGCATGAATCTAATGTGAGTCTGCCGCGTAAATCCATAAAAATGTTGACAATCTAAAATAACAACCTGAAAAAAAGTTCAATATAAGGAAAAGCGCGTATTCCATGCAGAGAATAAACCAACCACAGAGCCATGGGTCTAATCTGCCATTAAGGAACTTAACCTCAATAAATTTAAATGTGGAAGTGCAAATAAATATGGATATTCATATATGTTAAATATGAACCAAACTTTAATTCTTCAAAACACCAACAATGGATAGCCATTGCCCGTTGTGCGGATTACCATTAGAACTAAAGCAAATTAACATGTCAATGGCAATTTACATGTGTGTGGATGTTAGTTGTCCCTACCCTGTGAACGATAATTGTATGACGGTGAACAGAAATTTAGAGGACATTAAGAAACCTTTAAAACGCGATAAGAAGGTTGAACACAAAAACAAAGAGAGGGGCTATTCAAAAACAACCACAAATAAAGATGATAAAAATGGATATGAAGAATTGGATGTGGAAGATTTCTTTAGAATGCTTGATAGTTGTCAATATAACCAACAAACAGTTTTAAATAGCCAGGTACATAAAGACCTATGCCAGATCACAAGTTATAATTCAGACAATAGAGCCCAGACAGAATTTGAAAGCACAAGACCTATGGACATTGAAGAAATAAATGAATTTTTGAACAATTTTCCTATTTAATACTGAGAGTTACTGATAAAAAAATAAAATATGTGATCACGTTTCAATTTTGTTTTTCTGAGGAATAAAAAATAGAAGTAATAGCAAATAAACAAAAAAATTGAACTGCTTACTTCCTGTGGATGGGTTTCTAAAAATGAAACTATATCGTCCAAGACAGTTTGCACCTCATCTGAGTACAACCCATGCACAAAGTATAAATTGTCTTCCCTTTCTTTAGTAGCAATTCTCAAATCAAAAAATCTTATACCTGACCTAAGTTGTTCACTTGCTGAATAGGACTGTGTTTTTGACCATCTGGCCATTATGTATCTTAAGCAAAGAAGACATTGTAATTTTTGAAGAATTTTTTCAGCATCTGGAGCAACCTTTGAATTCATTGTTATATCTACAGTAAAACTATCATGGGAACCTGAAACCAAGTTTAGTCATTGTTTGGTGGAGACACATACCTTGTCGAAACCCGTTAAGATATATACAAGTAAATTTACCAGGTATAGCTAGATAAATAATTGGTACCCTCCTGAGTTGTTGGGGCAGTTCGGTCATCCAATGTTCTAGATTTTTTGCCAGATCTTTACTGTCAATGCCATCCTGCAAATCGCTATCTATAACATTTTGATACATTTTGCATATATTGAACTTTTTATTGCCCCATAAACAGACTCCTCAATTAGTTTCCAATGGGGTACTGGAAATACATTGTACGAAATTGCTTTTGCGCAGTTTTAGACATAATGAACGTAATCTTAAAAATTAGATCTTAATCAAATCGTTTTTATAATTGACTATAATAGATTATAGCTTCTGATCAAAAAGCGTTGACAAACTCTGTCAATTTATTTAAATAGTTATTCTTTAGACACAGACTTACAAGGTATTCTGTGCTTAATGTTCCCAGCGACATCTATGCAACAATTAGGAAATTAAAAAAAAACGTTTCAAAGGATCTCCAATAGATAGCGCTTTAAGTTTTAAAATTTAAATATACTTAACATTTCTAAATAGTAAAGTTTGAGAGTAACTAGTTCGATTCCGGTCGTTTTTATGCTTGTTTATATTGACCACACACTCAAATATTCGTATCAATAAGTTGCTTCAGTAGATGTAAGATTTAAGTGCCGAAGGAATATGAATCCATATTTATCTTTTTAAATCAGTTTTATAAAATGAATAACCAAAACCTTGCGAGACTTGGATGGTCTCCAGTTATGTGATGAAATTATGTTATTTCGAGATCTATTGCCCACTTAAATGTTACCTTTTGATATTTTATCCGCACATAAAAAAAACTATTGTAGGTTTCATATTTTCCCAATTTCACTATAACAGAACGTCCAACGAATTATTATCTTTATTGAAAACGATGATTTCAGAAAACTTACAATTTGGCACAAATGATAAACGAATTTTTCTCGAAAAAGGTAAGAAAAGTTAATTTAAAAATAATTGGTATAAGAAGTATTAAAATTGTCGTATTTCTATTTTTGAATTAAGTGTGGATTTAGTGGATTTAGCTTCACTCTAAGTATAAATATTTTTACTGATATTTCCTATTTCAGAAATATTTGTCATTTGCTCGTTTCTGTGTATATAACTTACAAATATTTTTGGAGGTAGAGGGTGTATAAATCTTCACCAGACGCAGAAAGGATGCCTATCAAAAACGGAAGATCCGGTACTACAACTTTTATTTCAGCCGTTTTTTCGATTTCATACAGCGTTTTGCAACCATAGGCAAAAATCCAAAAGACCCTGAAAATTGTTCTTTTCCAGAGTAAATTATTTTCCGTAAATCTAAATTCATACAAAATATGGCTAATTGGTTTAAATGGTTATTATAGGCCACATCAAAAACTACAATTTTCGTATTTACGAAAGATATTTGAAAAAATCCATATGAAAATAGCTATTTTTCGCACTCAATCCAGACCCGATGACGTCATTACTGTCAGGGCGTACTGCATATTTCCAGAAAAGAGTTATTTTCTCGAAAACCATTTACTGCATTGAAAAAATTTATGGACCAGGCAATGTGGGAGATTCAGGCCTATAACTCCTACTTCTAATATTTTTCAAATTATATACAGGGTGTGTTGTTCTTAGACAAAAAATCTAAAAAAGTCTGAAAAATTAAATTTTTCAATCTTGTTTTATAAGTTACCAAGAAGGTATTTATAAAAACCTTCGTCACCGTATAAAACTAAAAGTAATTGCAATTATTAGTGCTCAGATTTTTAGTCCCAGGGTTCTAGCACACATTCTATTAAATTAAGACAATTTATACATTAAAAAGCTGCTGGTATGGCTCGCTTCGGAAATTTTGCAAATTTATACAAGCTGTCGCTTAGGTGATGGAGTAAATTATTTTTAAGGAAAATTATCTATAACATATCATGTAATTGATGCTAGGTTAGACCGATAATCGAAAACATTTTTTTTTTTGAAAATTTAACTTTAAATGGGTCTTCGCTATATATACTGAACGTCTAAAGTATAGAACAAAGTCATTTAAAAATCAAGTATTTAATTTCAAGGAAAATACCCACACACTTGCATCATAATTTTTTCTAGTGCATTCTTGCAATTAACAGAAACTATACAGGATTTATATTCTGTGTAAAATTTCACGCACAGAAATTTAAATTTGAAATCAACAGGTATAGCAAGTACCAACAAACAAAGTTTTTAAATTATTACAATTACATTTCTGTCAGTAAGGAAAGTGAATATGGCGAACAAGTTTATAAGTTGTTTAACGCAGAATATCCAAAAAGACGCATTACAAGATACAAAGTGATTTTTAGAATCTCCCAGGCCCATGGTCCGATATTAAATAATTCTAAGACCCAGATTGTTGTTTTTGGCAATAAACAAGAGGAAATTATCCAGTATAATGATCCGAAACTTTCCTCGAATGAAAACTTAGGAGTCTTTCTTGATAGTAAGCTTGTTTTGATTCTCACTTGTCTTGTTTACAGAAGTTCTACGTTAAACGTTAGGGTATAACATTATTAGGTACAAATGCCCCGGTATCTCTATGATAGGCTGGTCAGGGGTAGTGATATACATACATAAAAAAGGAATTAAAAGAGCTGGTGCGATTAAGCACAGGTTGAACCGCTTAATTTTTTACGTTTTTTTCTTATAGTCAATTTTGAATATTTTCCTTGCTTTTTTCCATTGTCTATTATTTCCTTTTTCTTTCTTTTTTTGGGAATATAAAATTTTTACATTTATCCCAATTTGATTCGTTTATATTTGTCATTTTGTGAATTTAGGTGCACTTAAGGGCTGACATTTATATTTTTTAGTTATTTTCTTGTTATATTCTGAATATTCTACTACATTGTACCGGTGGTCAGGTGAAGTAGCGCTGCTAGACCTTGCCACCTGTGCAACTCTATTGTGGTATGTTCTTTCTCTTGTATTTTAATAAAGGCTATTTATTATTATTATTATTATTATTATTATTATTATTATTATTAATTATTATTATTGTTATTATTATTAATGTCGTGGGTTATAAAATTAAGTAGGAATTTAACGAGTATGATTTATTTAATTTTTTAAAATAACAAAACACATAACAAAACATATAAACACTTGTATTATTCTTAATTATGTACAAGAAGACAGTAATTTTCATAAAGTTACAAAGTTTAGTTGTAATTACAAGTATACAGACACGAGCCTTATGATATATAAAAAAAGCTTTACTGGGTATTTATTTACAAGAATGTTGGATTTTTTTTTTACGAACGGATAATATTAAGAATTATATAAAAAAATAGATACTGCTTATTAATATAAACATGTAACTTGAGCAACGTAATACCCATGTGTGTTTGTCTATTGATAATCTTCGTCGGCAAATGTCATTTGCAACCTGGGACTCCTCGAAGTAACCCTGAACTCGGGTGGTAGGTCGTAGCATTTGCATATGCAGCAGGATGGGAAACGAAACCAATCCGAGAATATTCCTCGGCATTCGTTGTTTGGGTCGTAGGCGAGTAATCTACAATGTTTTTCAAGTTTTATGTACCTATCTGGTTGACATTTTTAAACCATACCTGTGGAGTCGATATTGCTGTTCACAGCGGCACCCGTCTCTACAATACATTTGTCTATGTTCGAAAGTACATTTCTCCCAATGAACATATTGCTCGAAGGGATACATATTTAGCAGAGCTAGTACTTCCCCACGAGTATTGTTAGCCCAGAAAGGTGCCACCACTTCTTCTTTCACAGGGCATGCGTTTCTATAATGATATTAGAAAAATTATAGCAGCATTTTATAATTCTTTCCGTAATACATTTTCTAATAGTATATTTTAAAAAATGTCGATACAAATGATCGAAAGCCCGCTATGTAGCTTAACTATAACAACTATCGAAAAATAGATGGCACATAGTCTTGATCGCTATTTTAGAGGCATGGTCGAAACCAGAACTTTATCGCTATCATCTTTTGTTGTGAAGTCACTCGTTTATTAAGCACTCGCTCCGTTGAGCTCTTCTCGTGCCAAATCAAACCGTGCCTAAAATTACGTTTATCAAACTTTTTTGATAATATACTACTACACATTCTTCTTTCACGTTTTTTACTTTTTCACTAGAATGAAATTTTAAATATCTTAGTTTGTTTTATTGTTATAATCATATAACCCTGTATAAGATGGGAGGTTGTTTGTAATTGCGATTTTGATATGGTCTGGTGGTAGCATCTACTGTAAATTACGCTGACATGTTATGCGTTTCAGAAATAACAATTATTTTAGAGAACCTTAAGATTTAGGTATCAAAAACTTTATTGAAACATAATCATATAAAGAAGGTTCCTTTTTAAAAAGTATAACTGCGATACTTCTGGCATAACCTGTATAGTTTGAATTTTTAGGGGTTACATCTCTTCATATTTGCAACTCATAGGTGGCTATGAACTAATTAAATAGACTGATTTTTCTATTGTTAACTGAACTGAAAAACTGAAAAAATTGAATTGGAAAAACAAAAGAAACTATGTATTTATTCTTATTATATTCTATCCATAAGAGTTCATGAAGAATGCGTAAATATTTTTTTTGTAATTTCAAAAATAGAAAGGATATGAAGAAAACATCTAAATCCTAAAAAAAATAAACTTTTTGATTCTGACTCTCACCATTAAGTTCTAAAAAAAACGATCAAAAATTTCCCACTGATTTTTTAATAGTTACCCTCCCTTATAGAAACATCCATATTTGATCACCCTATAAATCCATTTTGAGTGTAGTTTTTTTTAACGTAATCGAGGTAAACATTACAACTGCCTCCATTCGGCAGCGACTGGATAATAGGCAATAATATACAATTAATAATACAATTATTATAGACCATGTCGAATTATTCAGACAAAGGGTTCATTAAAATTTTAGTAGGTTGTTAGGCATAAATATTAATAATACTTCGATATTATCTATATGATTTAAAAATATTTTCTGATCTGATATTGACATATTTTTTATGCTTCCGACACGCAGCTAGTCAAAACCTATAACATATAGATAAAGAGGACAAATACTTACACTCCCTTCAACTTGTAATTAACTTGAATCTTCTTCTTACTGCCTGCAATTTGCTCGTCCTCCAGCATGTCTTGGAACAATACCGCACCAGCACTGTCTCCCTCTGGCTGTCTCAGTGTGTCCCGTTCAGTATCACTGTTTTTAATAGCACCACCGTCATTAATATCGGCATTATGGCAGTCTTCACCTATCCGATCACTTGCAATCACCATGTTTCCACCAATGGGATTCTCGGTCGTCGTCGATGGTTCTTTTTTGAGTGTACTCGATGTCCTATCCGTAACGTCGATTGTTGATGTAGTTGTAGATTCGTGGATGTCATCTGGAACACATCGAGACGTAAATATAGCGCCAATATTTTCTGCTAGAGTTACAGCTACCTGTAGTAATTGTACTGGCAGAAACAAGGGTAGTACTTTCGGCGGGTACAGTTTTTGAAGTTTCTTCGCTCGCTCCTTGTATCGTAGTCGATCTGGGAGTTGCGGTTGAGGTTGCAGGTCTCGTCGTGGTTTTAATGTAACGCCTATTCCCAAAATAAATGTCGTAATATCTTTTGGTTGTGGACAATGGCGCCTTTGTAATCTTCGAAATTCCGTTGCTCTTAAGTTTGTTACGTTCAGGGGTTGTTCTTGATGTGGAGGTTGTAGTGGTAGCCGCAGCAGCTATTGGTCTAATTGAAAGATTAACGGTTTTCACGTTATATTGAAGATCATGGTGATGAAATTTATTTATTTTATATCTGTACATGCGAAAAAATCTTATGAAGTGTTCTTTCTTTAACGATACCTGTTCTTGCATTTATTGCAATTCTGCATATTGGCATGCAGAAACTTGGTCAAAGATTTTTAATTCTCATCTAATAAACAACAGAAATTTCAAAATTGATTGACGTCGGCTTACTGTTTCCTTTGTAACTGACTGCCAAATTCACTCGATAATTAATATTTTAATTTTGTTTACATTGTACCTTTCGAATATTAAACAAAATATTAAACAAAATAATCGTTATTTACAATATTTTTTTTTTAAACATTAAGAACTTTGGTCATTGGTCTAGTTACTTTTTGGTATTAATGAAAACTAATCTGTTGTCGATTTTCAGCTTCAAAAAACTGTGTAAGTTTGCTATGTCTTTAGTCGATGCTATATGAAAAAACCGTTTCATTTCTCTTTAGTAAGATCTATCCAGCAAAAAAGAATTGAAAATTGACCTATAAACAAACATTCTATAGGAATAATGCTTAAGCGAACTTCATGGAAATTAGTATAGTATAGTAGTAGTTAGTATTAGTATACAATTAGAATTCGTTGGCACTCTCTCGATGTTTGACATCAAAAATTAGTCCCAGTTGGTCATGACATGAAACATTAAGTTTTAGTTTTGAAAGATCTATCCAACAAAAACGATTATTATAATCAAATCGTAATCAAATATTTTACAACGATGTACAGCCTTAAGCGATATTTAAGCAAACGATATTTCAAACACCCTGTATTGAAACACTAAAAACACTAAACATTGGTATAGTTGGGTTCTAAGTAATCCTGAATAAGAATTAGTTGCCTATTTATTTATTTTTTAAATCCCTAACAGTAATTCCCTCTTTTCTCTCTCTCTCTCTCTCTCTCTCTCTCTCTCTCTCTCTCTCTCTCTCTCTCTCTCTCTTTGTTAAGTAGTCCCAGTTGGCCATGACTTTAAGTTGAAGCAATAAGCAAAACAACAAAAAATATATCAAAATCTATCCATAAACAAATATTTCACAAAGGTGTAGTTCTAAAGTGGGATACTCTTCTTATGAAGCCCTAATAAACAGGCTGTTCTATTTTACATAGAAAAGTTGTTGTCAACTGGCTTAAACTTATGTTAAACATGTCAATATTTAAATTATTTATGTATACGTTACCTAAAATGAGTTGATGGCTTCAATGCTGCCAATTTGATCGATATCGACTGCTCTTTTTCCGAATATACGAACTTAGTATTGAGCACGTCCTCATTGGCGATATCGTCTTTTAAATAGCGCGATTCATCGTCGTACGGATTGTCCATATCCAGATCTTCTTCAAACGTTGTCGCCAGGTCGTTGTCCAAATCGTTGCGGTTATGGTGATACCTCGAATATCTAAAATACTTGCAGGTTATCGCAATTCGTCGCAAAATCTTGCGATTTTTCCCCACCTCAGTTGTTGTTGCCGCTTCCAGTCATTAAAATCTTTGGTTGGTTGTCCCCACTCCTCGCCGGTCTCTTGGTCGTCGTCTAACTCCGCCCGCAACACGTGAGCTTGTCGCTGATCCCCGTACATTCTGCGCATTAGTCCTTGGTTGTCTCTGACGAATCTGCGCACCGCTTTCCACGGATATAATTGGCCGGCTTGTGCACAATACCCGTATCTAGTCAGGTCGCATGGCGGTTGATAGACGCGTCCTGTGCGGTAGGGACGTCCACAGGACGCTTGATCTCCGCCTCCCGCATCGTAACCATAGCCTACTGAACCGTAGGCGTAGAGCTAAATAGATTTTTTAGTACTTTTAGAAAAGATTTTCGAAAATCTTAATCTAAATGCGCAAATGTTAACGAAACATATAAATAATAGCTGTTTTAGTAATTTAGAGTTTGATATGCTGTAATTTTCTCTAGCAGTTTCTATATAGAATATCGCTGGTTTTAAGCTTCGGTTCTATTTCATACTTTATATATGTATCCGTGTTATGTACGCAAATAAGATTCGAGCATATTCTGTAGAAATATATTCACAGTGATAAAAAAATTTCAAACCTGATAAAATGTAACGACAATTCATTCCAACAATTGGTTCCGACTTTTTTTATAAAAATAGACTGTAATTAATTTTTTAATTAACTTTTTTATTCGTGGGTCAAATATTGCAATTTTAATTGACGAACAATGTTTTAAAAAATTGATAATCTTTTTTTGAAAATTTTTAAAGCTCTATTTACTTTTCGTGTCTTGTCTTATTTTGTTTTTAGTATTAATTTAAAATTCACCGTTTTGTTTGTATATATAAAATTATTTTTTCTTCAGGATAATATAAATAAATACGTATGTTCATTTTATATTGTCTAGTTCGAAAAAAATCAATGTTTTGTTTATATCCGCAACAATGTTGAATTATACCTACAACTTTTAACAAATTTTCAAAATATTAAAACGAAAATTCATCCTTATTGTAAAATTCGATTCAAGTACATATTTATGTCGATATATATAACAGCGGTTGATGTAATATAGCTGTATTTATGTGTTATGGTTATGAGTATGAATAAAAATTTTAAAATATAATTTTTTGTCCAAGTGTTTTATTTGCGTGATCGTAATTTTAATGACTTGAGTATTGTGCATGGTGGAGATTAAGAATTAGTTCGGGTGAGGGGGTTAATGAGATATATATATTTTCAAAAAACAAGAGAGCTGCGCGAATCACCTAATTTTTTGAGTATTCCCGGGATAAACTATTCAGGAGAAAGATCTTTTTGCACCTTAAAAAGGGTAAAAACGTATTAACGGACAAGTATGAATCAAGACAGACTTAATGCTTTAGCCCTACTACTATCTATTGATGCTAAAGTATATATATATATATATATATATATATATATATATATATATATATATATATATATATATATATATATATATATATATATATCTATCTACTCAAGCATAAATAATCAGATCATTAAAATATTCTACTTTGAGAGCTGTTCTAAAAGTAAATAACTTTCTTCGCGGCCATTAAAACCGAATTAAAACCAACCCAAGTGCGTCAAAGAAAACCACCCACGAAGATCACGCTAATTATAACGTTACAAAAGCCGAAAAAATCAAAACAGATTAAGAAAGGTGGAAACAATATTCATCATCGACGCGTTTGTGAAAGCAACAGTGCAGCACTTGCATATAAAAAGGTAAATAACCCACTAACACACATTTCCGACGGAATATTTATTTTTGAGCAGGGACGGAGTCGCCCGGTATTCAAAACTATGATTAACTATGATTTTCACATACAAAATACATAAGATTTATATGAAATTTGAATTTAGTTTCCTATTATTACATTTTTAATTTAATGAAGGTGTCCAAAATTCGATGGTTTTGAGGAGTTTTAGATACTTCTAGGCTCATGCCACATTTTTGGTGACAACCACATTTCGATATGACGATTTGTCTTTGAGCTACGGGGGCTTTTTTAAAAAGTTTGCATGTTTTGCATTTTTTCATCAACTGAATTTTATCTACCACTTGGTTAGTTATGGTTAACTTGGGTTAGCTGCTTATCTAAATTTTTGTTTTTGAGATATAGCACAAAGTCGTTTTGGAAAACCGTATATCACTTATCCAAAATAACACATGACAGCTATAGTCAAAAGAATCAGATTGGAAACCATTGGAGAATTAAAATCTCGTTTTTAACCAATGACCTTGTGGCATTTAACAATCAACATGGCCGCTGACGGAACATCAATAAGTTTGGATGCGGCATTTTACGGCAATATTTTCTTAAAATATGTCCAGACCCCTATAAATCTTGTGCAAATGTATAAATAAGTATAAGTGAAATGTAGAGGCATGCACTAAATATTATTTCCATCTCTACGAAGATATAGCCATCTGTTAACCATAGTTAAGTTACCCTACTTCAAATTGCAGACTTTTTAAAAAGCTTAAAACTTCTGGATTCCTCCTGCGTCGGTTTTTGCTGACGTTTCGCCAATCATCCTGTTGGCTTCTTCAGAGCTTATATTGTTTGAAGGAGGGATCCAGAAGTTTTGTAAAAAGTATTACAGTAGCCTGTGAAACTGGCCTATCCTGTTGTACGGCGTTGAATCATGGACGCTGAAGGCGTTTGAACTCTGGTGCTACAGACGAATGTTGAGGATCCCTTGGACAGACAGAATTACGAACGATGAAGTACTTCAAAGAGTGGGTGGTGAGCGAGAGCTACTACATATCATAAAAGTAAAGAAAACATCATACTTAGGCCACCTACTCAGGCACGAAGAGTATGAGTTGCCACGACTGATAGTTGAGGGAAAGCTGGAAGGAAGGAGGGGTTTAGGAAGAAAGCGACTGTCCTGGATGCGAAACATCAGAAACTGGACCGGCCTGAACTTTGAACAAGTAATAAGAACGGCACAGGATAGACAAGCATTTGCCAATGTGATCGCCAACCTTCACTGAAGACGGCACGCGATGATGATGTGAAACTTTCTTTGAAAAATTAAGCTCAAAGCTCATAAACAAGCTTGTCTTAATGGTTGCCCCGAAGTACTCGAAACACCCCAAACTCATCGCATTTTTTACACCCTGTACATATTTTATATTATCAATGTTCGATGGGATCCCACATTGCCTTGAATTTTAGACAACGAGAACTGTTCAAGTTATGTTCTAAATATATCTTCAAAGAGCTTATTTTATTTTGACAAACTAAACTACATTTTTAGTCAAAAAAAAATATTAATGGCCAATTGTTGTAAAGCTCTCGCGTCTTGTGTAGGGTGCTTTCGAAGAACAGTAAATATATCTATCCAACGAAAGAATATTTTAAAATAGACTGCCACGTTTTAGTTTACGGTCGATCTGTTAATCTCCATTTGCCGCCATACCTAAATTATTACCAACAAGGTATTCATTACAGGACCGTAATTCGTAAACAGTTTGACCGTTACGGATGCTAATTAAACTTGGGTAATAAATAATAATATTTTCTTAAACTGACTTTAAAATGAAGTCTACTTATTATCATGCGAGATCATTCGCTATGCACCAACGAGTTTTTGGCTCTCGTATGGGTGGTTTCGGTCTAATTGACCACTCAAATGGTGCATATGCTTATGCTGTATAATAAATTAATTTAAATCAAAAATTGATGTGCGTAGAATCGGAAATAAGTATAATGTGCTTTCATTCAAAAGTTCCACCTCCTCCCTTTTAAGGCAAGTTAAAACAAAACCAAGACGTATAGTATTTTAACGCCAAGTTGAAAGTTATGTCATGTGTGAAAAATGTACCATGCGACACAATGTTTAGTTTTTGTTTCTTTGAATTATTGATGCATAGGTTTGCAGTATCAATATTACACAGATTACTAGGTCATGATAGACTCACACTAATAACAAAGCAATTTAAAAAAAAATCCGAAGTTTTAGGAAATCCCTGTAATATTTTTTTAACGAATTTCTATGAGTCAATCAGATTTCGTCAAAAAGTTCTGCCTTTGGAATAGTGTTTGACAAATCGAACCACTACAAAAAGAACTCAAATCACATTAATACTTTAAATAGTACGGAGTATATAATGTAACTTAAGAATTTAGACTATGATTAAAGTGAAGGTACTAAAAAGGGTAAAGCTCATTTTCAGTAGATCTACTAATTTCCAGACAAAACCTAGAAATAGTTTCCTCTGTGGTAAATCTTTAATGAAAACTAATGAAGGGAATAAAGTTTCAACACCTGGACACACAAAACATTTTTGTTTAGAGAAGCAAATGGTACAAATCTTTATTTTACAATGTAGTTCTTGGTTTACCTGAACCAGAATAAAATATTTTTTCTTGTTAATTTCAATTGAATTATCTTTGTTATTATTTATTTTTGGTTAGCTCACCAAGATACGAGAATGTAAAAATTAATAGCAGTATAATCTCTGTACCACTTGAAGTTTTATTTGTGGTAGACGAGGCTTGTCATTTTCTAATTTCTTTCTTTCACGGTTAGGTTTGTTTAGGAGCGGACTAAGTCGATATTAAATGGATACCGATAAGTTCAGAAAAAAATTATAAAGTATATATGAATTATAAGCTCAGCAAACGTGTATATTTCAATATTTATCTCATGTATAAATTCATAAACAATCGAGTAGACTATAATGAGCAAGGAATTTTCGTTAAGGATATGGGAAAGTTAAATTATGTCTTAAATTCGCCTTTATTTCGTGTTAGTAAATCTTATAATAATATAATAATAATATAATCTCATAATCTCATCACGTTATAACATAGATTGGAGATATTAGGCTACCTTATAATCGGATATTCTATCAGGAATATCTTTTATATGCTTCTACATGCGAGGCTTTATTACATTTGATAAGAAAAACTGTTGCGGTACTTTACAATCGGATATTCTATAATGAATATCCTTTATATGCTTTTACATGCAAAGTTATCATGTTATAACATAGAATGGAGATATTGTGTTACCTTATAATCAGACATTCTATTATGAATATGTTTATATGTTTTTACATGCGAAGCATTGTTAAATTTAATAAAAAAAATTGCAATGCATTTAAAGTTATAACATAGATTGGTGACATTGTGCCACCTTATATTCTACCATGAATATCTTTTATAAGTTTCTACATGCGAAGCTTTATTAAATTTAATAAGAAAAAGTTGATGATAATATAATATATAATGAATATTTTTTTTATATGTTTTTACATGCAAAGCTTTGTTAAATTTGATAAAAAAAACTTGCAATGCATTCAAAGTTATCACGTTATAACATAGATTAAAGATATAGTGCTACCTTATAATCGGATATTCTATAATGAATATCTTTTATATGCTTTTACGTGCATATCTTTGTTAAATTTGATAGAAAAAACTTGCAAAGCATTTAAAGTTAAACTGCTGTTAGTTAGTGTTCTTTTTGTTTTGGTATTTCAGCCCCGTATAGGAGACAATTTAGGATATTTGTGCTTGCCTAGAAGCATTAAGGGACATGAATCTAGATTGTGCTTACAGCAGTGGCATGTGTAGACACGTTAATAACACTTTCTTGTCGTCTCGATTAAACTGGCGATAGAAGCGGAAGTAGAACGGACATTGGTATGCGTTTCAGCAAGTAGGCGGCCCTTTCGACGACAATTTTTTGTACGTGTAAACGACAGAAAAGAGTATCAACGCGTTCATTATTTACTTTCTCCTAACCGTAAGAAAAACAACTTTCACTCCGCTGACAACATTCTGTGGACGTTTTTTTATCATCTAACGTTTTTCACCGTTGGAGCACAGGCGAAATTTCGGTAACGGCTTCGCAGAATGAGCGCGTAGGCGTTAAAGATGAAAAATATAAGCCTTGAACGTGTAGCCCAGTTATTTCGTAACTGTATTTCACCTTCAGTGACTGAGTATAAGCTCTATATTTTTCTTCATTTAATAAAACACACACATACTCATACAGAAAGTGAAGTTATACATACCCGTATAATATGAGAGCATGCATTTTATTTGGTTAGCATAATTGGACGCATAGTAAAAGAATATTTTTCTGATTCAAAAATTCGGTAATTATACATTATTTTTTCCTCACATTTTATGTATTTATGGAACATAATTTTAAAAAAAGTATTTTAACATAAAATACTTTATAAAATATACATTAGTTCATCTAATGCCGATTTAAATTTATACTAAAATTAAACGTTCCTTTGTTAAAACACACAATAAAATGTGAAAATTCGAATAAAACTTGATTTCAGAATAAGCTTAGTAAATTTTACGAATCACGCTAATGAATCGTGCCACGTGATCAGTGACGGGCGTTTTTCTATTATCTTTTAAAGTGGATTTTGTTGAAAAAATAGGACAGGTACGTAAAAGAAATATGTTTCTGTAAAGTTCTTTCATGTTATACACATTATTTAGATTTCTGTGTGTAGTTTTGATTTTTTTTAGAAACAAACCTTTTTGGTAGTGGTTATCTGACACCACAAAAAGGCTGACAACAAAATTTACTACTCATCAAGCTACTAACGGTCAATAGCTTTATGGCGTTTTCAATTATTAAATACAGAACATTATAGCAACAGCATAAGTAAAAAATAATTTCGATTTTAAATTTTGTAAACCATAAATCATTGTACTATTGAATTTTCTTTTCAGCACATGAAGAAACTACAGTAATATTAAATAGGAAATTTGTTTGCAAAAGAACTCGTTGTACAAAAAAGGTATTTTAGGTATATAAAATTGATAAAAGTATATCAGTACGTAAAAGTACTTACACACACACACTTACACAACTTTATTTTAATTTAATGGGGTCATAATATTATTATAAAAATATTTTGATACTTTATAATTAGGTGTTCAATATACACTCTTAGACAATCGACAATTTAAAATTTCCCATAAAGACTGTGCTGAATGTACAATTTCAGGAAAAATGTAATTTTGCCATACTGTGGCCCATGATTTAGTGTGTAATTTTTTATCAGTGTACGCGAACAAAGATCAATTTGGAACCTGCATATTTTGTTTATTATCAAACTTAAAACCATCTAAGATTTTTGCTTCTTTAAAACTAGCGAAAACATCCGATCGTTCATAAAAATAAATGTAATTTACAACAAATATTGATAACGTTGATATTTGCAATTTATAATTAATCACAAAACTTCCTATTTATTCTCTATTGATGACTACGGGTGTCTCAGTTCATTGCCGAAATTTCTTGTGCGTTTGTGAGTTAGAAATTTTGGTTAGTCGTATTATATGCGTGTCACGAACATGATCAACTAAACTAGCATGCTTTCGCTATGGTGGCTTAGTTTATAAGTCAAAGTTATAAAAAGTTAGTAGCCCACCAGCTTTAATCTAATTTCATTAACATTGATTTTAAATTATAACGTAGGTATATCTACATCTCATAGAATACCATCCCAAATGAAAAAGCGCGTACTAACATTTAAATAAATTTACGTAACCTCCTAACCCGATTAGGATAAACTGCCAGACAGTTAATTGATGGTCCTATTGATGGTTATAATTTGAGAAGTTGCAAATTGTGCAATCAAAACGTCGGCCTTAGGGCAATGTCCCGTTCTTCGCTAAAACTTGCTTACTCAGCGGCACGATTTGAAAAATATCCGCATAAATGATAAACTGACTAGAACTTGCTGATCATTATAATAAATCTTACCGTTCAGGCCCGAATGGGAAATTGTGAAAGTAGAGAAAAAATTAACGCTTTATTATAGCTATATGCAAATCGCCTGCGATATTATCACATAAAATAATTTCATGCAAATAAAAATTGAAAGTTGATAATGGTTATAGAAATAAACTCCACTTAGTGGTTATTTTCTTTTTTTTTTAATAATTTGAAATTTAATGTAAAATAAAAGTTTATAATGGCTAGAGCTCGCAACCGCCGTATTGATAGATGTAAATCGAATTTGTCAGAATGTGTTTCTTAAAGACCTTTTAATTTAATTAATATTAATTAATTAATTAATATTAATTACTTAATGTAATTTAAGTTAATTCAATATGCGGAATAGAGGTGAACGTGAATAAATAGATAAATTTTTGTTGCAAAAAGTTTTGACCCGGTACGAAGTTAGAAACAGGTCCTCAAACGTTACCTTTTATTTTTTAATCTATTTTAAATTTATATTATATTATGGTTATTAGTCACTCTTGCGTAGTTTTGATTAACAATTTTAATGTTGCAATGCAGGGTGTTTTCTAATTGAATGTCAGTAATTAAGGGAACGATTTTTTGGTCCATTTAAAAAAAAAACCTTATATGAACATATGTCTTTAATGTCTTAACTTTTAAGATACAGGGCTGTAACGTTTTCAAAAATAAAATATGTATTTTTTTAATATCTGTAATACCACTTCAGATATTTTAATGAAATTTGGCGCACATATCAAGAGGCATTATTTATTGTACCACAATTTTTTTAAAACACCAGTGGCGGGCAAAAAAATATTAGAAGACTGTTCTTTTCCTAACAAGATAAATAATAAATGGTTCTTATTTAAATTTATTGTCTTTATTTAAGTTTGTGTACTTAGTGCTGTCATATTAACGATATTGTTATCACCATACAGAGAAGAGGCCTTTATTTTTTTAAAGCGAAAACCGTAAATCGGATTGAAAAAAAACATGAAGAAATTAAATTTCTTTGGAAATGAATGGAGACTATAAGAATAATTTTTATTTTAACAGACATCAGTGGCATACCACCAGTCTTCCAAAACAGACATGTCAAATTCCATCCACCCGACACTGGTGTATTTAAAAAGAAACGTGGTACACGAAATAATTCCTCTTGATACATACAAAAATATATATATATTATTACTGTGTCTCAAAAGGTAAGACCTTTAGGAGATATGATCATATGAAATTTTCTTTTTTAATTATTGACTTTCAATTCTAAAACACCTTGTATATTTAATTGAACACCAACCAATTTTTTTAGGAAATATTTATTTATATATTTAATGTTTTTTAAAAGTAAAGTAACATAAATTTAACTAAAAAGCAAATATTGAAAAGTCAACTGCACTTCGGTGGTGGATATACGTATCTACCGAGTATTTTTAATGGAAAACCCTTCATGCTATTAAATCTTTCGAATATTCAGTACATAATTTGTATAAAAGACCCTGTCTAAATTTAAGAGTTTTTAATATTGTTATATCAGAATCGTTTAATTATGTTAAAAAAAAATCGGACCATAAATTAAATGTTAAATGAAATTACTGGAAATTTCGAAAATGGTTAAATTTAGAAGTAGGTATGGTGTTTTTTGAAAAATATTCGCTGAATTTTGGAAGATATTGAGATATGGAGTAATATATGTACATGACACATTCACAGATTTTTCGGGAGGTAATTAGTTTTTATTTTTCTTATGTCTCAATTGATTTTGAAAAATTTCTACATTTTTTGCATATTTTGGTTTTTAAATATACAATTTTTTTTTTAACAGTTTTTGTAAAAACTAGGGAAATTGCAAAAAAATCTACAAATTAAAATTGTATGTCAAGAAATTTTTATTTTATTATTGATTCGGTTAATTGCCGATCACAAGCTGGCCGACGTCTTACTTACAAGTAGGATGAAACAGCGTATCATCTTGCATATCTCACATGAATGCACAAAGTGAACCAAAAACAATATCGAATCTATCACTCAAACAAGCACAAACATTTACGGCGGCAATGAGTGATTTCCCGATGAATGCACCTAAACATGATTCGCGACGTAACAGCTGTTCGGAATCGACCTACTGAAGACCAGTCTGACGGTCAGTCAGTCACCAGTACTATCGCGGCACTGGAGAAAGAAGAAATGGCATTTCTTCAACGCGACGAAGTACCTACACCGTCGAATGAAGAACGCGCTGAGCCGCCAAAGAAAGTAGGTCCCGGGCATGCCGGCGGTAGAAGAAGCAACGTTTTGATGAGACTCCTACCTTTTTGGCGAAAGAACAGCGGCGTGGATGAAGAAAGTATAATAAAAATTTCGCTTGTTTCGAATGGGTCTAATAGTGAAGCTGTTTCAGTCTTGAAATCATCAGAATCTGAATTTAATAATTAACAGTGGCATTGACAGATAAATATTTAGGTATCGGTTCAATTTACATTGCCAATAGTAGTATATTATACAACAAGTGCGGTAAACGGCATTTAACTCACGAGTTTATTTGGCACGAGCCGAGTGAGTGCTTAATAAACGAGTGAGTAAAAAGAGTTTTTCTACTCCTGTCTGTAAAATACCTAATTCCCCACCGATCTAGCGTGCGGGAAGCGTCACTTTACCACGTCAGTTTCGTTTCCCACGAACGCGAGCCACTTCGGACATTTCCGGGATTTTACCGCAAGGATTTGGGAGCAATCGGATGTTTTCGGAGATATTTCCCACGCTTTGAATTTTGACGTTTGTCAATTCTGACAGTCATGTCAGTGAATGTATTCGTGTTGTTTTGCGAAAATGTACCCAAAAACTGACGGTCGTAGAAAAAATATAGTATGCAACACGTTCGGCAAACTTTTGAACTCGCTCGTTTATTAAAAACTCGCTCTGCTGCGCTCCGTTCGTGTCAAATAAACTCGTGAGTCAAATGCCATTTACCGCACTTGTTGCATAATATACTATTACCGAACGTGTTGCATACTATGCTTTTTCTACGACCGTTAGTTTTTGGGTACACTTTCACAAAACAACACGAATACATTCACCGATATGACCGTCAGAATTGACAAACGTTAAAATTCAAAGCGCTTTACATTGCTTCCAAATCCGTGCGGTAAAATCCCGGAAATGTCCGAAGTGGCTCGAATTCGTGGGAAACGTAACTGACGTGGTAAAGTGTCGCTAGATCGGTGTGTAATTAGGTATTTTACAGACGGGAGTAAAAAAAATATGTTATTATTTTGTGTCCATCTAATAAATAAATAATTGACAAGAAATGTATAAGAAACATACCTACATTCTGATTTAACATTTCCCAAAAATAGCGAACCTGTTTTTTAAAAGCATTGATTGATACGGAGTGACTAAAAAAAAAACTTATAATAATAACTTCCCGGCAATGTTGTGTTGTATTATTTTTACATTTACATTTATTCAACCTTGATTTTTGGCAAAGTCTGCACAATCCGAATGACAAATATCTAATTTTTGTAAGTAAAACGCGCGTTCGGAACTCCATGTTTTGTTGTTCAAGGAGTAGTGTAATATTGACATTAGTCACGAGTTTAATATGGCACGAGCGTAACGAGTGTTTTAATAAATCAGTGTGTGAAAAAGTTTATTAACATGTTGCATACTATACTTTTCAGAACTGACAAACGTCAAAATATCATCTTATATTGACTGACTTTTCTTGAGAGCCGTAAGAACAAATAGAGAAAAATTCTTGTAGAACTAAAGAAGTGGCCATTAGATAGGGTCCCTTAGTTTTTGAAATAACTTCAAAAAAAAAAAAAGAAATAAAACGAAAAACAAAAATTTTCGGCATAAGCCTATAGAATAACATTTATTTGTCGTTAATTTTTCTAAACGGAAATTCATTTTCTTCGACTCGAATGTTACTAACGTATTTTTTATTAAAGAAGCAGAATAGGCCCCAAACGCCACAAGTACCCTTATACCCCTTATACCAAATGTGGTCACATCTTTATTAATAAATAATGACGAAAATTGAAAATTGGTGCATGTTATCTACCTAACGTTTGTATTAAAGTAAAACTAAGGTAAATTGATTAATTTTTTCTCCAGAATGTCCGACAGATCAGACTTTTCAAGGACACGCATTACCTATGTTATAATCTGCGTCGTGTGATATATATATATATATATATATATATATATATATATATATATATATATATATATATATATATATATATATATATATATATATATATATGTATATTACCTATCAAAGACGGTTCTGCAAAACATGGCAGAACATTGGCTTGTTGCAGAGGTACGCCTATGGCACCAGACAAAGTCCAAACACGACAATCAATTAAAACCCGTTTTCCGCGGTTAATTCTTGTCCAATTTCCTTTGAGCGACCACCAGCAACGTGGTTATTAATTGCATCGCAAAGTTATGAACAAATTTGCGCTTTTGAAAACATGGGCCGCTATACATACGCTCAAAAAATGGCACAGTAATAGAGCAAATATTAAAAGGTGTCTACAAAAGGGAAATAGATAATTAGTGCATGGCTATGTTAGCAAGGTTTATTTATTTTAATTCTATATATCCATAATTCAAAAAATTTCATGGCATGATTATTTTACGATAACTGCTCTAATTACTGCTCTAATTTTAATGACTTTTCCATTTTAAAGTTAAAATTATAACTCGACCTAAGCTAAACTGAGTCCGGAAATGCAGTCAATATCGATTTCGTGAGGCAAGTTTTATTTAGAGGAAGATACGTAGTAGTCATAGTATTAATAGCCGATAAAAGGGGATTGCTTTATATTATTTTTCAATTTTTGTACCCGTTCGGGGTTTTTAAATCGTTTGTAATCGTTTAGGTATTATAATTTTTCCGTTAGATTATTATAAATTTGTATTTTTACAAATATTTACAGAAAATATTAAATTAGATGAAAAGGCCAGAATCCCCATTACTAGGAGTCTTTTTTATTATAAAATATCTGCCTTGCCTTTTTATTTCGAAGGTGCCACCTCCGTTTAAATTTATTTGGTATATTTGCGTGTGACGTAATCAAAAATGATCCGTATGTCTTGCTAAAATTTTTAGATGCATTCCGATTTTAATTAATTCATTAGTTTAAAGTAGATGCGTGCGGATATGCAATCCAAAAAACTAAATTAAAATTGTATTTTGTAAGGGTTTTTGCAATGTGAATGCTAGTCATTGTGTTAGAACCTACTAGGAACAGGATCATAAAAGGGTCATTCGCAAAAAATACCACTTACTTAGATAGGCACATATTATTTTGTTATAATGAGAATTTCGCAAATTGGTTCAGTGGCGTATTTATAAGAACGGAAAAAATAAAACGCAACACATATATGGGAGAAAACAATATCAATTAGCTAAGTTTATTTTTCAAAACTCGCAATGTTTCAATAACAAAAACAACAAAAACCCATAACGCAAAGGGCAAAGAAGGGGAATAAAAACTAGTCATCATCGGAAAAAAACATCTTCCTCCGAGTCTGATTCATGAATATGAATAACAACGGGGGGAGAATATTAGATGCATCCTTCATCTTTTCCCTTTCCCTAGCCTTACTTATTAGGTGGTCTGTGGGACTACAATAGTTCTTCCATTTTTCGTGAAACTTGAAGCAAAGAGTATTATAGTTAAATAAGAACAAACGTTGTTCAGATTTTCACATAAATATATTTAAATGACAGCTATTTCGGCAACACCGTGCCTTTATCAAATGCATTTGATAAAGGCACGGTATTGCCGAAACAGCTGTCATTTAGATATATTTATGTGAAAATCTGAACAACGTTTGTTCTTATTTAACTATTTTAAATGGATTTTCATCAAGTAGAAGCCACTTCAGTACAAAGAATATTATCATTATTTTACTTGAGGAAGTGCTTCAGTCCATAAAGGCGGTACAGCATCAGATGTTACGGAATTGATGGAATTTATTTTGGCGTTAGAATACCGGTTACAATCTGACCAAACTATCTTTATGGCATTAAATTGGTAATGATAAGGCGGAAGCCTCAAAACGCGAGGGTCATTTTTAAAAACTTGTCCATTCTTAAAAGATACGAAATAATTTCATATTCAAAGAAAAATACTTAGAAGCTACCTATGCAGTTTTTCTGGCAGGTGTTGCTTCAGTAACATCCATTAAACTTGACTGAAATGGAATATTCCATTCTGGCCGCCACTGTAAGAGAGACGGCTTGATCCAACTTTGATTTGGTATTGAGTATACAACATACACCTTCCTCAAACTAACAGTGAATGGTGGGCAGGCATAACAGCTACATTTATCTCAGTCAGTCTCATTGCGAAATTTTCGCGCAGGCGCAGCACGGAATTTGGGGTTTCACGGATAGAATGGCGAAGAAGATAAATCTGCCGGTTAAGTGGACAATGTGTATCCAATAGAAATAAGTACGCGAAACTAGTAATTTAGGAAAACAAGTCCAATACCTTTAAAATCTATACATCCACGCTGATTCATTGCTAATAATCATTCTCCATCATCATCTTCATGTTCGGTGTCTGCGGTCATAAATCTATTTTCTGTGGGTCTGTGGTCAGCCACTAAACTTAAAAGAATATTTTTTAGGTCAGGTTAACCTGCATTCTAATATGTTCTTTTTTCACTTGTAAGATGTTTTTAAGCGATAATCGAAAAATATGAATCTACAATTGTCTTCAAGGCTTCACATGACATTAAAAAAAAACTTCCTTCAAGATTTAATCCGTTGCAAAGTATGTTGCTGTAGGTACACATCCAATTACACCTCTACAAGCGATGATTTGAAGGATCCAGCGATAGATTCAAAAAAAATACAAATTAGAAACAAAATTACAGGTGGGCCTCATTTAAAAGACTTTTTGAATCGGAATTCTTTTTCTAATAATGAGTCTCAACTTGTGGAAGATAATATTCCTTACCTATTGGAAACTAATAAATTTGGTTATAAACGAAAGGTATATTTTGATATATATGGCTGTCAAATGAATGTAAATGATACAGAAATTGTATGGAGTATTCTGAAAGACCACAATTATGAAAGGACTGAAAAATTACAAGACGCTGATGTGATTCTTTTAATTACTTGTGCTATTAGAGAAAGTGCTGAAGATAGAATTTGGGGTAGATTAAACTACATAAAAGGAATCAAGAATCATCGAAATAAGTGCAGACCTAGTTTAAAAGTAGGAATTTTAGGTTGTATGGCTGAAAGGTTGAAAGAGAAAGTTCTTGAAAAGGAAAGAACCGTAGATTTGGTAGCTGGCCCAGATGCTTATAGGGATTTACCAAGATTACTGGCATTAACTGAAAATGATCAGAAATCTGTTAATGTGTTATTATCTTTTGACGAAACCTATGCTGATATAACCCCGGTAAGGTTAAATGAAAATTCCTTATCAGCATTTGTCTCTATCATGAGGGGTTGCGACAATATGTGCACATATTGTATAGTGCCATTTACCAGAGGCAAGGAACGATCTCGCCCTGTCAGTTCTATTTTGAAAGAAATAGAATACTTGAGTGAGAATGGTGTCAAAGAAGTAACTTTGCTAGGTCAAAATGTAAATAGTTACAGGGATATATCAGAGTCATATTCTATTGATAATGTTACCAATTTGGCAAGTGGTTTTAAGACTGTTTATAAAAATAAAAAAGGCGGTTTGAGATTTGCTGACTTGTTGCAAAAAGTTGCTGACATTAACCCTGAAATGCGAGTTAGATTTACATCACCGCATCCCAAGGATTTTCCTGATGAAGTTATTCAAGTAATTCGGTAATTTGTTATTTGGTAGTTTTCTACATTATTTCAAATTGTCTAGATCATTCAATCGCGTTCAAACATTTGCAAGAATCTCCACATGCCTGCGCAATCTGGTAACTCTCGGGTTCTGGAAAGAATGAGAAGAGGATATACCAGGGAAGCATATTTAGAGTTGGTTTATCATATCCGACGTCATATACCTAATGTTGCGTTCAGTTCAGATTTTATTTGTGGTTTCTGTGATGAGACAGAAGAAGGTGGTTTTGATATTTTACACAATTCTTCAATAGGTTCATAACTGTCCATTTTTAGAATTTGAAGACACTATAACTTTAATGGAGGAAGTCCAATATAATACTGCATACTTATTCTCCTATAGTATGAGAGAGAAAACAACAGCCCATCGGAGATTTATCGACAATATTCCTGAGGAGGTTAAGAAAAGAAGGTTGCAAAGGATGATTGACACTTCTAGAACTAAAGCTTTAAAGTTAAACATGTCTCAAATTGGTGAGTTGAGTTTCCAATTAGCAGAAGTTTAGACTTACGGATTAGTTTTAAGGTAAAACCCATTTAGTATTAATCGAAGGATTCAGTAAAAGATCGTCAGATAATTATCAGGGACGGAATGATCAAAATATTCGCGTGATACTCCCAGCAAACGAATGTGTCACGTCCAAGAATGGCACTGGTCTAAGACTTTTGAAACCTGGCGATTATGTGGCGGTTTATATTAATGCTGCCAATTCTCAGTGTCTAAAAGGTATACCATTGTATTTTTCAAATTTACAAGATTTTTATTTAGAGGAGGCTTACAAATACACAGCTTCTAATGGTTGAATAGTGTTATTAATAAAATGTTTTACTTTTCATGCATATTCCAACCTTTAACTTTATGTCACAGGTGTCTTTCAATTGAATTTTGGTACTTCGCTTGAAAATTTTTCATAAATTGTACTAATGTCTCTGTATCCTCGTATGAGACAGCATTATATAAAGATACTCTTATACCTCCCACCAAACGGTGACCCCTAAGTTGATATATACGGTGTTCTTCAGCTTCTTGAACAAATTTTTCTTCTAAGTTATCATTCCCACCTAAAATTTGGAATTAAAACTTTTTAAATCTGCAAAAAATTAGGATTTTGTAGTTCACTTATAGTTTTTCACTGGTTTTTGAAAGAAAAATTTTATAAATGATATTGGTAGATCCTCATCACCATATCGCAGAAACAACGGCGTTCATTTTGTGGAGAAATGAAGCAAGGTTTTTATTTTGTTTTACATATGGTGCATTTTATGGGCCAGTGGTATTAAACTTGAAATTCCCCTACCAATAAGTTGACATTTTTTTTTTAAGATTAAAACAAAAAAAAACAAATTTTCTGCTGAAACGTTGAACTATTTTATATACTTTACCTCCTATTTTAAAGGACACATTTATTCTACTTCTGAAATTTTCAGGCACGTGACACTCATAAAAATTATTAGATTGATTTATAGCATTATACAAGAGCTGACTTTTTTGGCAACATTGTTTTTCCATTTCCTTTAAGCCACCTTGTATGTTAATCCATTGTAAAATTTTCCCCGTAACATACACCCTAAAATTAAAAGCGATTGTTTAAACTTCGGCAAAATTAGTTCCCAAAACACTTACTGAAATATAGGCGGAGTATTTAGAATGGAGTTAGTATTTGCCAGTTCTGTGAAGTTTAAAACGGACGGGCAAATCTTCATTGGGGTTCCCAACAAATCGTCTCTTATTATCGCCAACACTACACCAGCGGTTCCCAAGTTTTTTTGAACGGGTGCGAAGATTAGACCAAACTATAATATACACATGCGTTCTTTGGTTAGTTTGTTAATCATAGAAACAATATTAAAGCAAAATGATTATAAATCCGCCCCTGATTCATTTAAATTGAAAGTACCTATAAAAAAGGCAAATTTTGTCATGACAAACTTTTAACCAGTTTTTTTTTCACTCGTGAAAAAAGACAAATTTGTGTACACCACTGCAAATGTTATGAATAAAATCAACGAAAATTTTATATAACAAAAATTCATTAACGGCAAATTAACAAGTTTGGATCTGTTGCTTCTTCAATATACACTGTGAACCAGTTATATACCTTTGAAACATCAAATTTTCTTGTCATAATATTTGAGGCCATATCAACAACAATTGGCACACTTCCCCGTGTTTCCGGAATGAACGGAAACTCAATTCCTGAAAGCATAATATGAAATCGACGAATCAATTTATCTAAAGGATAATTTTGCCTTCGATAGTTTCATTATCGCAGTAATACAAATACGAAGCATTCGGGTTCAGAGTCCAAGATTTTGAGTCAGGTATATCCCCTAACTTTCCGGGTTTCGGGAAGACTGGATTGACGGTACCGTACTTGGCTGCCTCTTTAGCCGCTAATCCGGACCAAATACCGGCAACTACATAATCGGCCGAGCCGGTCCTGTTCATTAGATTCATTGCTATTGCGGAAAACATTCCTTGTCCGCCACCCGGAAGGAAGAGGATTTTGTAGTTGTCGGGTACCGACCTATAAAATACTCTTAAGTGGACAATTCGAAAGCGAAAAATTGAACCTGCGCACTTACAAAAGTTGTTTTACTGCATTTTGGGCTTCATTGTTGATTTTGGAATATTCGCTCGATCTATGACTTATTTCAGTGATACTCATTCCAGTATTTTCAAAGTTGAGAAATTCATTTCTTACTTCGGCTAAAACCTGAAACGTTAATATAGTAAAAAATATGCAAAAGAATTGTGAATCAAATATCAATAGTTTAATTTTAAAGAATCTTAAATGATTTTTTTATTCAAGTTCATAAACCAAAAATAATAATAATTTAAAATTTGCTATCATTCGACTAAAATATGTATGTAAATATGTGATTGTAAAACACATATATTTCATATATCTCACGGTTTTCGAAGTATTTCATATTTTCTGTCGAAAACTACACCTGCATGTCAAAGAACCTTTTTTCTTTCAATTATTATTTTATTTGTTTGGGTTTCTTTGTAGAGAAGTATCTGTTAAACAAATTATGTGAGCAATTTTCAAATTTAAGCTTCAATTCCTTTCACAATTTCAATTATATCTTCTTCTTCTTATTCCTACGTTAAGTCCAATGACTTGTGTTTACTGGGTAATATTTAGTCTTAATTGTAATTCTGATGACCAGCTATCTTGCCATCTTTTTTGTGGTCTTCCTCTTGATCTTTTCCCCTCGGGTTTTCCATCTCTTGTGATCTTTGGTAATCTGGCCTCTTCCCATCTCGTTACGTGTTGATTCCAATTTCTTCTCTCTCGTCCCCATCTATGTCTTGAATATTACATTGTTGCCGGATGTCTTCGTTTCTTATATGGTCTCGTCTAGTCTTTCCTATTATGCATGTGATATCTGTATATTTAAATTTTGTTTATACTGTATATACGTTCAATATTTAATAAAATCACTTGCAAAATTAGAACTACTTGTAAAGTAATAGGACTACATGTAAATATACTTTTATAACATGATTTATTTATGTATTAGAAAATTGTACGAACGCTATAAAATACATAACGGTATTTGATATTAAAGCGAACATGGTCGATCTGTTAATTTCAAAATAATTCATGGCGCTAAATTTGACCGGCCTCGTTAGAACTTTAACCGCAAGATCTTCTAACACCTCGTGCTGAATGGAATATATTAAAAATTGATCTTGGATGGCGTGGCAGGTGGCTAGGATGTTTTGCGATTCCCTAGATGCCGTGTCGCAACAGTACATCAGAACAGACTGCATCATCTACAACAGAAAGGCGTTCGCAACGTAAGAACCTAAAATTCAACCAAGCCAAAGTCTCATTATATCAATAGTTAAAGTTTTATAGATAAAAATGCAAGCCGATACATAGAAGAGAGAGATGGTTACATCTCACCAACGCTGGGTTCGTCAATACTAAATGGGGATTTGTGACGGTGACGTCACTGCTTAAATTATCTGACGGACGCCCATGTAACCATCCTTTTCGGTTCGGCGTCCTTTGTTAAAAAGAATGTTTTATAATTATTTAATCAAAGTAAGTTAAAAATCTCAATTTAATCTCACTATATCTCTTTTGAAAGTAATGTTCAAATGGACCATATTTGAAACCTTTGTAGATTGATAATTTATTGTTCGAAAACGGAAAGTCTGACAGAAAAATCTAGTTGTAAGATTTGGGAACATTGTATAGAACAAGTTGATTACCCGGAAAAAACAAAAGATATATTAAAATAAAATAACACCTTGTAGGAATTATTTGCAGTCGACGTTTGAATTATTCATTCTTTGAAAGAGAAGATAGTAGAAAAACTCGTTCCTGCTGGTGAAGTTTTGGTCAATCTGGATTATTACTTTTATTGCAATAGACTGTGTATACACCCTATACAAGGTGGTCCGAATTATGATGGAGAAACCTCAACAGCGTATTCGGCAGATAAAATTAAAAACAAAAGTTCATTTAAACTTTCGTCCAAAAATGCTTCGTTTTGGAGGGTATTGAAATATTGCGAAAGAAACGTATTATTGAAACACAAAAACAAATTAATAGGATAGATAAACTTGTTATTATTTAACCCTTGGCGTTCGAGAGGTCGTTTTTATTAATTAAATAATTAAAAAATGGGTACACCAATTTTTCAAATACATTTTGTTAATAAATTTAGATCGTACATAAATTAGATGAGATCATTTCTAAACAAAAATGGTCTCTTCAGTTTTTTCGCTAAAACGAACCATTTTCGAGAACAAAAATTTGCGTGTACATCTGAGGTTTACAAAAAACTATTTTTTCACATTTTAACAACCTGTATTTCCAAAAGCATTTTAAGACATAAGTTTATATAAGCTTATTTAGTTTAGTTATATCGGCTGAATATTGTATTATAGCTGACGTTTCGCCAAGCATGGCTTCTTTAGAACGCTGGCTTCAGACTGCCTCTGAAGAAGCCAACAGCAAAAGTTCTACAGTCTGCGAAAGTTTCTTTGAAAAGCTATTAAATTTTTCTGTATTATATTGTTTTGTGTCAATATTTGAGAAACGCAAGCAAATTGTTTTTGTTGTGAATATATCACTATCACTCACACTTTAATAAACTTTATATGGACTTCTTTAAATAGTTTCAAAAACTATATTTTTTAAAATTTTACATTTCTTTTTCCATGATAGTTTGCATTTAAAAATGAAGGAACTTATGTAAAAACTTACCATCATAAAAATGGCGAAGAGAATGTGCAATATATTGGAGGCGAATCGAATCAACCGCCCGCGAAAACACACAACGAGAGTAACGGTGAGAACTTTGCATAGACAAAGCAACGGCATAAATAACAACTGTTTTCCGAACAAATTGTTATATTCGTCCACCAATTTGTTCACGGCAAGATATAAGCTCTTCGCTTTGCGCACTTCATCCACTTCCAAGCTTTCCCGCCCCACGCAGTTTTGCAACAATTCGTTAATACGTTCCAGTTTATTTTTAAAAGATATAGCCAGGCTGCTTATTACGAAAGATACCAGCATGTTCTCGAAGGAGAATATCATCAAGGGGAGGTACCCCAAGAAACCGATGTCATTGTAGTAGTCGTCTACGGCAAAGCGGGCCACATATCCGCCTAAAAGCAGCACATTCAAAGACACGAACTGGACAAACGGATTCAGGCAGAAGTTTTGCTCAGTGTCGTCAGCATTTAGATATTCTTTGCTTTCTATTTTGGCCATGCTCCTTAGAAAGTGTTCCCATACTTTTCTTTTCACGTGGCAATCGTATCTACACCAGAAGAGACAAGCGACTCCGAAGAAATGGGTTAATATTTCGCACACTTGGAATATTTCTATTCCGAATGCGGCCACGTTTGCCAGTATGGCGCTCAAGTCTACTGTCACTAGAAACACGATCGCGACGAATGTCACACAAGAGGATATGGGGTATATCAGGGAATTCGTAAGCGTTTTCGTTTCGAAATCGTAATCCGGTAAAATACCAAAAAAGCGCAAATAATTGGTTAACGGTTTTAAAAACGTAATACTTCTGCGGCTATAATTCAAAATCACCATCTTTGATTTATTCGCTACGTGCTACGAGAGCTACAGAAAATTAATTTGTACCTATGCATTTTGAACCGAACGCAATGGGAAACGTTAATTTTTTTCCGTTAATATCTGAAAGGTATAATTTAACCAGTGGCGTAAATATGGTGTTTTTACTTCGTTTAGTTCGTTCCCGAGTAGGAGTTGCTTTAAATTGGAACTTTTGGGTTTCTATAGTAATTTAAGGCCTGATTAAGTAAACTATACAGGGTGATATTGAATTGACATCATAATGAGGCACACAACAAAAATACTCGTTATATTCACTGCAGCCACTAGGAAAACGTCTTCAAAGATTTGGAATAAAATTCTTGGCCCACCACTGGATCTTTAGGTGGGAAATAACATAATGCCAGCCTAAGGTTTTTTGTCTGTTAGTTTAATAATTACAAATAGAGAAAAGTGATTCGATCGGTCTTTACTTAATCTCTTGATTTTTTAGGACACAATCATTTTATAAATTCAAACACCAAAAAATATTTTCTTTAATTATTATAAATTTACCCAGGATTAGTTTAATGAATTTAAACTAACGTATCTCAAGGCAGGTTTTCTTTAGTTGTAAACTTTGTCTTAAACTTAGCCATGATATCTAAACTTAGTAGTGAAATGGATGCTGTATGATATTTATTATTCTAAAAGCAGTAATTGTCTAATTTAAATTATATTATTTACAATTACAATTACAAAAAATAAATAAAACTTAAAAACGACCCAAACAATGATTCCCTATAATTCTAGAACATTAATTCTTAGTGAGAATTTTTTTTTAATATTTCTTGAAAGTCGTCATACTTTTTATAAGGAGTCCAAATCCTGAGTCAATGAGTTAATTGTTTTTGAAGAGTACTGCAGAATAGGTACACAACCAACAATAGAAGAATAACAGCAATTAATGGACGCTGGATACAGTTAAGGTAATTTAATAATGTACTTAAATTGAAAAAGGTTTGACTTACCGCAACAGGAATTTTTCCTGGGCCGGCTCCAAAATTTAAAATTCTGTTTATTCCCACTTTTGATTTAGACATGGTACTGCGGGATTTTAATGTAGGATACAAAAATGTTTTTACCCCTCAATATGGTAAGCGATGGACGATGTACGTCGACTTTTCCTGTAGTTGCGTTTGTCAGGTGTAGATATAAATACGTGGTTTTAATCTCCAATTTGTGGCAAGTTTTCGTAAACAACTGATTTGGATAGAGTGCGGTTTGTGCAGCAAATAAAAGTAAGTTTTAAAATTCAAAATAAAAAGATATTCACACAAATAACGTCTTTATAATATTGGTATAGCATATACAAAAGGCTGGTTAGAAACTGTAATTAGTTTTACTTGCTCGTTTCGATTAATAATGTGTATGTACGGATAAGAGATTCCGAACAGCGATTTGAATATTTAATAAAATATAAATTAAAAAAAGTTGTTGCTCACGATAGGAAACATTCACTCCAACTTCTAACAGTACCATCACCATGGACACCTAGAGAACCGCATCTGTATCTACTTCATGGAATAGTCATGCAGGTTATATTAGCTTATGCCTTTACATTGTACTTTGTCGCCAGATGGCGGCAACTGGAGAATGGTCCTGGTTATCTTGGGTAACTTTTAATTGAAAAATGCCATGAGGATGATGTTCGTGTTCTGTGCATGGTAACTTAACATATGTTGTCCCACCTTAGTTTTCTGTGACTCTAATAATAATAATAATAATGTAAACTTTGGGAAACTAGCTTTAAATTAATTCATTATTAGTGCTGATTTGATTCATATCAAACTATACCGAAAATGTAAACAAACAATTTGTAACTGAAAATTTCGCCTCGTAGTTTCGTTCCGTCGCAGTTGTTGAAAAATTGACGTGGCCTATAGTGGCCTATACTTAACCTAAAATTCAGTTTGTAACAAATTTCAATATGGAACGAAAACGAAATAAGGGTAAAAACGATATTGCGTCGGTGGTAGAAAATGGCGAAGCGCATGGTATTTCATCTAAAAGCAATATTAACGACGATAAAGGCAATATAGCCTTGTTACTATTCCTTTACACTTTACAAGGAATTCCACTAGGACTTACTTCTGCAATTCCTATGATTTTGCAAAATCGAGGTGTTAGTTATAAACAACAGGTAAATTTGTTATCTTTGTTTGATCTTTTGTAATAATACCTATTTTAGGCAGAATTTAGCTTTGTTTCGTGGCCATTCAGTTTAAAACTACTCTGGGCACCTTTAGTGGACTCAATATTTTCTACCAGAATGGGTCGAAGAAAAACATGGCTTATTCCTGTTCAATACTTAATAGGAATTTTTATGTTACTTTTGTCAAGTCATGTTGAACAGTGGCTAGGAAGCAAAGACCATCCACCAAACATAGAAATTTTGACATTGTTATTTTTCTGTTTAAATTTTTTGGCTGCAACTCAGGATATTGCAGTAGATGGATGGGCTTTGACCATGTTGAAAAAATGCAATGTTGGCCACGCATCAACTTGTAACAGTGTAGGTCAGACTGCTGGATTTTTTCTAAGTTATGTTGTTTTTATGGCTCTAGAATCCCCTAGTTTTTGCAATATGTACCTTAGGAGTGCACCCAGCGAAGAAGGTATATTTAATATTTTGTTAAACCTATTTTGCAAATGGTAAAATTGGAATTTATAGGTATTGTCACCCTTCCTAGTTTTTTTTACTTTTGGGGCTGGGTTTTTATAGTTTCCACCACTTTGGTAAGCATAATGAAACGAGAGACAGAACCCCATGATCCAGAACATGAAGTAATTCATGACAGAGATATAAAAACAGCTTATACGTCATTAATGAACATTTTAAAATTGCCTGCCATCCAAACCTTAGTCATTGTTTTACTTACATGCAAAGTAAGGCTTCCACATATTGATTGAAAAATAATTCACTATTTGCATTTTTCAGATAGGATTTTCATCAACTGACAGTGTAATGACTTTAAAATTAGTAGAGGCTGGGATACCAAAGGAGAGGCTGGGATTGATGGCTATACCTTTAATTCCGGTTCAGTTGCTAATGCCCATCTTAATTGCAAAGTATACTACGGGTAACTTAACTTACTTACCTGAAAAAAAGGTGTTACGGTTTTCCTTACTATTTAGGTCCAAAGCCTTTGGACATATTTTTAAAGGCAATTCCATATCGATTAGCGTTTGGAATTGTTGCCGCATTTCTTGTCTACATAACCCCAACATTGGTGCCTGATGCCTCAGCAGGCTTACCTGTTACTTATGTTATCTTGCTAATCGGATGCTATGCTCTACACCAGGTAAAGTTACTATATGCAACAATATGCTTTATTCTAATAATTACTTTATTAGGTTTGTGTATATTGTATGTTTGTATCAATAATGGCCTTTTTTGCCAAAATAAGTGACTCTTCAGTGGGTGGTACATACATGACCTTACTAAATACTGTTACAAATTTGGGAGGTAATTGGCCGGCAATGCTTGCCCTTTATTTTGTTGATCCATTGACTTGGAAAGTATGCGAGGGCGGTGCCGGCCTAGAAAAAAATTTGTGCAGTAACAATATAGAAAAAGAGGTAATTTGATGAGATGCAATCATGGCATTATAAAAGGCTTACCTTTTTTTTAGCAATGTTTGGGGAACAATGGAAAATGTGTGACCACATTGGATGGATTTTATATAGAAACTGCAGTTTGTACGGCGATTGGTTTTATGTGGCTGGTTTGGGGTTTGAAAAAAATTCGTTATGTACAAAGTTTGGATGAGCAAGCGTGGAAGCTTAATAGAAAAAAAAAAGCAAAAAGATAGTATTAATATTTAAAAAATTGTGATTTAATTATTTAATTGTTCAAGAAAGCTGGTGTTGATGAAGTTTTCAAATTAAATGGTAATTATATGCCAGTAAAAGACTGTTGACTTTGTTTGACATCAGTTTTAAAAATGTTGAAAATGGGTAATGCCATATGGTATTATTTACTGTACAGTGTGATAATTGGTTTTGGGTTAATTAGTTTGTTATTATCTTTACATAAAAGAAAATAAGTAAATTTTCATCATCGAATCAAACAAAAATCGTCTAGGACATCAAGCCGCAGGGACTAAATTACTTGATTAGTTCGCTAATCAAATTTTATTTGGGAACTGTTTAAAATAGGAGCTATTATTTACAAAAGACTCTTCATAAATGCTTCTGTAACAAGATTTGTAAGTAGTTTTGATTAGAATCCTCAAATGTTATTAGTGACAGTTTACAGTTTTATTTTGTTGCGATATCTGTTAAGTTTTTGTAGCATTAAAATATAATTTTTTAATAAAGTTATATTATTTTTATGATGGGCAGTATTGTTTAATTATGACTATAGTAATTATTACAGAGTACTGATTAATTTTCCAAAAGGGATGCTATAATATCTACAAACTTAAAACTATTTAGTGAGCAACTGATACTAGGCTTGAAATTAATATATAGAAAGAATTAAATTATTTCTTGCTCTGTTTGTACCACCGAATTTTTGTTTTGTTAAAATAAGACAAATATATAATGTTATATTATGCAACAAGTTTAGTAACTGCCATTTTATTCACTATTTGGCCCAAGCGGAGCGAGTGTTCAATAAACCAGGTCTAAAGAACCTTATCAACTTGTCCCATCCTATATATTTTCTACGGCCATTCTTTTCTGTGTATATATTGTAATTTTTTTATTCAAATGATTGGCGTTCAGAGTCGTCTGTGTGCCTTGATTCAATCTTCAAAAACGTGGAAAATTGTTCAGAGTTAGTGTATCTCAAAAATATTTGGCAGGTGCATTCTTAATCTAATATTTCTAGCAAATAAATTAATTAGGTGCAAGTAGCAAGGTACATTTACCACTTTTGTAAATTCCCATAAGTAAATTGAAGACCTTCTTATGAAATATATTCCGCCAAACAATTGGTTTGTCAACTTATATTCTCATGTCGCCTTCGGATATAAACATAAATTAAACGCAGTGCACGGATAATAAAAAGTTACTTTTATTAAATAACTCCAGAAAATGGTGATTATAAAAGTGAATTCTGCTTAAATGAATTAAAAATATTCCAAGGCGATTCAAGGTACTCCCTAAAAATGTTTTCTTGCTGGAAGCTGCTCCGATAGCCCTGTAGTCTAGGTACAGGGCCAACCTCCGTTAAATAAACACTTTCACTAATCAATTGGTATGATTTCTTCTTTGATAAAGAATTCAACAACTTCCTCTCCAACATTATCAGTATCTGCTCCTAATTCATCAGTGTCAATGTCTAAAAAAAATATTTTTGGCGTATCGAATAATAATAAAGTAAAAGTAACACTCACTGTTTCTTAACGCCAGTCTTCTGGCTTTCCTTTCCTTCCATTCCTTGTGTTTCTCCTCCCGATAGCTGTTAAACTTCTGCATAAGGGCCGCTCGTTTCTCAATTAACTCCTTCGACGCTTTTGACTGTCGCATCCTGTCTTTGCTCTCAAATTGTGCGTAATACTTTTTAAGATTCTTCTTGATTTCCTTCTGCTGCTTCTCTGTTAACAATGTTGGAGGTCTTGGTCGCCACAGCGCTTGGCCGAAGCGTTCCAAGTTTACTCTTTTTAGAATTTTACCTTGGAAGGACCACATCCAGTAACCTGTTATAAAATCAAATAAATATGTGCAATAATAAAAAAAGAAGAATTGTAACCCTTTGCAAATATCACCGGAAAACATAAATTATTTTGGTGTTATCAATGCAAAATGGTCTTGGTTTTCCCTGAGCGTATAACTTCCGCCACAAATAAAATGTGGCAGAGCAAAAATTCAGGGTGCACTAATGTGTGTCAAAGCCTACAAACCTGTATCGACTTTTGTTTTCCAAAACGACACTCCGGTTATAACATATCTTCCGGTGGGATCCCATTCAACATCTGACAATTGATAGTGGTCCGTGGAGTTCATAATCAGGAACTCATGAGTGTCAACAAATTCTAGTGTACTGCCACCTGAGCTACCTAGTCCTGCCAACACAATAAATTGACCGCCTGGTGACCAAAACAAGTGGTTACACGTTCTCTTCTCAAATTTCTTAAGAAGTATTGGAGCTTGGCCAATTCTGCAAATGAAAACAGAACACATTGTATTGCTGGAATTACTCAATATTTTTATAGATATTTATTATAAGAATGGTACAAAATATCTTCAAAACAAGGTGAACTCAACTAATAATAGTGGATATTTTCTATTCTTGTTAAGACTATTCCAATAATGTCCGGTCTATGTTTTTGAAAGTATATGCTGTAATTATTTTCTTATTTAAACTCACTACAATCCAAAAGCAGATTCTTGTGGCACTACTATGTTGTTATGCATTAATCCCATTTTTTTTAAAATTCAAATTAATATAAAAGGACTAGTTTTAACTTACCTCACTTCATAAAAACTGACATTGATGTTGGGCAGTTCTCCATGTATCATGGCAAATTTTGAGCCAACAGGTTCCCAAGCAAATGCCTGGACAGGTTCTTTGCACTCTACATTATCCACTGGTATTTGTTTTTCTCTCAAGTGGAAAATTTCAAAGTTGCTGTACATTCCAGAGTATTTCATCTCATTCTTTTCCTTCCTAACTTTTGAATATCTTTAAAATCATAAAAATGATAAGTTACCATATTATTACCAATTGGGTTTACTGTTATTTTACTTATTATCGGCAATGCATTAACTTAATATTGCCGTTTTTATTTGTGAAATCACCGGCTGTCCCCTGAGCGTATAACTTTTCAAATATATTAAATTGCCGAAAAGTAAATGAATCAGGGACGCCACTGTACAGTTAAACTTACCGGTCCACTTTCACACACAGATAATCACCAGACTTCTGCCAATGAATCCTACAATCAGCAACGTTGAATAAATTTTTTTTCCTAATCTCATTCCTGTTTGGTATTTCCAGTAAAGTGACGCTTGCTGGGACGTCTTTATCCTCAGCAACCCAATACCTATAAAACAACAAATAGTAATCCTAAATGAGAAATTCTTCAATAGCAAATTTAACATACGCAACAATGTTATCTGTTGGTGACCAATTAAAATCTCTGATGCCACTAATTTTAATGGATTTCTTATCCAGAAGACCAAAGGAAGGAGTCTCATAGATAGATAATACGTCATTTCCTATTCTTGCAAAGTATTTGTCATCATGTGACCAACGAAAAATTGGCCAAGCAGGTTGGCCATCTGGATTGAAAGAACGTTTTTCCAATCCTGTCCTGTCACAATAATGAATTAAAAATGAAATAGACATAACCAAGTTGTTTTTCATACCTGATGTCCCATATAATGATCTTTTTCTGATCAGGTTTTTGTGGATCCCCTTGGGGAGCATAGGACACAACATATTTTTCACATGGTGAAAAATCAATGAATTGTGCATGGAAATGCGCAAATTTTCGGTACTGAGTAAAATTGGGTCCGGCCCATAAAGCAATACCTGGTTTATGAAAAGTACACAAATAAGTTCCCAGAGGTGACCACTTAACATATGTTATACTCCAACCCTGCAAGAAAAAAAGCTTCAGAAAGTAATTACATTTATAAACATTTACATTATTACGTTTCTTTCTTCAACAATTGTAGGATCGGGCTGGGTGTTTTGATAAATTTGAACATTCGCACTTTGAGCTGTAACAACGGCAAATTGGTCAAATGCATCAGGTTCAAGTAGATAGTAGTGCAGATCTGCTTGACCTTCATAAGGCTTGGGTTGTGGGGGATCCCATTTATCAGGAATTTGCTCATATTTAGCAAAATCAGTAAACAAATTAACCTTAAAAAGATTCAAATAAAAAGTGGGATTCATGAACAAAGTTGAGAGAAGAGAGCTTTACCTGAAAAGTGTGTTGTTTGTCTAATTTAAAATTGGTAAGATTAACCGCTTCTGCTGCATGTTCAGGAACTGAATATTCTAGAAAGATGTAGCCCTTTGTGGTTCCCTCTGGGGTTACCGGATAATACTCATTTACAATGTTACCAAACTTATTAAACAATTTATTGATAACTGATTTAAGTTTATCTAGTCTATCAGGCCCAACTTGCGGAACGCCATCGACCACTATTACGCTTTCATAACCATCGGTTTCCTTTGGTTTATCCTTTAGTATGTCCCCTAAGAGTTCTGTACCCCAAAAATATAATAACGCAATTATTAAAATTAAAACATCATTAAAAAAATCCAATCTTCGACCCAGTAAAATAACCTAACTTTTCAAGATGTTACTTAAACTTTCACCTGAATCAGAAATGTCGTCCACCATCCATTCTGGGTCGCTAAAATTGGGTTCGTCATTATTGCTGGATACATCACTATCATTTTTAGTGCTTTCATCACTTTTGTCTTCTATTTTTTTCTTAGCCATTTTGGCACGAGGCAAATTTTACTTGACAAATGACAGATACATGGATGAGATATGATAGATTGATATTTTTAGAAATGCTAGATACAAATGACGTAATGTAAGACAGGGCTAGTGTTAAAATAAACTTTGCTTTGGATCGAGATATTGAATATCCAAATGAATTTCTCATATCTGGACACCCACATCGTAATGGATGAAAAACTCCAAAAGGCTTCACGTATAGAAAAAATAAATTATGGTTGTATTCTGTGGTTTAGGTTTGACGTTGTTATGTTATGTGAACACCATATATATTTATATCACCAAGTGCAAATACTGTTTCAAATGATTTGCGCTCAGCTAGGTCCAACCGCACAGACGCTCAGTTTTTTAATACAGCCCGCCTGTGCAAACCTAGTTTGTGCAGGCGTATCGGTGCGTTTGTGTGAACGTCAGGCAGACTGCGCAGGCCGTTGGCCTGAGCAAAATCAGACCGTGCTTGAATTTAGCCTGCGCAAGCTTGGAAACCTGAGTGTGTGTGGACTCCTTCAGTTGATTTGTTCAGTTCTAAGTTTTATTTAGAATCCAAAAATAGTAAGCAACAAAATGAATGTTAACAAAGCTTACCATGTTTATGGAAAATAAAGAGTAAAGAATACAGTGACAGAAGTAAAAAATCCGCAGCCTATGATGTGTTGGTAGAAAAACTCAAAGAAGTTGATACGGGAGCAAATAGGGAAGCCGTGGTTAAAAAATAAATAATTTAAGGAGTTAATTTAGGAAAGAATTAAAAAAAAGTATTGAAAAGCAAAGTAAGTGGGGCCGGTACAGAAGATATTTATACTCCAAACCTGTAGTATTATGAATTGCTAATCTTTTTAAGTGATCAAGAGACACCACATACCTCAACGAGTAACCTAGACGATGAAGAACATGGAATAAAGGTAATAGGATATTATTAAAACAGTAATATGGTCAGTCAAAAAAGTGTCTATACACATTTTTCCCCTTTATTAAGTATACCAAGATTGAACCCAGTAAATGGTAAAAAGAATAGAAATAAAAATTCATAATTCGCATTTGCAATTGCCATTAAAACCATGCTGTGTACTTTTGTAATTAAAAAAATTTGATCCGCCACCAGGAGGCAGATGCTTCCAATCAACTGCTCCCAAGCAGTGTGGAAAATTCCTTCTCTGTTCAAATTGTTTGGCTATAGCTTCTTCCTCAGATTGTGGAAACTAAAAAAATATGTATTCATTTAGTTACCTGTTTATTTGTTTATTAAAATTTTATTAATTTTTTTTTCAGAGCCCACTTAAAGTCCTAAGTCCTGAAGTGCATGATCCCGGAGTTTTTAACATCAAACTAACAGAAGATTCCGAAATTTTATCCCGCCCTACTAGTTCAGCCAGTTTCACTCCAAGTACCTCAAAAAAGAATAAAAGAAAAGAAGACTCGACTGACATATTAATATCAAGAGCCTGTGCACAATTAGAAAAGAAGGAAGACCAATTTGATAGGCAAAACTGTAGCCTCAAAACTAAGAAGCTTGCCACATGAGCAACGAATATATGATGAAAAGATCATTAATTATGTGTTGTTCGAAGCAGAACTAGGATGTTTAAACCGAAATTATAAGTTGGTGCAAGAGCCTGCAGCTACAAATTCCATTTGTATGGAAGCCTCTCATCAACTGATGCCTATGCAATCTACTCAAGGACAATATAATAATACGCAGTCCTCTTATGAACTGCACGTTATGCAACCCTTACTTTCTGTACAACAAGAAGGTAATGAAAATTTAGGTACTTTTCTGCGTGGGTATAACCCTGAAGCCGAATATTAATTTGTAGATATGTTTTTCAACCCTTGATTTTGGAATTAACATTTTATATTTTTGAATTTTTGGAATAAAATGTTTACTTACCTTAATGAAGTCTGTTTTCAATACTTTGAATATGACTGCATGTTTCTGGTATTATTTGTCCCAATGCCTGAGGTGAAATTATTGTTGAAAACTTTAAATGTTCATACATTCTACCAGTAGCAAGAAATCTTAGGGTAGCTGTTAACCGATCATGGCATGAAATTGATTGCCTCATGCATGTCTTGCTTTTGTATTAAAGGAGAAACGAGTTTCAATAATTTCAAGTAGGTTGTCTCATCCATTCTTAGGTAGTTAAACCAATCCTGCTTCTCAAGTTTCAAATCAGCAAGCAAATTGACATGGGCGTAATCATTTCTTTTGAGTCGCCAATCATTGGTCCATTTGCTTCTTTGAACCAACCATTGCATTTTTTGCTTTTTCTTTATTTTCTTTTACTAACTATAGAAAAACTAGTGAATGTGAATTTACCCAGTTGGCTGTATAGAAAGAACTATGCTATAAAACTGCGTGTGTGTGGGACCGGTAACAATAAAGTTGAACTGCACAGTTGGCCTGTGCTAAAAAACTGAGCGCCTGTGGGGGCTTTAATGACTGCTATGATCATTCGCCCAGACTGAGGTAAGTATTTTGCGACTTGTGAGCTGGCAATAAAACGCCCTGCTTTACAGAACAAAAAAAATGCCATCCAGTAGCGCAACCAAAACTAAGCATGCCCATTGGACACATTCAATATTAATTTTACTTGTATATATGCTCCTTTCCAGAACACACCATAGTTTAACGGAGTTCATTTGGATTTCTGGTTACAATAGAATGTGTACATATGTATAGCTGTATAGAGATGTGCAAATTATTATTTACTTTTGGTCACTCATCCAGGAAAGCAACTAAAAACAGATAAGAATTTTTTATACAAAATCAAGTTTGAAATAAATTTAAACAACCAGTGAGAATAAATAGGGTTTTACTTAAAATAATACACTCATAAAAATGATTTTGAAGTACAAAAAATGTTTAAAGTAAACTATTTTGGTTTCTTAATGCATTGTTATTAGGGGTAACTTTAAACTTCCATTAATCATCATTTTTATAAGTAACAACAGTTTCCATCTTATGAATATTGGTTGAAAATGACCTCATCTTAACTGATTGGGCATTCTTTATATTTGCAGGCTCAGCTTCACTCCATTCTTTGGGTAATTCTACATCATTAGTAGTGTAGATCTGAATATCAAAACTGCACAGGCAATCTAAAAGTGGTAGGTATGCAACAGAGGAGGCTATTTGTTTAAGTACATCCCGAATTTCTTTCTTAATTTGTTTTAAAGGTTTTTCTGATATTTGAGATTCTCCCTCTGTGGCATCGCCTTCATACTCAACTTTAAAGTCCCATCGCTCCATTATTTCCAAAGTGCGGACATTTGTTATTACCAAAGCTATTTTGTTGACTGTTCTTTTTACTAGCCATTCTATAAATGAAAATAACTTAGATGTAGTAAAAGCAATTAAACAGCACAAACCTTTAAGTTGGTCCAGTGTGGTAGATAGAAAGTCTTTGATTTTATTGTCCTCTGACATTAATATGCTTAAACCATAATTTTCCACAGCTTTGAAAGTTTCTGGAGGGTATAAGCCACGTTGAAATAATATGGAATTTATTCCAAAATCTGGAAGTTATCCCTGTAAAATACACGAGAGGGTCTCTTATACTTACTTAAATAATCACATACTATCTCGGCCGACCCTCTAACAGTGATTGCGGATCGACTTTTCACTGCAGCACTAGTCATTTCGAGAGTTTTAAATGTAAAAAGTGAAGGAATAGTAAACTTAAATTAAATTAAATTCCTCAGTTATTTTGAAAGAGAAATTCCGTTTAATTTGACAGATTCAATTTAGAAAAAAATTTGACAACACAGAATAAAATCTCCAAAATGGTCCAAGAATAAATGTGCAGAATGTATTTAATTCCAAAAAAAGATTTTTCTAGTTGAAAAACGCTCGTCATCGGTTGAAAATTTATGTAATAAGTCCAAATTGTAATGGTACACCTGTTTCCAATGTATTAATTTTTTTGGAGAAACTTTTTCATTTTTAAAGTGGCCCAATGATCTTTGCAATATTTGTCTCAACAAAGAAGATGAAAATAATTTAAGTTATCTTTTAATGAGCGTACCGTATAATCCTGGTGGTCATGGCCAATAGAAGTAAAGAACAAGAGCCTTTAATAAATAAAAAATTAATGAAATGGAAAATACTCATAATATCAGAAAATGTAGAGCAGGCAAAAGAATTGAGGACACGACAAATGGTAAAACCTTGTTTTTTGTTTTGTAAATCATATAATTTGGAATTTGGGATTTTAGGAGATACAGAATTAAAGTACAGAGTACTTAGTATTGCCTCCTATTTTGTGGTTCTTGTTCTAATAGGAATACCAATTTGGTGGTATACAACTCGAGTCTACAGAGCAACTTTACCCTTGGACGAAATTCGAAATTTACAGTTGAACAACTACAGTAAAAGAGAGTTTGGAATACCTCTAAGTCTTGAGTATGATGTTCTCATTAGTTTTGTTCATCCAGATCCTGAAAATCTGCAAATTAAACTAACTGGATTGGAGATAGCCGAATATTTGCAAGATTTTTTGGAAGAATTGAGTCCCCTAGCAGACTTTATTACAAAATCTCAGTGGCTATATCTGACAGAGCTTGGAGCTATTCCAAAGAAAGTTAATAACCGTTTAGTTTTATTTGAACATCAATTACCTCATGTTATTACTCCTTTGGAGACAAAACTTTGGTCCCATATGTCTGCTCGGCCCAGTTTAAATTTGGTACTGTATTTTCCTCACTGTAAAGCACCATTATACATATATAATGATAATAATGAACCATCAAAGACTAACGCCTTTGTGAGTCCTAGGTGGGGCGGTATTTATGTTATTAATCCAGATGGTAATTCTTGTGAGAAAGGGCAATTTAAACCCAATGTAAATTTGATTGTGGCAACATTCAAGGCTACCTTAAAAGAGCTTTTTAAAATTCAAGATGATTCAATAGATGGATTAAAAGAATTAAGAAGAAGAAAAACTGAGGAGTTGTTAGAATCATCAAAACGGACACTAAAATCACTGGCTCAATTGTTGCAGGAAATAAACAGTATTGTCATAAGTGATGAAGTTGCAGAGAAAATTAATATTGCTGTCAAAAATGTTAATGATGCTGCGAGTTATATAAGCTCTAATAAGTCGACCAATGCTTTGGCAAGTGCCAAATTAGCATTTAAAAAATCTGAAGAGGCATTTAGTCATCCCTCATTGTTGGCTTTACTTTATTTTCCGGATGATCAAAAGTAGGTATAAGTCAGTAATAAGTATTGTAATGGCTTTGAAGGGGTTTAAGTTCTGTAATTAATTTTGAACAATTTATTTGCAGGTATGCCATATATATTCCTTTGTTTTTACCTGTGATGATACCCGTAGTAATGTCCTTAACATCAATTGGGAGAAAGCTCAAGAAAGTAAAGTGTGATTAAGCATAGCAGCAGATAGAATATTATTTAAATTAATTTAAATTTAGGTGGTTTTTTCAAAATAAAACAACTAAAGAAGCCCTAAAATCTCTCAAAAATTAAATAATTTTTAAAAATAAATCGGATTTTATGCACCTCAAAAGTACCGAACTATCGGTAGACCACCAAAAATTGCGCACACGAAAAAACCGTTAAAACTAACCAAATTATTCAAAATTATCCCAATAGCACAAAAAAAATCATTTGAGAGAGATTAGAACCAGGGTATCGTATTAGTTTTTTGGGTGTTATTTAGATAATTTTGCATTAATTCGGAAAATTCCATCTTTTTTTCATATGCCTAATTTTTGGGTACTTGGGCGGTGCGTGAAAACATGAGTGCTTTTTTAGAGGTTTCGGGTCTTTTTTGGATGTTTACTTTTCGGAAAACTGACTAAATTGGTATGATTTTAACTTGTTTTTCGTACCCTGGTCCAAAAGTAATATTTTATATCCTTTTTAGGTTATTGGCATAAATTGTGTGTGATAAAATGTTAATCCAAATACTCAATTTGTTTTATTTTTTATTGATAAAACACTGCGAAGTGAGGTGCATCATCCGTTTCAAATATTCAAGAGTTTTAAGAGTAAGCAGAGTGTGGTTTGTGTTTATTTTGTTTTAAAGATCTGCAGAGTATGACTGTTCACGTATTACGATTTTGTTGCACTGAACTGAATTTGCATTGTGAAAGTAAGTTCGTGACGTCATAACAATATTTCCCTAGCGCGAAAGAAAATACATTTCACAGTTTTAGACATACATTTTGATATTCTATGGGAATGGTGAGCTATTTCTTTCAACAGCTGTTTCTTGTCAATCGTTGAAGGTTTTCTGTCAAATAGAGGCTTTAATGTCGATATGTTTTATAAAATAGATTTTTGTAGTTTCTTCAGAATAAAACCAAAATATTCTTACAAGTTTTAACGCAATTCTATCGATAGCAATAACAGACTAACCTTTTTCCAATGCTCAGGTTTAAGTGACTAAGTCTATAACATAAACAGATGCAAATCCATAAACATTGATCGCCTAATGTATTTAAAATTAGTATCGTTTTCTTCAAAAACTCGTTATTCCAAACTCTGTTTGGGAGTGTAATCTTACCCTTTGTGAGTGTTGACAATATACAAAAAAATGTTCGAGTTTTTTGAAACGAAAATGTGCCATCAGCCATAGCAGTTTGTTATGACTATGTGGTAAGTTTTTCATTTGGTAATTTCTCCCATGTTATAAGAAATTGCTAATATGCAGTAATACTTTATTCACTGCATTTTTACTATTTCGCTTTGCTGGTTGTATTTTTATATTGTTAAATAATAAAGTACACTGTTCTTATTTTTATTTTAAAAGTGTTATTTTATATGCTGCGAATTAGTTGATAACAATTATCATAAAAATCATGTTTTCAAATAATTTGTTTTTAATTATGTAGGTCTTGTAAAACACGTATAGACCTGCATTTAACAGAACAGCACATATTTGTTTTAATGTTTTGTAGGTACTATCGTTTTTTTAAAGTACACACAGTAGTGTGAGACATTAGATATCATACAAACTGTTCTCCCCAAAAGTTTTAATTTTATCTAAACAACGTTTTCAGCTAACTGCATTTTCATTTCACTGCTCAATTTTTGTTTTTGCACTGAACACCGAATATATTTGTGTATTTTTTGCAGAATCCATTTCAGTGCCGAATTATTTAAGATTAAAGGTCAATGCTTTTCCTGAATTTTGTTATTTGTATTTGATATCAAATATAAATTTTGCGCTATGGCTGATCTAGAAGCCGTGCTAGCTGATGTTAGCTATTTGATGGCTATGGAGAAGAGCAAATGCACTCCTGCAGCCAGAGCAAGCAAGAAGATTGTTCTTCCAGATCCCAGGTATTTACTATTTCAAAAAGTGGGACTATCTTATTAGGTCCAATTATTCCTTAGAATTAATTTTGATTTGTCCTGTTTTATCTTACTGTATCTTTTGTTTCAGTGTTCGGAGTGTCATGCACAAATACTTGGAGAAAAAAAATGAGATGTCTTTCGACAAAATCTTCCACCAAACTCTGGGTTAGTAAATTGCTTTTTTAAACTTTGGGTCGCCCTTTAGCACAAAACTATTCAAAAGAAGTCAAGAATTTCCCTATGCATATGTGTTTGAAAAAATGTTTTTTGTTGCAGGGTACTTGCTATTCAAAGATTTCTGTGAGAATATGGAGCCTCCTATTCCTCAAATTGGATTTTATGAACAGGTGAGCTTAGTTTCTGTAGTTTGGTTTATATGTATATATTATTTTGATCTGAGGACCTATCAAAATATAAATCATAATATAAATATTCAGAGTTGAACTGTGCAAGTCTTAAGAAGGGAAAAATATTAGCCAAGAAATACACAATGATTCAGTTATATGCTTTATTTGATGGTACTAAATTTCAAGTTCCTCATTATTGATTTCCGTTGTTGTTGTTGCTAAGTCTTCGAACTCCTCTCTTTGTATGTCAAGAAAATGGTTGATTTCCAGCAGTTTATGTCTGTTTCTGATTATTGCATTGTTGGCTAGAGTTTCCATTTCGGTCTTAAACCATCTTTTCGCTGTATTCACCTAATCAGATATGTGATATTAATATTTATATTGGAAATTTATTTTAAAAGTGTTGCCCGTATATCCAACTATTGTTTACTTTTCTAATTATATTTTTTACAGTATTATCAAACTATTTGTTAAGTTTTGATGAATCGAATAGAGAGTATGGATAAATAACAAATTTTGTTACCATTCTGTCTTCTCTGCCGTCGATAATCTGCATATGTACATCATGTGTAGCGGCCATGGCATTGTTCACTGAATCTCTGTCAGTCATTATATTTTTTAATAATTTAGATAGTGTTTCATCCGCATTTAAACTCACAATAGCCAGATATCTTGTGGCTGCATCATGAATATTTTCTGCGTATGACACTTCAGTGGCTCTCAGATTTGTAAATATGGCCTGCACTGCTTCTACAAATAGGATCATATCTTTAAAACATGGCTAGGAGAAGGAAAGTTATAGTGGTACTTTCGTTTCATTTAATATCTTACCAATTAAATTATTAATTATTTCGGTCATATTTTGTTCAAACAGTTGATTGACTTCTTCAATCTGTTCAAAAAGTGTCATTTCCAAGGTCATTAATTTTTTCCATGTGAAATGGATTTTGGTATCGTAATTTTTTTGGCACTGCTCGACCTTTTCCTTGTATTGGTCCTCCGTGATGGCGTCGTGGTCCAGTTGAACTTGGTATTTTTTAACCTCGTTGAACAATTCAGTTTTTTTTTCTGTAATCAAGCATCCGCATTTTGAAAAGCTGCTCGTTGAGCGAGATCTTTGTTTATCGGATATATGAAAAATATTGTTAAAATGTTACATGTTAGGTTTATATTTAAGCCTCTTTAACTAGTCGGGTAATGTACCTAAAAATAATTCCATGATTTCGATACTCCTTTCCTTATTGTCCCTTTTGGCATTTTCAATGCATCTGGTAAATTCGTCCATTTCTGTTTGACGTAAGTTGTAATATTTTTCGCCAATTTCAAAAATTGTTTTGCACAAGTTAACAAATTGACTCTTATATTCTTCGTAGAGTTCGGTAGCGTCTTCGCCAATTTCAAGAAGTGCTTTTCCTGTTTCAAAAAATACAATTAATTTTGAAAAAAAATCCTACGATGAAATAATCAAATTTGAGAGTATCTTGAAAAATATAAAATACGGACTTGATTTGCCAAATTTTCACAGGTCAACATTTTTTTTATAATTGCATTTTTTTGTGTCCAGATTTGAATGTTACAAAAAAATTTAACATGTTACAAAATTACGTCAAAGGTTAAAAAATGTTTTTTAAATTAATCGATTTTGGTGTTGGGGTTTTAGTAAGTAATGGTAACTAAATTAATAAATTATGAACAATGAAGTAAAAATCTTTTAAATTATTTTGATCGTCAATTTTGTCAGCTGTAGCTGTTATGACTAGTGTTAGGGTTGGGTAGCGGTTAATTGACCGCTTCTTAATTGACTAGTCAAATTCGATCAAAATGTTTTAAATAACATCTTGCAATTGTAGGGTGTTATCTATCATTATTTAATAATAATATGTATTTGATAATTAATTATTATGCGTTTGTGATGTCCAATTTACCTATAACCAATATACTCCTATATGATACTTAGCGATTCGGGGAATCCCAATAAAAATATCGATTCCGCTTAGTTCTCAGAACGACGGGATGACGACATAACCCACAATAATATAAATAAATATAAATTATTATTATTAAAAATTATTTCGGTCAATTATTGGCACTAAAATATTTGACCGGTCAATTCCGCAACCCTAATTATTACGCAATCAAAGTTATTTGTGGTTTAAATTTTATGTAGATACCTAAAATGGTTGCAGCAATAATTAAAAAAAAAAACGTTTTTTTTAAATCCCCTTTTACTGCTGAAGGCGGCGTTTTCGAACACAACACAACTAACGTTATTTTTTAATATATTTATCCTAGAACGGAACTCTTGAAAACGCCCTGTATATCGGTTGTTATTTTGACAGATTTTGAAATATCGTCAATTGGTTAAACAGTGAAATTTGTCATTTGAAATCATGACGGCAATTTACTGCCACATTCAGATACAGATTCTCAGATCAAATTTAAATTTTATATTTTTGATTGCAAAATCGCAAGGTTTATGAGAAATACTCCAACTTCATCGTTGAATCAATATTAACAAAAAATATGAATTTAGTAATTTATCACGAGCCACCGAGTAAATCGATGGATGTATTTATTTCCTGCAAGTCAGTTTCACCTTCCGGATCATGTTCAAACATTTCTTCGAAGAGTTGGTCGGCATCCAAACCATCGACGAACATTTTGCAATGCATCTCTGTATCTGCCATTTTTTTTTGCAAGGCAGATTTTCTCTCGTATTCTTTGGCTTCTTCTTTCTGAAGCGTTCGAAGAGACTCTTCAAATATTTCATTTCCCAAGTTCCTTTCTTCGTCAGTGATTCTATAAATAGGCAATCGAGAATATCGATCTTTTGAATGACATTTGCATAGATTTTTTGTTTCCTGTTTTAAATTCGCTACTTAAAACGTTATTGCCCAAGGTTAAGAATGTTTGCGTTAAGTTATTGTTCGGCGCTGAATTTGATAGGTGAGTAACAGGATGTGGTCAACCGAAAATCGGTTTTGTGTGATTAGGATATCGTAGAGCTTCTGTACTTTCACCAATAGTACAAATAGATACAGGATAATACTTTGGTTAATATTATTACATATTATTAAATGAAAATGTTGAAGTAAGGATCTACTGGGGATTCTCAGTTCAGTGTGACGTAACTTAGTAATTTTTTCTACAGTAATTTAGAATTGTATATTGTATATTTTGTATATTTTAAGTATTATCCAAAACTATAAAATTCACATTAATAGCGATTTATACAAATTTTACACACATTATAGATAATTATTAATTTTTTGATAAACGCGTTTGACACATTTTTTTTTGTTAATTTCTTTTCCGACAGGGTGCGTCAGCTATGATAGAAAACCCTGGCGAAAACGCTGATCTAATTTTGGATCCTATTTTCAAACTTATTTTTCACTAGTTTTTGATACTCATAAGGGCTCAACACATTTAAAAATTTTTCATAACTAATCTTCTTACTCAATATTTGCAAAACTTTTTTAAGTGCACATCAAAAATTAAATTTTTGCGATGTTTTTTAGCTTAGTTTATAGGGGTCACCAAACTTTCCATCCTTAGGGTCACACTGTTTACTCCAGTAAGCTCCAAAAGGCAAAACCGTTTTAATTTTTTACTATTTTATGATTTTAGTATAATTGTGTAAATTATTTGTTTTTGCTTAAGTTAAATTTTCGTCGTATTATGCTTGTCATTAAGGTTTAGTAAACCCCTGGTCGATTAGTATAAAACATTTTGATAAAAAGAAATAATTTTAAAAAATATTATTGCAATTGTCGAATGCGAAAAATCTACGGTAGTTTGTTATTATGAACATTGGGTAAAATCCAACCAGGAAATATTCCGCTCTAAATAATGTTTGTATTTTTAAAAACGGAAATAGATAGAACAATTATAAAAGTATAGTTTATGCATATTTTTTATTTTTTAAAATGAGTGGAGACTACCGCTATTATTCTTCTAAACTAAATTTAAGGAAATTCTTATGCATTTACTTTTTTTTTCTAATTTTATGTTCTATTTAGAAACTCTTTTGCCTCCTGTTTTTTTTTCATAAAACTTAGAGCTTTATAGTTTTTAGTTAGGTTCTGTCAAACAGTTGAACCAATCTTTATCAATTATTTATTATTATTATTACTTAATTATTACATTTTACAAATAATTTAATAAAAAACATGTCTGAAACTAATTGATCTTTTTATGCGCAGACAATGAATAAATAAATACCGTCTTTAAAAACCTTTTATTTGGACTATCTAATTCAAATAAAAACAACACCAATAAACAAGACACCTTAGGCAGAACAAGAATACGATGTTAACTTTCGAAAATGTCTACCTTGCGTCTAATGCATGCATTTATGCTTCCAAGTAATTTCAGTTAGCACGCATGTACATAACATGCATATCTGCCATTTCTGCATTCGTGTAACTCAGCATTAGTTAGGTATTGAGATTTTTTTATGTGGAAACGGTAAGTATTATGAAAAAATTACAGGAGGCAAAAAAAATCTAAACAAAACGTTTTTCCTTTAATTAATTAATTAATTAATTTTGTTAAGAGGAATTAATTAAGTTAAGAGTAATGGTAGGGGTTGTCTATTTAATCCCCTCCACTCAATTTTAAAAAATTAAAGATAGACAGAAAGTGTGCTTTTACAATAGTAATACTTCCATAATATTTTATTCTATTTTCGTTTTTTATGATAAAAAATAAAATCATTATTTTTCCGCCATATTTGTAGCGCGATATTTCCATTCCTTTGCTTTGTAACACGCTGGAAATACTCCTCTTGATGAGTATTTTCAAAATATTACACCATAGCAGTTCAATAGTATTCATGAGTATTTTTTCAATTTATTTGTAAAGCTATTTTAATTCATATTATTATTATTATTATTATTATCAAAAATGATAAACGTGACGTCTATTTTCCTTTGCACTCTAGAACATTCCCCTTCAGTTACCAGTTAGCCTGTCATCGTTGTATTTACATCGTTTCTTACCTGCGATATTCGTAATATACCAGGTTCGGCAAATAGGCAGCCACATAGCATCTAAATTGTTGGTCGTGGGTGCATGGATTTTCTGCCATATTCAGCGATATGAGATTTGGAAATTTTCTAAAGTAATTTACGTTGCTCTTGTCAACTAATTTATTTTTTCCTAGAACAAATATCCGGTATATGTCGCCAACATTCAAACGTTTTGAAAATTAATATTTTTTAATTCAATTCATTATTATTGGCAACATTTATAACGTTGTGAGATTTCAATTTGATTTTTTTTATTATAATGATTCAGATACGATATTTAGTGTGACGAATATATTATTATTATATTATATTATAAAAATATTATTGAGTTATCTTTAATTCCATCTACATATGGAGACAAAAGCACGCATCAGTAATTTGGTTAGTTTGCTTTAGATGCCACGTCAATGGTGTAAAATGTTAGGTACTTACCTATGCTGAAAATGGCGAGCTTTGTTTGTTTTTCCATGTTCTCCACGATTTCGATTAAATTTTCGTAGAAATTTATCTTTTCAAGATTGATTAAAGCATCTAAATTTTCAATTTTTTTAATATTGTTAAACGAGAGATCTAGTTCTTTCAAATGTACCAGGCTATCCAAGTTCTCAATTTTTTCGATCAGATTGTTGTTGAGCCCTAATTTGGTTAAGGTTTTTAGTATCCACAGGTGATCTATTTTTAGAATGTTTAAGTATTCAAATCGAATTTGTTTAACTTCGTCCATGGAGATGCCTTTTTCGCGTAAAAGGCGGCCCACCTACGAAAGTGATTTGAAATGTCAATTATTTGTATGTGCACGATTTTAAAGCCACCCTGATTACAGTATTCTTCTTCACTCTAGTTTAACATAAAATTCAAATAATTTCAAAATAAAAAGATTTAAACTCTAAAAAATAATACTTATTTTTTAATTTAATTTATTATTCTTAAAATTCCTTGAAATTTTCCTTAAAATTTCTTGAAAGAAGTGAGCGTTAAATATTCAATAAAATAAAAAAAATTGAAAATTGATTATAAATATGTAATAAAGTAAAGCACAAATCAGAACTTAGTAAACTTAGTGCTAGCCATCATCTACGTCTACATATTCAAGTAATGATAGCAGTAATGTAGATAAGTTCTATTAGTAGTGTCTATTTACCTCGCCTTTTGGATATTGCAAATCTATACATTTCTCTATAAGGTCGTTGTCGATAACTCGGAGCTGTCTTTCTTTACACGGATCTGTCATCACGTGTTGCAAACTGAACGTTAGGAAGCGGGAATTGATTATTTTGTTTGGATGCTTCCAAGGAAACGAGAATTGTACGGGATTGGATGAGATCCTTCTCATAGAGATCTGTTTTTACTTTTTTTTTTTTCATATATTTTTCTACTTCCTTCTGTAAAATACCCATTTATATACCGATCTAGCGTGCGGCAAACGTCACTTTAGCACGTGAGTTTCTTGTCCCACAGATCCGAACACCTTCGGACATTTCCGGGATTTTACCTCACGGGTTTGGGAGCAATCGGATGGTTTCGAGGATTTTACGGCACGGCTTGAATTTTGAAGTTTGTCAATTCTGACGGTCATGTCAATGAATCTATTCGTCTTGTTTTGCAAAAATATACCCAAAAACTAGCGGTCGTAAAAAAAGTATAGTATGCAAAACGTTTGGTAAACTTTTAAGTTACTCGTTAATTAAACACAAATAAACTCGTGACTCAAATGCCGTTTACCGCTCTTGTTGCATAAAATGCTACTACCGCATTTGTTGCATAATATACTATTATTTTTAAGTGGTTCTCTCATTTCGAAAAATGGTCGCTGTGCGTATAGTCTGTTCCGTATTATGCGCTACGTAGTCTACAAAGTCACTACACTACTTTGTATTTTATTTTTTTTATTTTGCCTTAGAGAGATGCATTGTTTTTCTATCATGCTCCTGCGGACGACTATGGAACATACATCCTGTATAAAGTGACTTCAAACAATGTTCGATATTGAGGTTATAACCCTAGATCTCCCACTTTTCCTGGTATATGAATTGAATATATGAAACTTGTTTTCTGAAACCATGATACCACCGTAATAGAAAATGACGTCATCGCGTCTGGATTGAGTGAAAGAAATTGCGATTTTCATATGAATTTTTTCAAATATCTCGACCAGGGTATGTGATAGATAAAAACCATAAAGACAAAAAAATTATAGCTATTGATGCGGTTTACGATACCGTCTAAACCAATTGCCCATATTTTTTAGGAATTTTGATTTACATTTAATAATACGAAAGAACAATTTTCAGGGTCTTTTAGATTTTGGTCTATTATTGAAAAACCCTGTATGTAATCCAAAAAATGCTTGAAATAAAAGTTGTAGTACCGGATCTTCCGCGTCTACTGGTAAAATAATTTTCCCGATCAAGTAAGTAGTTTTCCAGAAAATTGTTTTTTTTTCTGGAAACTAAAATAAAAACAAAATTTTCAAAAAATTCTAAAAAATACTTGGCAATCCTTGATTACTCCCTGTTTCTACGGTTTAGATGTGGGTGTGTACTTTCACCTCTCTGCTAAATTTGAAGTCGATGGTTGCAAATTTCGGACATCGTGTTTCCTTGCGATGTACGAGAAACAGACGAAAATCGCCAAAAAAAGATAGACGCTAATGCGTCTGTCTCGTGGCTTGTTTAAAAGGAGACAAATTTCAGCATCCTAGCTCCAACGGTTCCGAAGTTATTCGCGTTTTTATGAAGCGTCGACAGAGAGTAGAGTAGAGAACGGAGAACAGACAAAACTAAAAAAAAATTTTTCGAAAGTAACAAGAAAAGTAGATATTTTCCAGTCAGAACTACCGGGTGATTTAAATAGGAAACTTTTTAGAGTTTTAGAGCACTTGCGGTGAATTGAAGAACTTTTTTTGTAATCCTGGATAAGTTCCCTTATTTTTTTCACTTTCTTGTCAGTATTGTGCAAACTCTTGGTTATATCTGTGGTTAAGCAGTGGCTTTTAATTGGTTTTAGATAAAAGAGTACGAAAAATTAGAAACTCATGACGAGAGAAAAGAAAAAGCTAAAGAAATTTACGACACCTTCATTATGAAGGAACTTTTAGCTCGAACCCACGTACGTACAATCTCACCTCTATTCGTTTTCGATAGCGTATGACGGCCCTAAATTTTAGGAATACTCGGAAGAATGCCTTCAACATGTCCAGCAGCATCTCATGCGACAGGAGGTACCAGTCACTCTTTTCGAGGTTAGTTTCTTATTTATTGTCAAACAGCCAACTGCAGTTTGCAGCAACCTATATAATAAACGTATTTTTTCGTCTTCTTCGTTTGTGCTTCAAATTTCGAATAAAACAAATTCCGAGAGTAGTGCAACGTAATACGCCCTAGCATCTTCATTTATTTTTAATCGTAAAAGTCAACTTAGCCAAATTACAGTTGCAACATTTGTTCAAAAAGTATAAGTGCTTCTAGATGACCTCAAAGTTGGAGGTACTGCCAGAATTAAGTGTCCCTTGATATGCCCATTCAAATTTGGACTATCCCTAATATTAAAAATAAAAAATAGCGAGGATTAGGTTAGCATGTATTTCATATTATGTAGCTATGTATCTTATTTTAGCCTTATATTGAGGAGATTTATAATCACCTCAGAGAAGAACCATTCAGACAGTTTATAGAAAGGTGAGTTTTTCTTTTTTACTCGTAAAATAATTAACAAAATAAAAAAGTTGAAATTGTTAATTAAAATAATTCAAAGCATAATTTAAGTGGGTGGGAATGATTATTTTTTATATTTTATTTATTGGTATTTACCGTTTCGGGGATGCAATGCATGTTTTTTGTTTTAGCGACAAGTTCACTAGGTTTCTGCAATGGAAAAGTTTGGAATTAAATATTAAGGTAAGACTTTTCGGTCGTTTCGAATGTTTAAAAAAAATTCGGTGTAATTAAACGGACACGAAAATACTGGTTGTTCCGGAAGCGACAGAAGTTCTATATATCCGCGTTCCCTGCCGTTCCATTCCAGTTTGGATCCAATCAGAGAGTTAAGCGAGGCGCGAATATTTCTACCGACTCGACTATTTATTCCATTATTCCATTGAGAGAGCAATACGGTGTTTAAAAATAACCCGTTCTATTTGTTTTGTTTTGCGCTCTAAGTAGCCGCTGTGGCGTTTATCTGAAAATGGCGCAGGTGAAAAATAAAATTCCGAATATTGGTTCTGTAAATTTCGAAAGTAATTTGATCTAGTGTTATGTTGTTTGTAGGTGGTCGAGACATACTGTAATGTTCTCTGTAAACTGATGGATTTAAATTAAAAGTATTGAAATATCCGTAAAAATTTTTCGTATAAACGTAAAAAAAGTTTAAGTACAAAAGTTGTTTCTATTAAAATGACATTTATTTTTTTTATTCGTAATCGTCACTTTTTTGTATACAGGGTGGTGAAACAAAGTTACATTTTTTTAAAGAGAACACCCTACATACGCGCTGTTGCCACGTTTCGCAAAATGATACTTTTCTCATTTTTTTAAAATGAGATACCCTGTATATTATTGAATTTTTGAATACTCATATTTTGTGTCATCATGAAGGATTTTTGCTGCTCCTCCTGGAGTTTTGTGGGAGTTTCCACTTGAACTGCTGCCTTTCTGTCCTGCAGTGCTCTTTCCATTCGAGTGGTTAACTGAAAACTAGGATTATAAGGGAGAATTTATTACAAATTCGTTTCATTTCAATCAATGTCCGCGATGTACTCATCATTTTAATAATTCTTTTGATACCATAGATTCACAGCACATACTAAAAATTTTATTACGCTATTACGAGTAATTATCTATGTTCATAACCTACCTGAAATATTGCCTTATTTATGTGATTTTTATGGGTTCATTTTCTACTTACGTTTACGGACGACCCTCAAATTCAGTCGTACTGGACTAATGAAACTTCCGCACCATTTGAAAACAGACTATAAAATAAAAAAATAGTAAAACAAGTCACGTAAATTTTCATGATTCCCAGAGACCACGTCTTCCGTGGTTCCTATTAGTATGTGTGTGATATTTTTAAAACCAAAGAAAAACCTTGAGGTTAAATGTTTAAAAGCCTAGTTAAGAGCACTATGTTTTATCGACAACTAAACTTTTACTACTAAAAAAGATCGCTTACCAACTTTAGGATATCTTCGTTGCCAGCAAAAGGCCTACGAAGAATCTAAATAAGGTTATCACCTAAATTTATATAAATGGCAAAATATGCATCTTTGAGTTTGAAGTTTGAACAAGAAATGCCATATTGAGTCGGATATAGGGCAACACCACTTATGTAACCAATCTTTCTGACCGGCTATGTTTTTTTTTTCTGACCGTGTAACCTGCCAACCTCTGTCAGTCTATGGAGCGGGAAATGCCTAGTTTGTTGGAAATAAATGGCTAGTAGGGTATTCAATTTTCGATAAGTATATTTAAAGACAACAGAGACACCCTGTAGGGTCCGAAGATTTTTAGAAACGTTCTATCTTTAATTACAGCGTAATTTAGTACGGTATAGTTAAAAGTGCAAATCATGTCATTATGTCCCATTGAATAAGCGAGATGCGCCAGCCAGCCAGCACGGGAAAGCTACCTACATTATAGACTTAATTATTCTTTTGGGCAGTTATCGATGAATGACTTCAGCGTCCACCGTATTATCGGTCGCGGTGGTTTCGGTGAGGTCTACGGTTGTCGGAAAGCCGATACGGGTAAAATGTACGCCATGAAGTGCCTAGACAAAAAACGGATCAAAATGAAACAAGGCGAGACTTTGGCGCTGAACGAACGCATCATGCTGAGCTTGGTTAGCACCGGACAGGACTGTCCCTTCATCGTTTGCATGACGTACGCCTTCCACACTCCCGACAAGCTGTGTTTCATATTGGACCTGATGAACGGAGGCGACCTCCATTATCATCTGAGTCAACACGGCGTGTTTACCGAACAAGAAATGAGATTTTACGCGGCGGAGGTAAAACTTCGCGTCAATTCGAATCGTACCAACGCATTAAACCATCATTTTTCAGGTAATATTAGGTTTGGAGCATATGCACAGGAGGTACATCGTGTATCGGGATCTGAAGCCCGCCAACATTCTACTCGACGAACACGGACACGTACGCATCTCGGATCTCGGTTTGGCTTGTGATTTTAGCAAGAAAAAACCTCACGCCAGCGTCGGTACGCACGGCTATATGGCTCCCGAAGTGTTATCTAAGGGAACGCCCTACGACTCGTCCGCCGACTGGTTTAGTTTCGGGTGTATGCTCTATAAACTTCTCAAGGGTCATTCGCCTTTTCGGCAACACAAGACAAAAGATAAACACGAAATCGACAGAATGACCCTCACCATGAATGTCGAGCTGCCCGATTCGTTCTCTAAGGATTTGAAATCATTATTGGAGGGTTTGCTTCAACGTGAGGTGGACAAAAGGTAGACGCGCGATTACGGGATGTAAGGGGGGTGATTGAGGTTTCGTTTATTTCTTTCCAGATTGGGCTGTCGCGGTGGTGGAGCTGACGAGGTAAAAGCGCACGTCTTTTTTTCCGGACTAGACTGGCAACAAGTATATAATCAGAAATACGGACCCCCTTTGGTACCGCCACGCGGAGAGGTTAATGCCGCAGACGCGTTCGATATTGGCTCGTTCGACGAAGAAGACACCAAAGGCATCAAAGTATACATGTTTAGCTACCTCACTTGCGTTCTAATACGCATAATATTATTTTAGCTTACGGATGCCGATCAGGAACTGTACAAGAACTTTCCTCTGGTTATATCGGAGAGGTGGCAGAATGAGGTGGCCGAGACTGTGTTTGAGTCGGTTAATCAAGAGGCTGACAAAAATGAGAAGAAAAAACCAAAACAGAAGAAACTGTACGACGACGACAAAGGTAATTGCCATCAATATTAAGTAATTATATTTTAAAAATTTTCGTCGGTAATATCATCTAAAGCTCTGAATTTCAACAAAGTCGGGAAGGGACATTCGTCGTTTTCCCATTGTTGCGGTTAGATCAAACGGTTGGAGACGACAACTCCAAAGTCAATCTGTAATGTGCCTGCGGAGAGTTCTGTTTTATTCCTCTCCTGTGCCAAGTCAACAAAAACAACAAAAATCAGTTTAATATATTTTAAGAAACCTCCAGTCACATTGATTCTACAAATCGGAAAAAAAACAAGTTCTAGTATATATTCTTCGGGTTTTATTTACATGGTCTAATAATAATAATACTTTAGTTGACTACAAATAAATGAATAACAGTTAATATCAACGTTCATTGCCAAATATCCATAGAGCCTCATATTTCAATTTCTTTAACAAATCATTTGCAACACTTTAAAAAAAAATTATGATAATAATACTAAACTGTGTTTAATAAAAATAAAAACTGAACTGTCCCTTGTGGAAGACTACATTTTGTATTCTTGTAGGTTGAATATTTGCCATATTTCATAACTTGTGTCCGACCAGATATGTAATCTTTAAACCAGTTCACTCTAATAAGGAGCAAACCATATTTTTCGATTTTAATTAGATGTAGCTCTCTGTTTATTGTCAAACGCGAGTCTAAAGTCAAAAAATACTACACGCCAATCGTTCGTCCACTTTGTAAAGCTAAAGCTAATCACTAACTAAACATTTAAGAACACAATTTTACGAATTTTAAGAGTCGGTAAAAAAAGTATAGCTCATCATGATAAACTTGTAAATGTAATAATAATAATACTTTATTTAATGGCACACGGCTCGCAAAATTATATTGCATACAACAAACGGTTATGCTTACAAATAAATAAATAACAGTTAATATTCGATTTAACAAATAAATTGTAACACTTTGCAAAACCTTCTAAATAATATAATAATAATAATAATAATAATAATAATAATAATAATGATAATAATAATAATAATAATAATAATAATAATAATAATAATAATAATAGTAATAATATTAACAATAATAATAAAAAACTGTGTTTATTAACAACCAAAATATTACAATAGAAGTACCGTATGCACAATGTCCCAGAACTGTCCCTTGTGGAAGGCCATTTTGTATTCTTGAAAGTTGAATGTTTGCCATATTTCATAACTTGTGCCCTACAAGATGGGTAATTTTTAAACCAATTCACTCTAATGTTTACAAAATTGTTAACTAAACACTTTAGAATGTTATTTAAGAATTTTATGGGTCTGCAAAAAAAGATTATGGATATAGATTATAGATAAATTTTCATGAAAAACTTGTAAATGTCTGGATTTATTTTTAAAAATTTTTTCAATAATTTACCCAAGTCCGGAATAGCCCCCGCATAGTAAGGCGTGAACCAATTCGAAAATAAATTATCTCATGGTTGCGCAAACACCAGTAAACAAACATGGCGTAAAATACATATTTACCTGTTGCCTTTGAACGCCGGCCGGCGCACACAATGTTTTGTGGTTGGCAAAGCCCTATTAAATGCATAGCTTTAACTTTAATTGGGTCTGCAGCAGGGTCCGATAATTCAAAGAGAATTTTATGCATTGTTCGTTCAAACAAATAAAATTAAAAGCCGCCAGAGGTATTATTGAATTCTAAAAGTTTATTCATATTCCGATTTCTCGTTGTGCTAGCATTGACAATTTGTGTTTAGAGTCCGACTGTATACTGCACGGCTATATAAAGCGACTGGGAGGTCCGTGGTCGGCCTCATGGCAGTTACGTTATGCCAAATTATATCCAAATCGGCTGGAGCTCTATCCGGAAGGTTCGCGACCCGAAATGGTACTTATGGATCAGATAGAGGAGGTATCGGCGGATCTACAGTCAGTCAAGAACGAAAGTTGTATAGTGCTGCGGATGCATGGCCTCAAGGTAATCCTCCCAAAGAAATATTTGCTTAAAAAACTTTTAGTACTGTCAAAAAAGTTGGTGCGGTGCATCTTTGGATGCTCTTGGAAATACCTCAACGTCAATATTTCATAGGGCGAAGCATGAAATATGGTCAACAGTTACATTGAAAAATACATTTAGTTAAATCCTTCGCTTTCATACAAAAAACTAATATGACAAAAAGTATATAATATATATCATACTTGAATTGTTTTTTTTTTTAATTAGTAACAGTAATACAAGTGAGAGATCTATTTTTCTGAAAACAATTTTGTAAATTGTATATAGAAAATCTTAATAATATTCGTTTTCCAAGAGATTTCAGATAATTTTAAGAAAATAGCTGCTGAATAGTCACCATTTTTATATTTTGAACACTACAAGCCTTAATAACCGTATATAGTAAAAAGGGTAAGGCAATGAATTTTGCAGATATCGAATATTTAAGTTTTTCTATTGTACTACAGATGGAAAGTTGCTAATTCGGTGCTTTCTTCGGTGTTAAAATATTAAGAAGTTTTTTGGGCCCAACTTCTAATCCTTGAATGCTTTTTCAGTGTATTTTTCAGTATTGCGTACATATTTTATTATTGACCATATTTCACATTAGTCCACCCAAATTGGTAATTGATAAATGTTTTTATTGCAAATATTAAAACAGTCGTGTTTTTTCGTAACTTATAAATAGTGTCGTTAAGAAAAAAATGTTTAAAATTAGGACGGGAAAAAAGAGAAAATAACGTTAACCAACCCCGATGAAATCGGCCTGAAGGAGTGGCTTCAGTCGTTGAGAACCGCACACAAATTGAGCCAAGAGTTGTTGGGATCGATGGCGCGCAAGGCCGGAAAGATTTACGGAACAGACTCAAATAGTAAAAACCCAATCATTAACAAAAACGCCAACGGTAATTGAACCACGGGCGTAGAACAGTTTTTCGTTGGTACGCCCCGTTGAACTGGAGTTGTAATGGAGTACCGGAAGTACATTATCAAGTACGATGTGCGCAGGCGGATGACGCTGGACAAGACTGCATAAACTTCAATCAGTATTTTATTTTCAATTAAACGTCTCGTAGCGGAGGGTTTAACCAAAATTAGGCAATGCATTCGGGACTGTTTACGCTACCAAAATGCGAATAGGAACATTTTTTTAAATATGTATGCGTCAATTAACACGAGAATCGGAACTCATTTTTATGTGATTTTAAATGGTTTGGATTTGCATATCAATTACAGTATCTCCAAAATTAGAATCGCACTATTTTTCAGTACCTGTTTGTTTTTCGTTAGTCAACTGCCGAACGCTCAAATGTTGATTGATATGTAGGCGGTAGTGAGGATTTTTCACCTGTATTTGACGTCACGTAAAACTTTGTTCTGGAACGTTTTTCCTTGGTTGAAAATTGTTAAATTGTTAGAGAAATTCGTCGTCTCGTAAACACAGAGGGTGTATAGTTTGTATTTCTTCCCAATAAACCAAAAAAAAAATAAACGAGCAATGTTTTCATGACATTTGCCGCTGACTATTTATGTGTAACCTATTTATTAAATCGTCATATTTAATTTTACAACGTACTATTAAATTCTTTTATATCATTTAAAATTCTAGATTTTGTGTATCATATACTACTTGTAGTACGAGTCAAACTTATGTTCGATTCTTTTTATATAGCTTTATCTTGAGGATGCAATTGTAATAAATTTTGTAAAGGTTGTAAAATGAATAGCTTTGAATTTGTCTAGTCAAAAAAATCAATAAAAGAAGTACGTATTCAAAGTACATTGTTATTTTCTTACAATATGTTGTTGACCATAATTGTCTGTCTATCTGTCGAATATATATAAATATTACAAATTAAATGTTTAAAGTGACACACTGAGGTGTGCAAAGTTTTGTTGGTTCGATTACTTAAGTATTAAAAGATTACTGAACTAAGAAATTCTTATAGGTCTTCACACTTCTATCTATAACTGGTTCCATATATGGAACATCCTATATATAGATTTGTTATTACAGTGTGCAGCTATGACCTACAAATTATTTCACTTAATTAAGTACATATTTTCAATAGACATTACAAGAACATTAACATTAATATTAAATTTATATACAGTAAACTCCGTTTATAACATACTCTTTCATTTTTCAGCGGATATTACGTACCACATATAACTTCTACTACGGTTATAAAGCAAAATATTTTCACTATTGTTCTGGTTATAAAGTACGAGAAAAAATCGGGGATTTTTCAGTAATAATTTGTGAGGTTTTCTCTGAAACGTGCGTGTCCGGCCCATAGTTCCACTTTATTGTTTTATGAAAAGGTGCGCTAGCACGTTTTTTGAGTTTATGGTTAAAATGGCGGATCGGCGCAAGTCTTTAACTGTAAAAGAAAAGATAGAGATTATCAGAAGTATTGAGAGTCGCATCGGTAAGGCGGAAATTGCTATACAAAAGGAATTGGCAAAAACAACAATATCTACAATTTGGAGAAATCGCGAAACATCAAAATAACAAGTGACTGTAAATCGCACGGGATTAAAAAGATTAGAAATGTTGTACGTTCAGATGTAGATAAAGCTCTGTTACGATGGTTTCAAGTTCGAAGACCTGAAAATATTGCAATAAGTGATCCAGTTCTGAAATCAAAAGTCGAAGAATTCACCAGGGGATTACAAGGTGAGGGTTTTAGTTGTTCGACAGGTTGGCTCGAACGTTTTAAAGTTCGTCACAACATAAACCTCAGAAAAAATTCTGGTGAAACAGAAGATGATAACAAACAAGCTGTGCTGACAAATCGTACCCTTAAATTTAGAGGAGAAAAGTGTTTAGGTGGGAAGCAGTCGAAGTTGAGGTACACCGTTTGGGTTTTTTTAAATAATTTTTTATAATTATTTAAAGGATTGGGATGAAAAACTAGAACGTCAGAATAGAAAAATAGTGCTTCTGATCGAAAAAATCTAATTCTTTCAAATAACAGAAGACATCAAGCGCAAATGCAGAAAGTTAGAAGATCACCGAATGAAACTGGTAAGATTACTCTGTACACTGACCTTTGTGTTACTTTGTAAATATCCCATCACGTCACAATCACATCCGCTTATAAAATTCTTCGAAAATCTAGTTTCGCTTTACTTCGAGAAAAAATTAATCATACCCGTAAGGGAATAGACCAAATCAATAAGGCTCTTCTGTCTCTACACATTGAAATTTCTTCTATTTTGTCCCCATCCGAGTTCGATACCTTTTCAAACATGATTCAGAAATTTGAAAAACTAATGTCAACACTAGGAAAACCATCAAACTTTTTTCAACTACCAAACACTGTAATAAATGTATCATCGCACCAACTTTCGGAAACGGAAAAATTAGTTCTTTCAAAAGGTTTCAACTTCGTCCTTGCCCCACGTATTGTACCAAATGCCGAGTCTATCCTAAACAAACTGCCATATCAAAAATCTCCAATCCAGACATCGTAATCCTAAAAGCAGATGAAGGAAATGCTACGATAGATTCAAAATATTCTTACAGACGGATCAGATCGTCAACTTAAAAAAGATCCTACGTCATTTATGGAACGCAACCTTAAATCTATTAGTAAGGCTCATGCTCTATCAGACTCCGTGAAAAATCTGTTATCCCTCATGACTCTAAAATTCCTCGTCTCTTCGGACTCCTAAAGATTTACAATCCAGGATTACCCCTTTGACCTATTGTCAGCGCCATTTGTTCTCCACCATATTCTCTAGCAAAATATCTAGCTTCCTTATTAAAACTGACAGTTTCGTACTTAATTCCTTTCATTTCATTGAACAATTAAAAAGAATTACATTAGATACACAAGATATTCTAGTTAGTTTCGACGTAGAATCCCTCTTTACCAAAGTTCCTATTCCTGAATCTCTCGACATCATTTCAGATATATCAAAGTCCGAGAATATGGAACCAAACCTTCTAACCTTAATTGAAAAATGCATGTCGGGAACATATTTTTCTTATAACGGTCAAATTTTTGAACAAACGTCGGGTACAGCTATGGCTTCTCCACTATCACCAGTCATTGAGAATATATTTATGGAAACCTTTGAGAAGAAAGCTCTCGACACCTTTCATCTAAAACCAAAATGATGGAAATGCTAAGTCGATGGCCTCATGGTTAAGAAACGCTAGTAGACTTTCTTAAACATTTAAACTCTATAGACCCTAACATACGTTTTACCATTGAGTTGGAAACTAGTAATAACCTTCCATTCTTAGATATTCTTATCAATACAAAATCAGACCTAATATTGGGTCATTGTGTTTACAGAAAACCTACGCACACAGACCTTAATGCATGGTCACATCACCATCCGGCCCAAAAATCATCGGTTATCAACTCTCTTGTTTACCGAACCCAGAAATAAAACACCTTACTTCTGCTCTTCTCTCTAATAATTTCCACATTAAAGATATTAAGCATTCCATCAAAAAATACATCACTGACCACATATCAAAAGTTCTCTCAACATCTTCGGTCTGTCAAAGACAAAATTCCATTTGAGATGCCAGGAGTTTACAGCATTCCATGCATATGCGGCAAAGAATACATTAGAGAGACCGGACGAAAGATATCAACTAGACTCAAAGAACACGAAAGAGCCTTACGACTAAGTCAAATAAACTCATCGGCTGTTGCCGAACACACACATGAAACCGGACATAGAATTTTATTCAATAAAACTAACATTCTTGCATGTAATCAATTCTTCTACCAACGAAAAATCCGAGAGTCTATAGAAACTATAAACAACCTAATAATCTTAACCGCGACTCAGGTCTCTACCTGTCACCAATATGGGAATCAGTCATCCGAGACGGTGTTTATGCCCCTCATTTAGCTCCGTCCTACTCAAAAAATATATGTGCAGGCACAGAGTAAAATACGAGCCAGTTTTAGTCAAGCTCTGAAGAAGCCAACAGGATGATTGGCGAAACGTCAGCAAGTTCGACTCAGCAAAAACACACGCAGGAGGAATCCAAAAGTTTTGTAAAAAGTATCAGATTAGAGTTTTTGCGTCCAGCTAGCACCTCAGTCGTCCAACCAGGGCATAATAAAATGCCTTAAGACATATTACCCCAGATATTTTTTGTATCGTTTGATCCAGTCATTTGAAAATATGATAGACTGCATAAAATTACTTGCACAATATTTGAATTATGTTACTTCAACCACTATTTCAAACTGCTTTCGACATAAAATCGACAAAAAATCGTGTTTGATTCAGACGATGACTTACCTCTGGTTCAATGGTTTGAGAAGTACAAAAATAATGACGACGATGACGATGACTTAGGTTTCCCTAAGTAATTGGTTGTGCAATAGCGGCCAAGATCTAACCAACATTGAAATGTATCCTCCTGGAGCTGGATAGCTTCCCAACTGTTGATGATAATTTAATAACAACGGAGTTATTAACGGATAATGATATTATATATTATTACTGAAGTTTTACAGCCAATTGGTCCTCAAATTGATCCTGGTAATGAAAGCGTCGATGATGTTCAACAGGACGAAGTACTAAATTATTCTGAAGCGCTTTGTGCCGCTATAATTGTTACAAATTTATTACAATCTACTGATAATGTAGCTGATGATAATTATGCCAGCGTCCTGGAAGGTTGAGAAGCGCATCAAAAATATGAAATTTGTATTGAGAAACAATAAACAGACAAAAATAACAATTTGTTTTACTCAGAAAGAATAAAGTATGTATTTTTACTTGTGTGTTGTAAAGTTTATATAGATAGATAAGTTTTTAGTTTTGGTAGTTTAGTTTCTTTAGTTTTTTAGTACCTATATTAGTGTTTATTAGTTTTTATATAAAATAAAAATATGTAGTTACCTACATAATTTTTTTTGTTTTTTTTTATAGCGTACTTCCGCTTATAGCGTACTCATTTTCTGGTCCTAGAGGGTACTTTATAATCGGAGTTCACTGTATTAGACTGAGGCCATCACGAATATTTGATAGCGATTAAAATTGAATGGAGCCTCTCATCTATCCTGTGCCCGTCAATTTTCCTTTCTAGAGTTTTAAAGTCGGCTAATTCTACCTGCAAAAAAAAATACTAGGTCGAGTTTTAATTTATTTTTGCGAAACCAGAAGCGCGGCTGCTCTTTATACATTACCACTAATTTTTAAGCTGGTGCGAATGTTTTGGTTAGTTTAATTTTTGAATTTAAATTGGTTCATTTCTTATAAAAATTTCTAATGGTTTAATTTTAAAAACTATATTTGTAGATCTTAGATTTTAAATTGAATTAAAAAAAAGCGACGAACCTACTTTTTTATTCTAGTTCTGGCTTCATTCTGGCGAAACCCTGACGTTTTATTTAACTTGTGCTTTACAGACTAAACCGGTAAGCAAAACGATCGTGGTAATAGGAATAAAATTATCTTGCAAACGAGTTCAGATTTGTTTAACTTTTATACCAGCTTCCCCACCTTTAAAAAACTGGCGAGGAATATTTACAAAACAATTTGATTTACTTCTTTGGTTTGTCAGATTTACCTATAAAGTTTCTATGAAAATTTTATATAAGTAATACTTTCTGCTCTCTGGTTAAACTAGGTTTCATTCAGGATGCAGTTGATCGCAACAAAATAAGGCCACTTTAAAATCCTCCTGCGTACTACACATTATTTACTCACTTCATCGGGAGGGTCGCTTTTGCGGTCGAGATAGCGGTGCGAGAAAAGCGGCGCCATAATTCGCTCGCAAACTGCGGCTACACCGCAAAATGTGCGAAAATCGAAAATATCATCATTTTGCCATCCTATCAGTCTCTGAAAGTGGGAAGATTGCTCAGACGTCATGGGACGTCCCATTAGCAAATCCAAGGCCTGCTGCAATACCTGAAATCAAATTCCCAAACGTAAGTATTAGCGTTAAAAATTTAGATCGGTAAAGGAGAAATGTTTCGGTATTTTATGAGTTTAATTATCAGATGATTCAATTTTTTGTTTCTTTTTTTTAATGTTTATTTTGACTTTGAAAATTGGACGTATTGGATCTGCTGCCAAACTATAGTAGTGAGAAGATTTCAAAAATAATTCAAATATTATTGGCTGAACGCTCTTTAATAGTCCTGGTTGGTTCCCAGGCATGCAGATCTGCCGAAACTAACCTTTCCAGATATTTTTCTTTCGTAAGTGATGTTCGTGTCAGTCTCTAATTTAAACTTATTAAAGATGCAATTGTATAGTAGTTTTCGCTTCGATGATATGCTTAAATGATTAGCGACGTAGTCCAATGGCGTCATACCTATAAATTATCAGTTATATGAAGAGACAAAATTCCAAAATCATCAAATTAATGAGAATACTAATAAAATGTTGTTACCTTCAATCTGACCGAAACTTAAATAGGCCCGTAACTTATTTTATTAGTTTGGATGGAATATCAATGGAAGTTTTCTTATATTCTAGAAAATATTGCCATGCTTCTAATGCTTATTACTACATCTGTACAACATAGGCGGCAAAAAATTCTAAAAATTATTTTTATTTATTTATTTTATTATTTATTATTCAGAACGAAGGGGGAATTCTGGAAGTTTGTTAGGTATAAAGCACACCGCTGGGGTCAAATTGCGGAATGTATGTTCCTTTTTGATAAGCAGGCTGAGGGACGTCGAGAAATCACATTTTGAACCAATTTTTAGTAACTTTAAGAGTGTGAAAAGTTATGAGGTGTTTGGTGGAGGGACGGTTTGTTGAATGTTTTGTTGTCGTTGAATGTTAAAAAGGTGACCGGGCCTGTTGCTGAAGGGATGTGCCGTATGGTTGTGCGAACTGTTATTGTTATTGTTAATCTAGACATATTCCCAGAGAGAAACATTCATTTATAGTACACTATATTCAAAAATGGCAATAACTGCGATATCATCAACTACAGACCTATTTGCTTACGATCAGCCATATCTAAGGAATTGGAAAGGATGGTTTTGGCAGTGCTGGGCGGATTGTTTAGTAATATTATTGTTAAGCAGCAGCATGGGTTTGTAAATGGCCGTTTTACTGTGACGAACCTTTTTACTTATACTAACTTCATCGCCGGGATCTGGATAATGGCTGTGAGGTGCATTCCATCTATACTGACTTCAGCAAGGCCTTTGATTTGCTGGACCAAGGAGTATTACAGAACAAACTTCAAAAGTTTAGTATTAGAGATGCGTTTCTATCGTGGCTATCAAGCTTTCTCCAGGGCCGTACTCAGCAAGTTAAGGTCAGCTATTTCCTCTCCCCCAACACAGATTATTAACTTTTAGCAGATAATTTAAAAATTTACCGCTGCGTACGATCAGTTGATGATTGTGAAGAGCTGCTACAAGGGGATATTAATTCGCTAGTGGAGTGGTATAGGATGAACAACTTAAAATTAAATACTGTAAAATGTGCCTATATGGTTTTCTCCCGACGTAAAAATCCTGCCGATTGCTCATAAATTATGGACGAGTGTGCGTGAGGGTAAGTAATAAAGGGTTTAGGTATCATTATGGATGAATCATTACATTTTGTGCCGTACTTAGAGGATGTTATTATCCGTACTAACCGTATGTTGGGTCTGGTGCAGAGAATATCTGGAGATTTTCCGAATTTGGGATATATTATCATGTTTTACAGTTCATATGTCCTTTCAATCTTGGAGTATGGGACAACAATCTGGTCTCCTTTCTACGAAATTCACAAACACCTAATTGAGGCTATGGAGAACAAGTTTTTATGATATCTTAGGTATAGGATGGGGCAGAGCGGTTTGCAAATGGATGTCATTGACTTCATGGACTACTCTCGAGGGCCGTAGAAAATTTCATTATTTAGGTTTTGTCTCGCGTGATAAATGGTTCTTTGTATGTATTCTGTCCTGTTTTAAATTTCATTTCCCTTCTAGGGTCACCTTTTGTCTTCTGTACCGAGTAATACTTGACATGGTCAGAATGTGCCTGTGTAAATCAATACAATACCATTGATTACTTCGGTGTTCCTTTTAATAGCTTTAAAATTTGACATTGAATTGAATTGAAATTGAATTAAGACAAATTTTGTTAAATTGATTTGTAGTACTCAGATTGTTTTTATCCTTACGTTATACTGTGCCATCTGAATGATATGTAATTTTCTACTGTCCATAGTTTATTTTCTTTTTGTTATTATATATAGTTTATTATATAATAGTGTTATTATATATAGTTTCAGTAACTATAAGATTATTAATATTGAAGATAAATTTATAAAATGGTGTAACCGTTGAAAGAGTAAATAAGTAAATATTAGTAATAAGCATTTGAACTAGACGTCAGGGAGCGTTGTCGTATAACTTTTTTTTTTTTAAACGCAACAGTATTTGTGATTTTAGCTAATTGCAATGGAGACTAAAGATGTAGATACTCAGCGACAACCGCATCTTGATCTTTTTTCAAACTGAACATATTAGCAAAACTATTAACAAATACCAATAAAATATGATCTCAATTACTTACAGGTGTTAAGACCGAGCAACAGTGGCGCTTTTTTATTACGACAATTCTCGGAAAATATGAGAAGAAACAATTAAATTATATTATAAGTTATTAGTTAAGAGAGATAGGGTTTGGAATAATGTTTCTTTTGGACAACATATAAACGTCAAGTTTCCATTAGATCAACATTTTGATCCTCTCCTCAATGTTTTTCATCATTTAACTTCGTTAAGTGGAATAAGGCGTTGATGTACATTTTCAATGTTCCAAACGATTCCACGTTCTCCTATCGTATCAAGGTATCAAACATTTTGTACAAATTTTATTTTCTTATTCGGACCAGAAGTTGCGTCCTCTAACGACCGTTTTAGAAACTTGAAAATGATTTAAAAGAATTTCCCATCCCTTCTTTTCGTAGGTCATATGATTGATATCTTCTGGCATACAGCCTTTCCTTAGTGGGACACTCCGTACAATGTCATTATTTGAATTTGATATTCGTTGGTAATAGGAAGTAATGCAGTAGGACCAGTAAAATCGTAATATAAACCACAAAAATAGACGTTTTCCCAGTATATCTTATAAAGTGCTAAAGAGAAGGAGATACATCGATAGCATCTCGTATTTAATAATAGTTCAAATTTTCGATGTCAGTACCGTAACTACCAGATTTCATCGTCTCTATCGGACCCATAGTGTTAACGTTGTGATCCGTCTCCTTCTTTTTAGCACTCCATAGCGCTTGCCTGACAAAGACTTTCCATTCATAGGCAATTCGAATCTAACACTCGATCTATTAAAGGACCTCGGTAACGAGATCCATAAGTCGCTGTTAATGGCGGGTGGTGCTAGCTCTTCTTGAAGTTTGATTAGTTCCATGCAACAGTCTTTATTTTGAGGAACCGTTTTAAGAATTTCTTCCAGCGCTAAACGCCTCTAAATAAAAAAAATACGATATAAACTTCTAAAATGACACGACAGCTTCAGACCTTGAAATCCAGTTCACAATCCACCAATTCCTCGTTGATTTCACCTCGGAACTGTCCGAAAATTCCTCTTTCGGCACAAGTGTTATTATGTGAGTCAGGATCACTTTTTGCTGAAGGTTTCCTAGCAGACTCAGCTCTTGAGTGTAACGGTTCCATGAGTGGATCCGCACTGTGGTTCCAAGAATTGGTGCCGATTGTAGCCATCTAGAGAAAGTTTGAAAGTTTATTTCCGGTTTATCTCTCCAGAAATTTCCTTTTGTTATACCTGAGTTTCCGGATCTCTGCAAGTATCCAACACTGGTGTTTTGGAAGCATTTTTGTTTTTCTTTTTTGGCTTCTTTCCACGACGTCGAATTTCTTCATCGGACTTATCGTTTGAAACACAGTCTGTTGGTTTTGCCTCTTGCTTATCAGGACTCGATTCGTCAGTTTTACTCTACAATTTAAAGCAAATTTAAATTAAGTAATTGTCAATATATGGGATATGGCACATGGTAACAATGACAAAGTTAATGAATTGAATATTTATTCTATCCAAAATTGTTTCTCTTATCTTATGAACAAGTTAACAAACAATGAAAATCCTGCGTTATTGATTTCATTCAAAACTTGAATAAAAGGATTGTAGCAAGGTAATTATAGGTTTTTATATTACATATATTTTTTTATGTTTGCTTATTACATAAAGTATTAAAATGTAAAGTTACACAACTTGTATAACTACTTATTTACATTTTATCTTTGGATTTATTTCGTTACCTACTTACTTTTTGCTTTTATTTTAAAGCAAATAAGCTGCAATATTATTTTCTTCTATTTTAAGCATCATTATGAAATTTATTTCAATTTGATCCCACTAGTTTATTGAATTTATGAATTATTTTCCTAATTTTGGTTTTTTCAGTTAAGCCCTGGTGATGATAATTTTATATATTTAATTTTTAAACTTGCTTCTGATTTTTGTTGTGATATATTTTGAGTGTTTTTAAGGGTGCCCATATATGAAATATGGAAAGTACGTTTCTTAATTTTTTTTAGATAATTAAAGCAGTCCTGTTGTGTATTACAATATTCGATTTAGTTTTGATGACAAATAATACCTAATCAAGTTATTATATAAATAAATTATGTAAATATGTGACCAATAATTTTTAGCATAAGTATTTAGAATTATTATAAATATTATTTTTTAGAAATATTTGACTATCAAATGATAATATGTAAATAATGTATTTATATTGATAAATACATTATTTAAACAACGAAATACCTTATTCCTCCATTTATATAAATGAGCAACAGACAAATAAGAATTCCCATTACTAAGCCATCTTTTTCTATTATAAAATTTCACTCAATCTTCTATTGTTGCCATTGCAATTTAAATCGGGTTCACTCATATAGTTAGAGTGCGTGTAATTTCGGACAGCACGCGGCGATTGCTGTTCTTTGGCTGCGGTCGGCTGATGCCGTTGCCTAGGCAATCAGTGAATGTCTTCGTTTCCCAGCAATGTCGTGTTTCTATTCTGTATTCTCATTTGTACGTGTTTATTTTATAGGGCTCTGTTGGTTTTCATTTTTAATATTTTGTAATTGATTATTAATATGGCTCCAAAAACAATTGGTATAAAAGAGAAAGAATTATGCACCGCTGCAAGCGGTCGAGCGACTTCGGGTTCGCCAGCGTCTACAATCGGCCACGTAATTGTCCCATGTCCCATTCTGAAATTATGTTCACTCTACTGGAGATATAGAGGCCCTGCATATGCCGATGATACAGGAACAGGAAAAGGTCTTTCGAACATGCGCATGCGCGAGATTTAAAATCTCGTTTTCAGCCAATGGCCTTGCGGCATTCAACAACCAACATGGCCGCTGACAGGTTGTCAGTAAGTTTTGATGCGGCAATTTTATGACAGGATTTTCTTTAAATATGTCTAGATCTCGTTAAATGTTCTAGGAAAACGTGTTAAGTGTGTGGAAATCGCTGTTTCGAAAAAAAAATGGCGCCAAGTACAGGTTAGTGGATAAAATCTTAATACCACCTGTGGCGCATCAACTTTTATCATTGTGATATCACTAAATTATCTAGTAGGTATATGGGTTGACCGGAAATGGATACAACGATACCCACCAAAACAACGGGCTCTCTCCTTATATTACCAATCGCGCTCCTTGGCCTTTTAAACGGAGTAACGGGGCGTGTCTGACGACTGGACAAAGTTATGGAATGCGAAATTGCTCCATCAAACGCAGCCAGCGTATTGGGTTCTTGATGCACGTGAATTAAAGATAGATTGTAATGGGAAACACTGTGAATGAACTTGATATTAATTAACCATACCTTAAACTACAAGTTTTTCGCAGTTACCTAATCGAAATAGTTTCCTGACTTTGAGTGCGGCGTAAATCTAGTACCAAACGTGGCCGACCGGCTTCCGGCGTTACGCACCGTCTAGGATGCGATGCCCTGGTGGAAGGGGTGGAAAGAATCCGTACCGGAGTAGCAGGTCTTGAATCGGTGTCAGTGTACCTGCATTGTAAATATTTTTTTCTACTCCCGTCTGCAAAATACCTAATTACCCACCGATCTAGCGTGCGAAAAGCGTCACTTTACCACGTCAGTTTCGTTTCTCACTTTGTAGTATAGAATGCAACACGTCCGGTAAACTTTTTAACTCACTCGTTTATTAAAAACCGCACTTGTTGCATAATATACTATTAATAACCGTACGATATTGTGGTAAGAACTCTTGATGTACGTCACGATATTAAAAGAAAACAGTAAACAAAACCTTGACATTTGATATAACTTGACGTGCTTTTTTCGGTCTTCGCGATTCTGGGTTCTTCCATTGGGACGGCTGGGCTTTGGTTTCAACTTCATAAACATATATCCATGATTCCTCGCCAGTAATGATCTTTTTGAGCATATCAGAAACATCAGCTCTTGAGCGTTGCTTCTTCGACGGTAATTTTGTTCCAAGTTGAACAATTTCGGAACAAATTTTGCTGCTACACGTTTCATGCACAAAACAGAAAAATTGCATGGCACGAGCCAATAGAGATGACATTTTCAGCCACTTCTCTAATAGTGGTTCGACGATTTTTCAACACCATATTTGTTTCACTTCTTCAACGCTTTCATCAGTTATTGACGTGCTGGAGACCTTCCAGAGCGAGGTTCGTCATCGGCGTCTTCTCGGCCATCTTGGAACAGCTTGTATCACTTGTAAAATATACCCAAAAACTAACGTTCGTAGAAAAAGTATAGTATGCAACACGTTCGGTAAACTTTTTAACGCACTTATTGCATAATATACTATTACCGCACTTGTTGCATAATATACTATTAGAACCAACGTTACGCCTGGGAGACAATGTCTGTATATTCGCTATATACATCGTCTTGAACAAAAAGCTTATTTTTTACTAGTAGTCTACTTCAAAAAGCGGTGAATGCGGTGAGTTGTATATTGGAGAGATCAAACCTCCTCTAAACGTAAGACTCGAAGCAGAGCACAATGTAAAGTAGTCAGAGATCCATGTTTTCCATAGGGAGGCGCAAATTTAAGAAAGCTGTCTTTTTAGCAAATATTACTACCGTTTTGGCAACTCAAGTGTGGAAACACTTGGCAACCACTAATAAGGCACACGGTGCTAAATTATTAGCTGTTTATTCTCTGTGGTTTTTGAAATTGCGTTATCTTTCGCTTGATAACGAATCCATGTGTCCAAAACGTTGAGTAATTGAGTAAAATGGAGACAATGGACAATAGTTGCAAACTTTCGCAAGTAAATAATCTCACCTTCTGAACAACTCCTCGGGAACGTTGTCTATCTGGTTCATCGAGTAACTGGACTCGTCGTGCACATCTATGGTGATTTCATTTTGATGACGCGTTTTGATCTTGTACCCTTTCACATTCATGAACTGTTTTCTCGAGTTTCCGTTAATCTGCTTAGTTGATAATCATATCATATGAGTATAAGAAGATTAGTTAGATTTAATTGCAGCAAGCAAACTTTCAACAAGAGATGGAACTTAATTTAAACTATGAATAAATTTGGGCCTTTATCACTTGTTTAACAATTTGTGCATTTATATTTATATACTGCCGTAGGATTAATTAATTAATATTAATAAGAATAAAAAGAAGCTGATTGCTATTCAAACAACTTTGGAATGGAGAGGCAGTATTTTATTATATTATTTTTTTATTTTTATTTTTCATGTTCCAGTCTCTCAAATCGAGTTCCCTTAAAAAATGTGATAGCATCACTCAAACTACTGATGTTTCGGTATGAGAGATAAGCAAGCAGGAAGATGTTAAGATATTTATTTTTTACTTCTTTAGAGCCAATACTTTTTTAAAATCTCGATTTTTATTAAATCTGGATAATTGGGAATGTAAACCTTAGAAAATGTTCCAGTAGCAGAAGTCGGAAAATCCACGAAATATTTTAAAATCTGTTTACTAATACGGGGTAGAAAAGTTACTTTTAATATTAATAACTATTGGGTTTTTTATGTTCTACTCTCTCAAATCGAGTTCCCTTAAAACCAGTGATAGAATAACCCAAAGTACTAATGTGTCGGTATCTGACGTTAGCAAGCAGGAAGATGTTAAGATGTTTATTTAGAGCCAACACTTGTTTAATATCTCGATTTTTATTAAACCTGAATAATTGAGAATGTGAACATTAGAAAAAGTACCAGTAGCGGAAGTCGTAAAATGCACGAAAGACTTTAAAATCTGTTAACCAGAGTTAGATTAACATTGGGTAGCAAAGTTACTTTTAATATTTCTATTCCTGTTGTAGTGTTTTATTATTAATTTCTAAAGAACTCTTTGTTGAAATTTAAATGCTGCAGAAGGTGCGGGTATACCAGGTGGGTCTTCATTTGTTTTAACAACATCTTCGCCTGGCTGCCGATCGGGTGGTTGCACAAAAACGAACATTCGCCTGGATATGGATTAAACAGTCCAGAATAAGATTTCTCGGTCATCGGGGCTGGTTTAGCAAATGCCCTGAGTTGTACTTCTTGTTGCTGTTAAATAAATACACAAGGTGTGAGTGAATTTCACATGACGAAGTTAGTGGATAGTTAGTTTTATGTTTTTAACATTTTTTCATAAGGTTTGATTGATAAAAAATATATTTCTTAGTTGATTGCGTCTGTTAGATCGTTTGAAGGTTCAATTTAATAATAAAACATATTACGTTTACCACTAGATAGTAATATAAAAGTTTACAGAATATAAACTTTTTGCTTCACAGAAACTTCCACAGACCACTGTAACACTATTTATAAATCTTCTGGATTTCTCCTGCATCGGTTGTTCATTGAAGAAGAAGCCAACAGGCTGGTTGGCGAAACGTCAGCAAGTTCGATTTATCAACAATCGATGCAGCAGGAATCCAAAAAATTTGTAAGTAGTAATATAAACTTTGGCAATATAAGACGTTGCTAGTTGAATCACAAGTTCGTAACTCTGCTTGTTAAGCGGCTTGTATTACAAATCCGATAACATTGAACATACCTTTTTGTGTGCATCGACAATGATGGAAGGCGCAGATATTAAACCCGTCTTGCTAGTTAATTTCATTTTGATTTTTACCCTTTATTTTGTCAAAAATTAAATTGTATTTACATTTCTGGCGAACATGATAATATGCATTCTATCGATCAAACAAAAGCTCTATAAAGCCGAACCGAATCGATTCAGATTTTTCGCATATTTTAGTACTTATTTTAAATTAATTTGTACCACAAAAACAAAAATTCGTTTAATGTTTAAAGAAAAGGTATCACTTTAAAAAATAAAGGATAAACTCATTCTCATAAATTTCAAATCAGATATCAAATATGGACAGTTGCTTCAATTTTCTTTGAAATTAACGAGTTAACCTTACACGAACAAAGAGTACTTCTTATTTTTATTTATCAACCAATTTTAAAAACCATAAAGTAACAAAACAGATATAAAAATCGTAAGTGCTGAATTACTATCCATTTATTTTAAAGATCAGAAAAGAAATGCAACCATGAATATTTGGAAAAAGACTACCGACTTACCAGTAGATGAAAAAAATCAATATTATAAAAATAAAAGTTTTTCAAATTTTTGTAAGACAAATCTACAACTTTTCACAGCATAAAGAGGTGTAACTTTTAAATTGGACATGGTTCACCCTGTATTTTTTGTATATTTGAATTATGTCTTTTCTAAGTGTTTCAAAAATGTACTTTTCTTCGTGTGAATTTATTTTATCTCGATTTTTTAATATATTAAAAATTCAAAAATTTAAAGATTTTCAAATAAATGCATCAAATTTGCCTTCAAATTAAATTTGTCATACTTTTTATAAAACTCTGGATTCCGCTTGCGTCCATTTTTGCTGAGTCGAACTTCCTAACTTTTCGCCAATCATCCTGTTCTTCAGAGATTGTCTGAAACTGGCTCGCATTTGACTCTGTACTTGGCTATATATTGTTTGAAGGGGGCGGAGCTAAATAAGGGGCATAAACACTGTCTCGGATGATTGATTTCCATATTGGTGACAGGTAAAGACCTGAGTCACAGTTAAGATCGTTAGGTTGTTTATAGATTTCTATAGACTCAGATTTTTCGTTGGTAGAAGAATTGATTACATGTAAGAATTTTAGTTTTATCGAATAAAATTTCATATTCTTTTAACCAAGTTGATATTTTTGTCCGGCCTCTCCAATGTATTCCTTACCGCATATCCATGGAATGCTGTAAACTCCTGGCATCTCAAACGGAATTTTGTCTTTGACGGATCGTGTTTATGTCCCTTATTTAGCTCCGCCCCCCTCAAACAATATATAAGCAGGTACAGAGTAAAATGCGGGCCAGTTTCAGTCAAGCTCGTAAGAAGCCAACAGGAAGATTGGCGAAACGTTAGCATGTTCGACTCAGCAAAAACTGACGCAGGAGGAATGCAGAAGTTTGGTAAACAGTATTACAGTAGCCTGCGGAAGTTTCTTTGAAAAATTAAAAAAATAATAAAAAAATTAATTAAATTTGCCATGTTTTGTTTTATTCAAATTATTTTTTTTCTCACAGACCCATAAATTTATACCCCCAATTGGAACCTGAACAATCCTCTAATTTACCCAATTTTTTTTCAACTCAAAACTTACAATTCACCTTTAAAAATAAAAAATGCAATATTAATTTTCTATTTAATTTTATATTATATTGTATTTTATTATTATTATAATTTGAATGTTATTATTTAAAGTAGTTTTTTTCTTAAATATTTATTGATATAACAGTGAAAATAATGTTTTTTTTTTAATCATTCATTTTTCACTCTTCTAAATAATGACTGTGTAAAATATTTATATATTTGTGGAAACTGGGCCCTAAAATTATACAAAGAAATTTCTATTGCTAAGAATGGACAATGTTTTAATTAGAGGCCCGCTCGATTGTTTACCGGCCGGTTCGTTTTAAACGATTCACAGTTGAATAGTTATTTTATCTGAGGTTTCTGCGTGTAGTCACTTTCACTACAACAAACGATATGTACGAAGAAACACTTAAAATTTTAAGGTTAGTCTTGTGCGAGCCATGTCGCATATAAGTTGTCCAAGCCGTTGTTATTATGTGCCGAGTGAGAACTAAATAAATAATCGTTTCGCAACAACTTTTGTGCGGCGACCGTCTCGAATATCTGATGTTGAAGGAGTAAAATAATTGGGCACTTTGTAAGCGGAGGCTCCTGCGTTACACATTAATTCAAATACGCTCACCCCCACGTTTTGTTCCTAGTGAATTTTGAAAAATAAATTTGGTAATATCGAGAGAACGAAAACATGCACGTAAGGTTTGTGATGTTTTATATTTTATTACATAGTCATAACTATTATTTTACAATAGTGTTGTTTGAACTGTATTAGTCATTAAATATTGAAATAAAATAAATAAAAAAAAACTAAAAATCTTACATTTATAACACAAACTACATTTTATTGTTCCAAAATTTTTCTACGCTTGATGAAAGCTTAGCTAAATAAAATATTAGACATTTATATGACAATTGCAAAATACATTTCGCAACAGCCTATCGCTAATTGATGTGTGAAAAAGTTTAGATATAATAAAATTTTAAATTGATAGGTATTCAGGGAAGCAATTAAAGAAGGCAAAAAATTTTTCTGCTAGCCACCATTAGGTTCTGAAAAATAATAAACAAATTATTTGTTAAAATCATTTAATTCTGCTTCCGAAAACTGATTTAACTTAATAGACTATAGGGAAACCAATTTTCGCCGAGAATCTATCGATCGATCGAAATTTCCTAGTGCTAAAATTAGCAGAAAACAATACCATTACTTAGTATTCCTTAATTAGCTTCAGACTTAAAAAAGTGAAGGCGCCAATTGCAACATTTTTTTGCCAATCACATTTTCATATGTAGCATGATTTTGTAATTTATTAATGTTATATTAATTAAAATTGTTTGTCTTAAACAGTCATGGTTAAATTATGTGAAGTTGCAATTTAGGATATTTTACGACGGGATTGTAGTTATTAATCTTATAGCACGATAAACTGTTTCGTTGAAACTGATGTGTATATATATTACTTTAATTTATGAGGCTACGATAACAATTTGACGAAATTATCATTTTCATTGCCTTAACTCTCGCGAATTAATTCAATAAGTTTTATTTTAGGCAAAAATTATCTACGATTTTTGAACCTTATAAATAGGCCTAGCAATGTCTATACCGTATATAACTTCTTCATATCAACCACAACATGTAGTCACAGATTATTTTATGGTTTTTATTTATTGATAAAGGAACAACGCTTTGGCGATAGTGAACCAGTGTTCGTAATTCGCTCAAACTGATTGTTATTAACTATACCGTGTCTAGTCTGTTTTTATTTCTTTATTGTTATATTACTTTATTCTGTTTCTTCTAATTAAAAATGAAAAATTAGCAGGCACATTTGAATACGCATTTTTTGAAATACTCTATTGCGTAATAAACTAGACTAACCAAAAGTCATTACCCCCAAATAATAACTGGTTTTGCTAGTATCCACTTTTAACTACGTAGAAAAAAAATAGACTTATCTAAATTGGCTGTTTAAAGGCCTCGAAAAGCGGGCCTAGTGGTAGTCCAATTAGAAATATAAAATTTACTATTAGAAACGGGATTATCATTAACAAATAGGTTGGCGCTTATATGTCTATAAAGTAAAACTATAAACGAAGGATTCACATCAATTTTAACTTGATATTTATATTTAGCCGTACTACGTTGATTATTTGCACCGTCGTAGCGATTTTGACAATCGCGTCGACAATGGATAACTTGAGAGTGGCGTATCAGTGGAAAACTCTAGATTTTGATTATTCATCTCCTAGAGTCCGAGAAGAAGCTATAAACAAAAAAGAGTTTATACCGGAAAATAATATCCCGGTTGGGCTGGAAGTTGTCGGGAAACGCCTTTTTTTGACCATCCCCCGATGGAAACGCGGTGTTGCCGCCTCTCTGGCTTACATCGACAGAACCACAGGTAAATAGTACAGTCTTACAGTGTTTGAAATTCGTTCGTCGTTTTCACTCAGCTTAATTTAGCCTGTGCGATTGTTGCCAATCTTAATTTATTCGCATTACATTGACGTTGTTTAAAATTATCGTTAATTACTGGAGATATACCCGCTTGATTAATAATTGTTACGGATTTTTGTGCTCCTGGGTTTTTTATGGCTCTGGGCTTTTCACACAAACGTCAAAATTATTACACAATTCCGCTGATATCGAATATAATCGATATTAGACTTACTAATGGGACGGCATTAACGGAGGCCGAGCCTTTGGTGCATTTTTAATGACAATTGGGCAAACCTTTAGAATAATAATTGATGATGGCCTCCGGTGTACATGAGGTATAATCCATATCGAGCTGTACGGGAGCAGACCTCAACAGCCTTGAAAGTTAATTAAAACAAATCTCTCTTACCTTGTCCTTAACATACATTCCGTATAGCAGGAGATAATACGGCGGTCTTATTTTACAACGGCATTTAATTTAGTCAATGAAAACGGGCGTACATTTATTGAGACTCTAATTTAATGGGTATGGTTTGCAATTTCATATATTTTCACTTACAAGGCGATGCAAATTCAAAAAAGGGATAAAAGCTCGATAATACGCTAACATTTTAGAGGATTCTGATGGACGAATATTCCGAAAGTTCCGACTTTTCGCTTCAAAATGTTTTTTGTCTTGGAGAAAATAAGGGTTGGGAGGTGACATATCTCATATCAATAAACAATCAGTTTAATTTGCTACCATTTTGTCGTGTTCTACTTATAATGGAAGAAAATGAAACGTGACTTTTTCAGATGGTTCTTGGTTAGTTGTTACTGATGGTTAGGACCGTGCACGTTTAATACAATGAAATATGACGGAAAAGACGGAAAAACGGGTTTCCAGTTTCTTGTTTATTGCAAAGAAAATAGACAATTCTGCTATTACGATACATTATTTAAAATTTTACATCTTCCATATTTTCGTGTCTCTACTTTCTGTAGTTCGATTTTGAATGTTCGCTTTTATTATCTTTTTACCTGTTACAATGGTTAATGAGTTATCACCTATCTGAAAAGTCTTATTAGTAATTTGGGAGGCTATGTCACTTGATTGTTTTTTAATGTCGAATGATATATTGTTTCTATTATTATTCTGTTATTACTATTTGAATATACTAGAATTATGATCAGATACTATGGTTCAGAATGAAACATCCGCCTTAGTACAAATTTTCAATACAAGTTCGCACATTTTCGATTGGCAAAAAATTTAGATCAAATTACCCTCAATGTGTGAAACCACTTTTCAACGCGCGTATATCATGTAGGTTGAAGGCCATTAAAGACTTAATTACGGTATTTAGTCAAATAAGATGTCCTTGCATTCGACTTAGGTGCTCTAGGAGTGCCCACTTAGTAGGTCGAATTCATAAAACCTAACACGGTGCAGTAAAATTACTTTAATTAAATTCTGGTAAGTGGTTATGTTTCACTTTAACATTTTTGAAAATTAATTGATAAGGGCCAATAAACCATTTGAACTCCGATAACTGACATTGATGTCGGGAATTTAAAATAAATCAATTTTCAAAGTTATTATATTCTATATCTCATTGTGTTGGGTACGTGGAACTTTACATTTTCAAAATATTTTTCTTATTATTCACTCGATGGGAGAAATCTATCGTATGCCTATATCTGTTTTTCCAGTGTTGCGACTTTGTTTTTGATCAATTTAAGTGAAAAGCTAGTAAGGGCTTGTGGTTTATTAAATATTTTTATTTTATTACAATTTTTGTTATTTTATTTTTAGTACGCGTGCCTGGTTTACGTAACTGTTGGCTTTAGAGCTTTAGGAAACAAAATTTGTTGATAAGATGAATCATGAAACTTAAAATTTCTCTAGGAATTTTTCTATATTGTTAATGATATTATTAGGAAGCTCTTAATAAGAATGAGGGAAAATCCTGAATGTTAAATTATTTAAATCGTTGTATTTCCAAAATGATGTAAGCAGCTGCCCCACCCTTATAAAAACACTACGTCAATGGGTCGCAGAGAAAACTTGTGTGGATTTTTTCGGGCTTTCTGAAAATGGATCTTATTTTTATTTATTGTCCTCATTTCTGCAAAGCTCTGTAGAATTGAGTGCAGGTACATACATACTAGTAGAAGAATTTAATTTTCCAATATAATATGCTTGTTTAGTTTAATCTGAATTTAAATATCCAAGAGATCATTCCAACTTGGCTAACTTCTTGTAGAGTTTTGTGAAAAAAAAGTCAAAAATTTTCTTAGGTGATTTTGGCTTCCAGAAAAACATGATTTCCTCAAATACTCTTCAACCATTAGACGCGGAAGATTCGAGGCTATAATTTTATTTTAGGCATTTTTTCGATTAAATACTTCAATTTTTCAATTATGAACAAAAATCTAAAAGACCGTGAAAATTGTACTTTTCCAGAGAAAATTATTAGGCGTAAATCAAAAGTCGTAAAAAACATGTCTAATTGGTTTAAATCGTATTATAGGCTACAATTTTTGTATTTACAGTTTTCATCTATCATATCCATATGAAAATCACTATTGCGCGCGCTCTGTCTAGAACTATTTACGCTATTGGAAAAATTCGCTAACCAGGAAACTTGGTAGATGGAGGGCTTCCACCCCTACCTTTACCATTTTTTTGATAGGTAATATACAGGGTGTGTCTTTAGCGAGCAAAATAATCTAAAAGACCCTGAAAATTTCTATTTTCGTGGATAAATTATGAGCCGCAAATGAAAAAATATGAAGCACGGGATAATTTAGTTTAAACAGTGTCGTCAATTGTGTCGAGAGAGTTTCAGCTTTGGTCACACAGAGTGCGCGAGATATTTGAAAAAATATCAATGGAAATCGCTATTGTTTGTACAAATGTTTATACTTATTAAAGTTTGCCGTGACTTTGAAGTTCGGCGAGATGTGAAAGTCACTTTATACAGGGTGCATTAACGACAAAATTATTTCGGTTTTGCCAAAGTTGCATAGTAGTCCGCAGGAGGACGATAGAAAAACAATGCCTCCCTCTAGGACGAGAAATTCCGAAGGGGCTTCTTATTCAAACACAAAGCTACTTCGCGCTACAGTCGACTAATTCGCCCGGCCTGTCTACGATTTTTCAAAAGCGATCTTGAGATTTTTAGGAGAAATCTAGAATTTTATGATTAGGCCTATCAATTGCGCGTCCTTGTGGTGAAATGTGCAACTTAAAACTAAGTTTGAAGAAATTCCATTGTAGTCACAATGTTTTCCCTGAAGCTCTAGAACCAGTGGTGCCGAGATACGACCGGTGACCACCCTTAATGAAACATTTCCCTACAAGAGCAAATTTCAAATAAATCAACAAAACGACATTTTCTGGAATTATTTTTTTATATAACTTTTTGATAGCGTAGCATAGGAATTTGAAAAAACATTTCCGTCTATTAATCACTGGTGCTGTTTTGTTTTTCAGCTCCCACTGACTCACCCAAGTTGCGCCCCTATCCAAACTGGGACGCCCACACATTTATAGGGCGTAATCCCCCTGACATCGTGTCCCCCTTCCGAATCAGGGCTGATGCATGCGACAGGTTATGGGTTTTGGATACCGGAACGGAAGAGAATTTAACTCACCGAAAAACCAGACTTTTAATATACAACCTTCGCAACGATGTTTTAATGCGGACTTACGATATACCGGGCGATCAGATGAAAGACAAGTCGTTCTTTATAAACATAGCGGTGGAAGATCACGATTGTCAGGTCGTTACGTTAGATTTTGGGAGTTGATGTTGTGTTTAACTGATAAGTATTATTGCAGGATACTTATGCGTATCTTGCCGACGTAGCCAGCCCGGGATTGGTCGTCTATACTTACAAAGATAACCGAAGTTGGTTGGTGAAGCACAATTATTTTAATATAGATCCGTTGGCGAGCGAGCTCAACGTTTCTGGGATAGCTATACAAGACTGGGACGACGGGGTATTTGGATTGGCTCTAAGTTCTCCCGATCCGGACGGATATAGCACGCTTTATTTTCATCCGATGATAAGTTTTGATGAATTCGCAGTCAGCACAAAGGCAAGTGAAACTTCACGGTCCGGTTTTACTGTAAACTAGCCAAAAGAATAGCCCGTTATGCTAAATAGACCCATACGTCATTTTGATTAACATAATTAACTTACTTGAGGTCGTTCTTTGGAAGTCGGTAAACGAACAATAGTTTATTACTTTCTAGGAATGTTTTGCGTAATTAACGATTATTTTCTTAAACGCGTGCTGCCATACTATAAATATTAATGTGAAGTAATAAGGAAAGACCGATAATATTTGTAAATTATGCTAAAAAGATTTCTGTAAATCGCCTTATTGTTTAGGCGGGTCCGAAAGTAAATATACAGTGTCTCAGCATTTTTTTTAATGGGATAGCCAAGTGGTACCTCAGTTGAATGGTTATAAAATTAATCTATATTTACAACCTGCTTGCAATGTATGAATAGAAGTTCTGCTTATCGCGTTATCGAACATTTTGTACAATTGCAAAAGTCATCAGCCTGCAGTCGCTTTAATTTTCCATCTTGAAAAATAATAAATCGTTAAAAATTGAATTTAATAATCTTTCACCACTCGTTTCCTTATTTCATTTAAAATTTTAAGGGTGGTTCTTCGAACAGCGCCAAGCTTGAATTTAGGGGTTGGCAAATATTCACAGTAGTCACACACGTGTTGGGCCGTGTTTTGCTTTTAAAGGACGAAATATATTAGAAATCTAATTATAATTTTTTTGTTTAAGTCAGTTTGTCAAAATTATCATTTTTTTGCTCACTTTCTAATTGTTAATTTTTATCTAATATTATTTTTATGAGTTAGAAAAAAAAACCTTAAATTAAAAAGGTGTAGGGGCTCCTATCTATCACTTTTTGTCATTATAGAATAGAAAAAAATGAGTTCCAATTCTATCAATCAATTCTATTAAAAAAAAAAATTTTTAATTTCAAGAATAAAGTTGGCTAATATTTGGCTGTTAAATCTTTTAATTATTAGAACCTAAATTAAATCGTTCATTTTGCAAATTTATGTCTTATAGGTTTATTTTTTTCGGCCATTTTTTAAAGGTAATTTGTATAAAGAAAAATATACTAGGTCTTATATTTACAACAATGCAAGTTATGTCATTTTTTCTATTCTATAATTACCAAAAGGTAACAGGTAAAAAAACCTACACCTGTTGTCTTTAAAGTTTTTGTTATAGCTTTTCAAGATTTGACTGTATTTATGGTGGAAAATATAAACAAACACCCTGTAGAAACGTCCTTGCGGACAGCGAAGGCTGTCGATATAGAAAAACAGCTATAGCGTAAGGTTTCCTTACATTGCCGGTATATGTAGTGAATTAATGCTGAAAATTCAGAAATTAAATATAACGTTATCCGTTCTTCTCATAAGGCACAAAGATTATGGTATAAGAAAGGTGTGTCTCGGACAATCGTAAATCATAAACAGGAAATTTCATAACAAACTAAACTCTTATAAAATCGAATAAAGTGCACTTGTCCCAAATCGCTTTTAATCGCATGGTTTCTCGGTAGCCAACAGAGATAGAACTTTGGTGTTTTCGCGATTCAATGTCAGTTTTTCGTGAAACTCCACAAACAGATTTTTGCCACTCTGTTTCGTTAACGAGGTACATGTTGAAATTGAAATTTTACGTTTAGACAACCACTTCCGAAATATAGCCGAAACATACTATTTTCTAAATGCTAAATGTTTAGTTTCTGACCAAAACTAATCCTTAAAAACGTAATATTATAAGAAAAACGTAGTTTAGCAATGGAATTATAAGAATGAAAGTACTCAAGAGTCAAATTAAACAAAATAAAGGATGTATATCTCTGAACTTGATAAACTTAATAATCTTGATAAACTTAATGATAATAATAAATGGCACACACCGCGAATTTTGCTCCATAGTGTTCGCTGGATTCAGGGAAATTTTATTTTTTAAGTAAGACAAAACCAACAATGGGCGATCTGGCGACTTTACTGGTCCAAACACAAATATTCTTATAATTTGTGCGGTATGATCAGGGGCGCCGTAATGCTGAAAGTAAATCCGGTTTTTTAGTCATGAATTTGTTTATTATTATCATTAAGTATATCAATATTATTCAGTTTGTCAAGTTTAGAGTTATTATTTTTTTATTTTATTTAATTTTGCTTGATTGTCCTTAATACTTATAATTCCATTGCCAGGTTTTGGTTAATTAGTTAGTTAGCAGCTTTAGTTTTGGGTTATATCTCTTAAACGGTTTCTATAAAAAATTTGTTGACTACAGCACTGGATTCGACGTAAGAATATCTATAGTAGTTGTTACCTGTTTTTAACTTGAATGATGTTTGAAAAATTTCTATTTTCACCCTGTATCCCGGGAACTAAACAAGGTGGTATAATTCTGTTTGCGGCATTCAAAGTTTCATGAACCGACGCAGTGTCGTGAAAACCGGAAAGTTCTATCTCTGCTGATTGCTCAGAAACCTTGTGATTACAGGCAATTTGTGACACAGTGTACAAAAACGTTTTATTCTAAAATGCTTGTGGAATTACCCTATATATAAAATTCCCAATAATTCTGGTATGTAACAGTTCACCAGGAGGTGTTTACGATAATTTAATTCGAATCGGGAATATTAATACCACACAAGGTTGTTTGATTAATATGGTAGATAATTTTTTCATGTTTTTTTTTTTTTTAATTAATGCTTGGGCGAATTTAATTTTGAAAAACTAACCTAGGCAAATGCGGTATTGCTTTCTTCTTACAAGGTCAAGTCTCTTGTATTACAATTGTAGAAAGTATTTAGAAATGAATTATCACCCTAAATAGTTTTTAAAGCCACTCTAATTATTTTGGTAAATGCGCACTCCGTGAAAGCTTTTTCATTATAGGACCTCGGAAAGCGAAAAAAAAAAAAAATTACGCACGAACAGACTTTTGGTCTTCGTAGGTTACGGTCTAACTTTTTCAGATTAGTTTAGATCATCCTTTTGTGAGAAACTCATAAGAACATATTACTAAATAAGACTCTAAGTGAACTCGATATAAACTGGCATGGTTCTGTCAGATAATGCAGAAAATATCTGTAGAAATTGGGATTCTTACACTTTAATACTTATAAGTATAATAAGAGATTGTCTATTTTGATTATTTCTCAATTTTTTTCATTGATCCTTCTTTGAATTCTGTGATCGTATATCTGGGAAAATAAATTTTATTGGCATTTACACATATTGTGTACTACATGATTAGATTTTGTTTTATACATAAAATGTATTTACAATTTTTTATTTTCCTGGAAAATATTGGTTAAAAATACACGTTTAGGCAAATCAGTATTCTATCTTTATTTTTATAAAAAAGTTTGTGATGTATATTTTTTCTATTTAGAATCGATATTCATTATCTGAATTTCAATATTTAACAGTAATGTTTCTAACAATCTTAAAACTGTAAATACCTACTGCTCTTATTTACTTATGTACTTAACTTTAATTCCTTAATTAATGTTATTCGTTTTGCACGCAACTTTTGTTTTATCAAAAACTGTTTGATGTAAACTTAAAATAATAGGTTCAATATTGTCAATTTGTGAACTCCTTTTCCATCGATTATTATGGATATTTTCGGGGCTGAATTTTGATCAAGTTTAATTTCAGTTTGCAGATATGGTTTTCACTGGTGATTAATTAATACTCTAATAATAAAAATTTTGTATTGATTAGATATATCATGAACATATTTCATCATTTTTTTTATATAAGAGAGAGAACCTACAATATATCAGCCAAATATACGTACCGTATCAGGTCCATTTCTAAAATTTATCTGTAAATTATTATTTCTATAATCAAACTAAAAAAAAAAGCACTTTTTTGGTGAATGTTTTAAGTTAACACTGAATTCCGGTTTAATAACTTTTGTCTTTAAAATTTAACTAGTATTTGATTTTGTATTTATACGACTCGAGCGCCATCTACCTTGCGTTTACATCATTTTAGAACTCAAATATATTTTATGTCAGTACCGTAGATAAGTGAGTCAGTACCGTGGAACGGAAAATTTGAAATTTGTTTCTCGTTTTTCACGCTTTGAAGTTGTAGTAAAATACTTTCAGGTTTATATTTTTACAGTAAAATATATGCATTAAAAATGCATTAAAAATGAAAAAGTATAGTTTTATAATCATAGAAATTTTAATTAAAAAAGTAAGTTAGAACAAAATCGCGCATGTAACAATTTAGTTTATTTTCCGCAAAGAAACCTCATTATTATTGTTATTATTATTATGTATATCGCTTTTTGTGCGCCTTATCGGAATCTTGTTAAATAAGTTAATTTATTATGAGGGACTAGAAACATTACAAATATTTAAAGAAAATATTGTATGATGTTTAAATAATTTCATTAAATTTAGTAATAATGGTACTAATAATCCGAAAAGAAAGACAAGAATCCCCATTACCCTCTATCTTTTTCTATTATAAAATTTGACTCGCTTTTCTATCTCTCCGTGTCTCTTCAACCTTAAAACCTGCTTACAGATACTACGGGATGAAGACAAAGCGAAAAACCCGGCCAACTATTACGATTTTCGTCATCTCGGCAGCAGAGGGCCCAAAGGCCAGAGCGGCGCATCCTTCCTGGATACCAAATCTGGGGTGTTATTCTACACCCTCATAAACTTGAATGCCGTTATATGTTGGAGAACGCCGAACGTATCGTATACGATGGAGTCTCAAGGTCGAATTTTTATGAGCAACGAAACCATGGTATTCCCGAACGACATCAAAGTCGATAACGACAGCAATCTGTGGGTACTGTCGGACAAACTGCCCGTATTTTTGTATTCCAGTTTAGATTACGGCGAGGTCAATTTTCGGATAATGACCGCCAAAGTGGAGGACGCCATCAGAGATACCGCGTGCGCTCCTATCCTGGAAACGAACCCCGTTATTATGGATAAGCTCACCCCTATAATCGGTAAAACCGCGAAAGCTGCTAGCCGCTGCTGCCAAATAAAACTTTCACTTGGTTTGTTTGTTCTCGCCGTTGCAAGTGCGTTGTTTAAATGAAAATGTACTTTTCAAATAATGCACCTGCTTGATTTCTTTATTAATATCGAACGCAGCACACGCAGTACTCACTTTCCACTAACAATGTTCCCACATTAGGTAGTTGCGCAAGTGGGCAGCAAGAGGAACGTCTGTGTCTATCAATTAACGATATTCCGTTTTTTTTTCAAGGTAGAGTGGTTATGCATAATATTTAGTGAGTTGTTTCCGAATGTTTACTTTCAAATTTCTGATTTTTTAAACAACTATATACGGTGTATCAATTTATTATAGCCAAACAACGTAAGTCAACGAGTGCTTAGTTTTGGAAAAAGTTTTAAAAATAACAGTTGTACCAAATTCAAATAAAGCAAAAATAATTATAATCTTTAGGGTAACAATATTTTAACTTAACTTGACCACCTTAAGGTTCATGAAGTAAAAAAGCACGCCACTGACCATCAAACACGAGTGCAATAATATATGAATGTGAATGCATCAATACAGTCCAAGCAGTCAATATAATATGTATATAGGGCGTTCAATTTAAAAGAGTAAGAAGCAGAGGTTAGAAAATTGGTAAAGTTTTGTGGGTGACTTTCCAACATTTTTTTTTATTTACCTTGATAGGTACTTTTAAAAAATGACAACGAATGAGAATGTAACTTAGATACATTGAATTTACTGTACTATCGACTGTTAAATTCTTGCTCCAATTAACTGACACATATTGTCTGCATTGCATATAGAAAGCTTCAAAGTAACATTTGTAATTTGTAATATGCTATTATAGAGATTAATATCGCGGTAGTTCAAAATTTGAATGAGAATTTCAATAAACAAGACGTTATTTCAATTTTTCTGCGTTTCAAGATATTTTGAACACAAGATGAAGCATTTAAAAAATATTTTTTTAATCTTCACTATTCCAAGTCTGTGTTCGGTTAATAAGCTTTTAATTATATTGTAGTCATGGGAATTTGGATAAGGAAAAATCGTCAAGGACATCAAATTTACAACTACTAGGATATTGCTTATTCCTAAAATTCTTTATTATTTATTTATTTATTTTATTCACTCGACAATTCAATTAAAAATATCTTACATAAATTAACATGCACACTTCATAACGCTGGGGTGTTCAGGTCAAATTTAAACACAGTGCCAAAATTAGATCGATTTACGCCTACTGAAAAACGGGAAAATAAAATGATAACCGACTGGAAGTGGGTTAGTCTGCGTTCGAACTTTTGTACGTTATAATTTTTAGTATTGAACCGAACATTCCGATTCTGTGATAAGAATTTTATGTCTTGCGTCTGGGGACGAAAAAAAAATAGAACGATGATTGGTATTCCGGTACAACTATTAACTTTATGTGTATTAAAATCGTCCCTGATATGTATATTTTGTAGAGTGTATTTAATTTATTAGAACTTTATTTACCCGTAAAATTAATATCGTACTTAAGAACAACATAGTTTTAGGTTTTTATTTATTTTAATTACACGCTTTATACGGAAAGTGCCATTTTTTTTATCGGTTTTTCGTAAAAGATAAAGTAATTGAAATTGAAGAAATCATTAAGCGAGCTGCAGTTAATTTTATTAGTAGGTAAACACGGTAAGGAATTTGGCACTTTCTTCATACATAACCGAGTGCCAATATTAGTTGAGTCTCTTTCGATTAAAACAAATGGGCATGTTTCTAAAATGTACATACATATATAGTTTCTTAAATATAATTCTTTCCATGCCCAATATTTGTTTGATTTATTAAAATAGGTGAAGCAAACGATATTATATTTTTGATGCTGCCAAAATGATAATTCTACAAAGTGCAGATAACATTATTAGTGAGGAGTAAAGCTATTTTTTTTGTACAGAAAAATCTTTTTCGACCAAAAACCGATGATTATCACTGTACTCTTTACTAATAATTTTTACTACATAGGATAATAAAAATTAATTGGGGTTCTCCTAATTTTCACGGAGACAGCCCAAACAAATGTGTCCGAAAAATGTGTTTATCCTATGCAATTGAGTCCAAATTTTTTGTAAAACACCAAAAAAATAATTAAAATATTTTAAAATATAAAATAGGTATCAATTGAAATTGCCCTAAGGGATAACACAATGCAAAAGAATTTAATAATTTGATCATTAAGCATTTAGATGTGTTATTTTGTAATTACTTTCATTTGGAAAATAAGGTAATTAATTAATGTAAAAATGATTTGGTCATTAACCGTTAGTAGGTGTCGAGTAAGTCAAATTGGAAAGTTTTCGAGGATTGCATTTCCAGAATACTGATCTCATTTGCGTTCTTTAAGAAATAGTGAAGAGGCTTGGGAAAAAGAGCTATGAGGGATTTTTGAAAAGTTTGCATTTTGAATTGAGGACTATGCGTTACTTTTTTTTAAGAATAAAAAAAGAAGCATACGATATATAAAAAACTAATATTAACATAGTAATGTTGAAATACAACTTTTAATATATTTTCAAAATTCTTTGATATTGGAATTCTATAAAAAATGGTTTTTTGCGTAAAAGAAAAATTTACTAACAATTAGCAAAAAGAAATTCAATAGTATTAAAATATAGCAAACCTTTATAATATTTGATAGCAGATATTAATAAATTCAGTAATTAACTATTTTTTTCTAAGGTTTTTCGCCATGTGATTTCCTATAATTATCTGCGGTGTCAAGGAAATTACCTGTTGTTTCTGCTACCACACTTTCAATACCTACTAAATTTTACGAAATTAGACAATTACCGGTTTATTTTCACTGATAACGCAACATAAATTGGCTTTATCCGTATCTCGGCTCTTCAGTTCATTTCGTATTGAATGAGGGACATATTTTATTTATAACTTGTGTTCTTGTAACGCCGTGTTAGGTACGTATCACCGTCTTTTGCAACCTTGTACATAATTCATGTCGAATACCAATAAGCATGGTGATCGAATCTTAATTAGTGTTTATTAATTCCCGTTGCCTTTGATAACTGCGTAAAGAGGTCATTTGGTTACAAGTGTTCAACTGCGATAAACAAGTCGGTGCGATCGAGTGTTTGCCTGTTGTTTCTAATTACACAGTGGTGGTAGGTGGGGAATTTGAGAGAGATAAAGTTTCGGCTTATTTCGTTCTTTAAGACGAACAACACGCTACTTATTTTTTGCGAAGACTGTGAAAAATTTAACTTACTTTTCAGGTTATGTTGCATAGGGTCGTGAAGGTTACTCGCCTAACCTCAACGCGGTTCGCTTGGTATTGCTGGAAACAAAAGTTTTTTATAGAGTGAACCAAAAAACGTTGGAACATGTCCCGTTAAGATTTTCTCAATATTATAATTTTAAAATAAAATGCGCTAAAGAAAAAAGTGGGTTTCGAATAATGTTGGTTTTCTGCCGATATGAAAATATTTTTTTTATTCATACAAGAAGTTAAATCATCATTTCTTCACAATAATAATCTAAGCCCTGAAGATCGTCCACATTTAGTTCCAAAACCTTTGACGTGGTTAGCCTAAAAAATGAATGGGCCATTTTCTAGTATAGACATTACATATTTTCATTAACAGAAACTCGTTTGGAGTTTTAATTTTTAATATATGTTTGAATATATGCACCACTTCAGAACAAACGTGACTTTACTTGGTTCTCTGAATGGACTTTATAGTTATAGTTAATTTAAATTTCCCAAACTTGTAAAACCAGTAAAAATATGCTTTTATTAACTAGCTACGCTGTTGTTCGCCCAAGCAATAGCTTCCTGACATTGAATTATTGAATTAGTTATTAATTAAAATTGACAAGTGTTTTAAGTTATTAAACTATATAAACAATAAGAGTATAGGTATTTAGGGTGTGGTGCAATATTATACTAATACTATATCTCTCTTAATTATCACAACTTTGAAAAAAATATTTTTAATGTTCTTATACGGATTTCATAAAATATGAAGACAAATATTCGAAAAATATTTTTAATTATGCAGGGTGCTACATGAAAGCGTCTTATCAAAAAAATATATTTTTATTTTTTATAGGGAAAAAATATACTATTCAATACAATCTAATGTATTACTGAGAATTTAATTGAATAATTAAATCACGTAAGTGATTATGCCATACTTGAGGTTTTCCAGAGTCTTGCCAACTTGATGAACTTTAAAGTAATTTTTGTCCAATTTTTTAAATGGAAGACCCCCCATCTAAATACTTTATCGTGTTATATTGTAGTATACAAACATATATAGGGTTCATTTTAAAAAAACATATTATTGTTTTTCCTCGAGGCATGAAACACCCTGCACAATTTCATGTATTTTGTTGTTTATCTGTTGACTTCTTGCAACACCTACTAAGTAAAATATTTTTTAAAAACACTGATAAATAATAAGAAAGTATACAGAGTGGCTTATATTGTGGTAGTAAAGTTGGGTGAGAGTATTCTTGATCTTAAAAAAATTAAAACTAGATCCATGTTTGGTACTTTCAGAAATGAGTTTCCAGTTTTCAATTTTATTGTATCGTTTTAAAAGTTAGAGAAAATTTATAAATTTCTTTCAAGCTTGAAATAAAGTCAAAATTTGCTTTAAACTTTACCTTTCTTTTCTAGCAATAATTTTATTTTTTTCATAAAACCTATATTACCGTATATTCAAAGTTAACTTCATGTTTACTGTGTGCTACTAACCTTGTGTCAATCTACAAAACCATCCAAGTGATGCTGAGTTGAAGCTTCTTAATATTTTCACCGCTTTTTTAACAATGATTATTTCAAAATTAATTTTTAAGTTTAAACCAAAATGAAGCAATAACGATGCGCGAAATGTTTCATGGTAATATATGAAGACATATGAAGTTATTTGAATGACCGAGTAGATTCGGTGGTGAGAGATTTTAGTGGGCTCTTAGTGTTTCTACTCGATTCAAAACAAACTTCGAAATACCCAATAATTTCGTTAACGTATAATATTGGAGATTTTTTTCCAAAGATGGCGTTGTTTTAGAAAATGGATATGAGCAAGATATTCCATTCTAGTCTAGGCATCAAATACCCAACTTTAAGGGACCACCCACTACATTCAGGTGAGCATATAAACCTCTGATTGCAAAAAGACTAAACTGCCACGAAAATTATTATACTTATTATTGTTAGGTTCTTTACATGCGAAACCGCCTATTTAGTGTGATATAATAAAATATTTATGAAGTTGTAGACATTTTTAAGGTTACTAGTGGGTTGTCTTACCTTTTTAGCATGGATCAGTCATATTTATAGCGATAGTGTTTTATTTTAAAATCCTGCCTAAAATGCAATTTGAATTTCAATAAAAAAAGCAAGAAAAGGGACCGTCTTGCAGCCAGATAAATTTTAATTAAATTATATTAATAAATTTAACGAATTCTTTCGTTAAGTAAAATTAAATAAATATTTTAGGTCTTTTAAAAATAACTGCTATAAAATTTCAGTATTTGTATAAATTAATTAAGGTATTCATTTAAATATAGTATATTAGGTAACGTAAAAATTATAAGTATAATTTTGTAATTATTTATTATGATTATAAATGTATAAATAAGTATTAAAGCCTTAGATAACAATTTTCGGTGGAATATTATTTCCTCTGTCACATCAATAACCTAAATTACTTGATAATTTTAAAAGTACCCTTTACTACCTATTTTTTTGAAAGGAAGCAAATGGCTTAAGGGCAAAAACGTGGACGATGGAGCCGAGGGATACTGGAGGATCCATGATAATTTGTATGACTTACATAGTTTTATCAAACTACACCCCGGGGGAGAAGACTGGCTTAAATTAACAAAGGTAAACGAAACCTTCTTGTTTGATTTTTCCGTCTTATCACATCTAGGTTGTGTTTTAGGGCACCGATATTACTGAAGCCTTCGAAGCCCATCATTTTACATCAATGCCCGAAGATTTATTACCCAATTTCTTCATCAGGAAAGCGACCCAGACAAGAAACCTACCATTCACGTTCGACGACCGAGGTTTTTACAAAACCCTCAAAAGAAAAGTGGCGGAGGAATTGGAAAAACTTCCGGAGCACCCGAAAAACAGGTCCAAATACTTAACCGACGCCCTGTTCTCATTATACGTTACGGCTTTCATCTCTGCCGTGCGTTATAGAAGTTTCTCCGTCGGGATTTTGGCAGGAATTTTGCTTGGACTGACCGCCATTGCAGCGCATAATTTTTTTCACCAGAAGGATAATTTCCGAAGGTTTTATTTCGATTTTTCTATGATGAGCTCTAGGTTAGCGTATAATTCCTTTTATTTCGATTAGTCAGAGTATTATTTTTAGGGAATGGAGAATCAGTCACGTACTAAGTCATCACATGTACACAAATACAATCAGCGACATGGAAATATCGTCATTAGAGCCATTTCTATGGTACCTACCGGCAAAAAGACACTTTATTGTTAAATATTGCTCGTGGCTTTATTCCCCGGTGATTTATGGCGTCCTAACGATGGTTCATTTTCTCAAAACGTAGGTGAATTTATTTCCAACTACTTTGGAAGCTGCGATGTTTGGTCCTAACGTTCCTAATTATTTTCAGCTTGATTCAGGAGCTTCTGGACGGAGGCAGTGGACTATCTTTCACCATCCTCTTACCTTTCACACTTCCATTATTATCTTGGGTAATAACTGGGCAATCCGCTTTGTTTTGCATTGTCATGTTTTTCTGGATTATTATCGTCGGAAGTGTTCATTTTGGATTAGTGGGTGTAAATGCCGCCCACCACCACCCTCAAATATTTCATGATGGCGATGCTATACGGTAAGTATAACCACCAAACAAAAACAGGACTAGAAGGGAAGCAAGATCGATCGATGTTGCCTTTTCCTGCTTTCTCCCTCTCTCTTATACTACTGATATTTACAGTTAGCAAGTTGTCCTATACTTTCCTCCATGCCTCCATTTTATTCAAGCAATGACACCTAATGACGTTAGAATGGTACCAAATTTTGATATTGCTAATTGCAATTTGTTCTTTAGTTTTTATGTTCATTTTCATGGACACTATTGTTTACGTCTTTTTGATAGGTTTACTTGTTAGACAATGACACGTATTGGTGTTAGTATCATTATATAGATTTCAAACCCATCTAAGGATAATTTATCGTTTGTTTTTTAGTCCCTTAAACGAACTCGATTGGGGTATTCACCAACTCGATGCGGTGATGGATAGACGGGAAATCACAGGTTCTCACTTCCTGGTACTGACAAACTTCGGAGATCATGCACTGCACCACTTGTTCCCTTCTATCGATCACGGTTTATTAGAATACCTTTATCCAATTTTTCTGGAAACGTGCAAACATTTCGGCGTCGAGTGGAAATTGACGTCACAGTTGGAGCTAGTGAAAGGGCAGTTTTTACAACTTGCAAACGAAAAAGTCAACAGCGAACCCCCGAAGAAGTTACTGCACACGAAATTATGACACTGTTACATTTAGTGATTCACTGTACATACTTGGAACGCTTATATTTATTGTATTATTATTATTGACTTTAAATAAAATGAACAAATATAATAGTATATTATGCAACAAGTTTGATATATAAACATGTCTTTGTGATCATTAATAACCGCAAAAACTGACAACAAATCTACCGGAAACATCCGTTACCAAGGCTTGACAAAGCTGACTTCCTAAAGTCGCATTTTGCGCACGCCTCTTCAGCGCACAAATTGGTTAGAGAGTTTTTCTTACTGCAAGATATATTTTTTTAAACTAAGCCCTGATTGGTATATAGAATTTGTCTATCTGTTTTACAAACAAGATTGGCTATTTTTTATTGTGCTCCTGCGGACCACTAGGGAACTTTCGCAAAATCGATGTGATTTTCTAGCGCATGCACTGTGTATAAACTGTCCTTCACGACTCGTCGAACATCAAAGTTACGGTAAACTTTCGTAAATAATAAGATTTGTACAAATAATAGCAATTTTCAATGATATTTTTTTCAAATATCTCTCTCGTATGAGAGACGAAATTTGAAACTCTCTCTCGACACAATTTACAATACTGTAAAGACCAAATTATACAACGTTTTGTAGTTTTTCATTAACGGCTAATAATTTACCCACGAAAACGGGATTTTTCAGAATCTATTTGATTTTTTGCACATAATCAACGCACCCTGTAGATAATTGAAAAACATCTTGTATATAATAGAAAAAATGCCTAAAATAAAAGTTATAGTAGCGGATCTTCCACAGTTCAAGAATTTTGCCGATCGGGTTAATAGTTTTGGAGAAAATAATTTTTTTAAGGACGCCAAAATAACCTAAAAGAAATTTCAAAATTTTTTAAAACATATTTGGCTACATATGCGCCCAGTTTCTACAGTATAGACTTTTATACCTCTCCTTAGCTACGATAGCTACATATTTTAATATAGCACAGAATATTCAGAGCATCCTGTGCAATATGCAAAAACCTTAAATACAAAAGTTTTAGCTATCCATACGGACTATATGGTTATATTTAAAAAAACAGACAATGGACCCCAATTTTCAGGTTTTTACAAATACCGGCCACACCCTGTACATTTTTGAAAATTATCAATAATAAACGTTTATAGAGTTTGATGAAGTTCAAATTTCGGAGACTTATTGTGTTTTAATAGTAATGTCCAAAAAACAGTGAAAAATCGAGAAAAAAAATGGACGCCGAGGATCCACCTCGACCATTTCCAAATCTCTTGTGCATCCTCTGGATCGTTAAAAAGGAGCATCTAGGTTAAACGGTTCGGAAGTTATCGTCGAAATAGAGAACGGAGAACCGAGAATGGACAAAGAAATGTTTTTGATTTCTATACCAATGGCGATCCCCTAGAACCTACCGCTACCGAGATATAAAAATTTTATACGAGCGCAGATACTTTCCGAAAATTCGATTTCATCGATTTTCGAAAGTAACAAGTGCAGTATCAATGCTTTTCGGTAACACATCACAGATTTCTATTAATATTTCCTGCGTGTGTGAATGAATATTAATTTTAATTGTTAGCAGTGGTTTGCCATCCATAACACACCCGATGCATTACGGTTCGGTACAATATTACATTAATTTTCAATCAACCTTATTTGTAACTGACCTTTGATTAAATTTTTTCTAAATAAATTCTACTTGAAACGCCATAAAACAATGTATCGTTTTCAACTATTCCGCCTTATTACGGTTTGCACCCTTTGAAAGTTAAGTTTTCTGAAACCGTGACATTCTTAGTCTTATTGATTTAGTTGAGTTTGAGTAAGAATATCAAATCCAATTAGCAAAATTTTAATATAAATTATACACGCTCCACGCTTAAGTTTTCAATTGCCTTACTTTTTTCTTTAAATGCTTAAAATAGACTGAAACAAAACTATCAGTTTATTGAAGGCTTGTATTATCCAAAATTTAACAATGGTGATCATTCGACAGCAGTTGTTAGAAAATGAAATTATGAAACGACATTGGATTCTGCCCGTGGCAGGTCGATTCTAGTTGGTCAAAATTTTGTTGTGTTCGTTAATAGTGTCAAAATAGTATCTTTTGATGGTGTCACGCGGTTTTGCTGTTTTTACCATTTACGCCGGTAACCAGGCCGAAGAGGTCCGTAATGGAAGCGCGGGGAGTAGTGTTTTGTGTAGCATCGGTTCCTAAATTTTTTGCGAACAAGTGATAATAAATTGGTTGGTCGGTGACCAACAGGAATGTTATCTTATTTGTACTAAAGTTGAAACATAGTTAATTAGTTAGCTGGCTGGCTGAAAAAAATAAAAACATAAATAATGTCTAATAATTATGTGTCGTAATATTTCTACCACTAAAATATAAAAGCTTTAAAAACTCTCACTTATATGAATGAAGAATCGTTTTGACCACTTTTTTCTACGATCGAATTAAATTTAAAACACTTTTTTCTACGATCCAATTAAATTTAAAACAAGGTGACATAGTTCAAAGTAATTCATTAAATAATAATTATGGAGAATGGCAAAATCCAAATTGCGGGAAGAGATATTCAATGGGCAGTTTAAAATTAAGTAAAATGCGTACGTTAGTGTTAAATTATTTGGGTTTCGGAATTTTATTAAGTTTACTGTTATTAGGGTACAAAAGCTATAGTTCAAACTATTAGCACACAGATGTAAGTATAAACAATAAAAAAATATAGATTTTTGTGACTGCATCTTCTTCTTCAATAAGTAAAATTACTTTTTTAGCAACGCCATGATAAATGAAAGCTGTCACACAAGTTTTAATATAATTTTTGATATTGGTAAATCAGATTTGCAATAGAAGTTTAGCCTGTCTCGATCTCATCGGGTTGGTCTTTGCCCGCAATTGTGGAACTTACCTTTTTCAATTTATCCAAGATAGGAACAACTTCGCTTTGATAAAAACAACATATTTTCCTTCTTATTGGGTCCTATTGTCTATACGGTGAGTTTAAAAATCACTACGTTTACTCCTTTTCTTCAATTCTCCACTATTAATAATATCCTTTATCGACGATATTAGCGATTTTGTAAGTAGACAGGTTTCTTTTAAAGTTTAATAAGTTCTCTATGTGTTAAAGTTTCATACCCATTTTTCACAACCTATTTTGCATCAAGCGACAATTCATTTCGATGAGACGCTGTTATATTCCCCTAAAATAACTTTTTCGAAACCCACAGTAAAAACAATTACGCAACACTGCGACAAATGGTTAACACTTAAGAAATATATCAGAAAGACAGAAATATATTTGGCCCACCCCTGCCTTGTAACTCAAGTAAAAATAAATAAAAATGGCTTTATCCATTAACATTGTTAAAGTTTTATTGGGGAGGGTCCGTCGAAAGCCAACATGATGAAGATTGAGATTTAGAATATGTCTAGAATATGGTCTATAAGTCGATTCGTACTTATTCATTTTTTGAATAACATCAGCAACAGAATATCTATTTTCTTGACGACATGGTGGATGCGCAGTATATATAAAATGATTTAGAAAATTAAACTTCGTATACCAACGACGCATGAAAATTTTGATTTTCAATTTTAATCACATATTATCATCAATTAGGATATATGAAACTTCGAATCCGAATTTGACCCCTCACGTGGCGGTGGCTTTTTAATTTGCTAATTCTTCATGTGCGAATAAACGATCATAGTTCTACTGGACACGGTTTAGAAATCGACGAGTAGCACGCAGGGATATATGTATGTAAAACCCATTTTATCACAAAACGAGGTAAACATTTGTTGTCTACTCTTTACTCCAAACTACTCAATATGCACTGCAACCTTATGGCAATAGAAAGAGTATGCAACACATTTATAAAGTTCTCACAATAGAGTAAACCGTTACTCCGCTCGTTCCTAAACAAACTTGTGAATAAAGTGTTGGCTATAAAACTTCTTTGCGTAATATGCTATTCGGTTGGCTAAAAGAAACGTCATGCTTATGCACAATTTTTATTTGTAAGTAAGCATTGCTGATCCCATCTTTCCATCTGGTTCTGAGTCTACCCCGCTTCCTGTTTCTATTGGGGACCTAATTGAAGCATTTGCACTTCCTTAAAAAGTTGTGTGCATTTACTCTTCCCATAAGATTTTTGTCTAGTGTCCAAATTTCCAGCTTGGTGGTATCTTTTATGATTTTATTTCACAATAACGAGTTGAATTATCTTTATGATGGTCCTTTCCATCTTTACTAAGCCCCATACTTAGATAGTCAGATTATTCCTTTTTTTTGTTTCTTAATTTACTTTTATAATTTGTCCTTCTTCCCCGATCACTAAGTACTGAGATTTCTGTAGAAAAATTTGCAATCTTTGACAGCGTCAATTGATTTTCTCATCATGTATTATGCGTCTATATTCAAATCCAAGACATCCTGGTCGTCAGCGAATAGCACAGTATAAATAAATTCCTCAACAATTTGAACTTCTATGTACTTACACTTCAATAAAACAGATTTAAATTTATTTTAAATAAGGTTGTAGATAAGCAATTGTAATAGTTTTCTTTAAAAATGGGAACGTCATGGGTCTTTCTTAAATAGCCTTTAGTTTAAGTCTGTTATCTAATTTTTGAATTACTTGTTAGGTAGGTTTTTTGATTACTTTTAATAAATTAGTAGTAATAAGTACGTACATTCTATATTTTTATTTAGTAATACTTTAAAATATTAAGCTAAAAAAAATGCACGGCAATAAAAGTAAGAGTAGTGAGAGTAGTGAGCGCAAAACCAAGACGAAAATTTACCAAAAACAAAAATCCAACGACATAACCTGTTTATTGGTGCCTTATATCATACAACATATTCACACATACAACTAAGTTAATTTAACTGCACTTTACAAAATACCATTGGATTTTCATAAAAACTGAGAATGTGGAGATCAAAGGCTGCGGATGGAATTACGTGTCTCTTGTCTCTTTTTTAACCTCCGCTCTCCCTTTCTCATACAGTTCGGTACATTTGAAACAACGGAATCATACGCTTAAGGAATAAACGAAACAATTAAAAAATAAATATAAGTAATATTAAAAATAATTACAATACAACACGCAGCAAAGTTGGTATAGCTGCGCGGACCTTTCGTACATTGGTTAAGTTAACACAGCGCGCGAGTTATTTAGAAATCGTTTTCAGGGGCAAGGTCGAACCTTGGAGGGAAGAGTCCACCGTCCAGTTGTTGAGGGCGCTGTCTTGGCTAAAGAAGAGAAAGATGTTATTTAACAGTATGACATAGACGCTTACGAGAGACAACACTCCTCAAAATATGGGAAGTTTGCGAAGTGGGTCGCATTAATTTTAATAGTTGGGGTTTGTGAACTGTAAAATGGTGTCGTAAACAAGTTACAGTCCCGGGAGAGACGGCACTAATTTTACACGGCCACTCGCTATACTAAATTGACAAAGGGTGACAAAAACTTAACACTGAGAAAATTAAAGCTGCTTTACCTACTAAAGCTACCTGAGTTCATTCAAGGTTTCTTTAGTAAATTCAAGCCCTATTTTAATAAGAAAACTTTAAGCTTTCATAAAATTACTATTAGTTCTCTCAGTGAACCGCTTGCATTAGTAAAGATCGGTACATAACAACGCTGATCGGGTTGTAATGTGACTTACAAGATGAAGATAGAAGTTACTCCATAGCAATAGCCGCTAAACGACTTGGTTTATTTGCTTGAGGCTTTAACAAATTAAATGGGCATAAAGTTACTTTAAACACGAGTCAAGTTGTATATTAGGCTTTACAACACTTTTTCAAAGAACAATGAATATCTGTCTACACAAATACTGTTTTGCATTGATTTAAATCAATAAAATTCAATTTTTTATTTTATTTAAAGACACCGTCCATATTCCTAATTTTGGAATTTCCAAAAAACTTGTAATCATCGATTTGGGAGACTATGGTATGGTGAACTTACCGCTGGGCTAGCACCTCTGGCAGCTGAACCTCCACGGCCTTTCGCGCGGAATTTGGCAATAGCTTGTTCGGCAAGGTCAGCACGTTCTTCGGCTTCCTCGAGCTCTTGTTGGGCCTTGCGGAATTTGGCCAAATTGAGGGCGGCAATTTCTTCGGCTTCTTCGATCTGCCTCTTGTATGTCTTGATCTTCTGTTGCAGTTTGTCGACCAGGTCTTGCATGCGCTCGTGGTTTTTGCGGTCTTCCTCAGCTTGGAAGCTCAATTCCTTGATGCGGCGTTCGGATTTCCTCAAGTTCTTCTGGGCGTCGGCGTGTCTTCTTTGTTCGCCGTCCAACTCGTTCTCAAGTTCTCTGACTCTTTGTTCGAGCTTGGCAATGGCTTTCTTGCCACCTTTAAGGGCGTTGGCTTCGGCTTCATCCAAACGGACTTGGAGGTCCTTGATCTGGGTTTCGAGAGCTTTACGGAGTTTCTCCTGTGTTTGGGCGTGGTCTTGTTCGGCACGGAGTTCGTCGGCCAAGCGGGCAGCGTCTACCATGGCTTTCTTAGCCTTCTCCTCGGAGTTCTTGGCTTCGTTAAGGAGTTCATCGAGGTCGGAATGCAGGGTTTGCAATTCGGTTTCCAACTTCCTCTTGGCGGCGGACATGGACGCGTTCTGGGCAGCGAGGTCATTCAACTGTTCGTGAGCATCTCCCAGTTCTTGTTCGGCTTGGCGGCGAGCACGGTCGGCTTGCTCTAAGAGAGTGCGAGATTCTTCCAATTCGTTCTGCAAGGCGTTGGCACGTCTTTCAGAAATGCCCAACTGTTCTCTGGCCTCATCCCGAGCACGTTGTTCCTCTTCCAATGCTTGCTGGGTGTCCTTAAGTTGTTGTTGGTAACGTTTAATGGTCTTCTGGGCCTCAGCGTTAGCCTAAATGTTAAACATTGATCAATACAGATATCATTTACAATCCGGAAAATTATTTACCTTGTTGGCGTGGTCCAAAGCAATTTCCAATTCGTTGATGTCGGCTTCCAACTTCTTCTTCATGCGTAGAGCCTCAGCTTTGCCCTTGGCTTCTGCTTCGAGGGAAGCTTGCATGGAATCCAAAGCGCGTTGGTGGTTCTTGCGGGTGTTTTCGAACTCTTCTTCCTTCTCTTGGATGCGTCTGTCGATTTCTTGTCGTACCTGCGAGAGTTCCAGCTGACTGCGGAGCACCTTGTTCTCTTCCTGTTCAAGGGCGGCTTCGGCTTCTTCAAGAGCGGCCTGCAGTTCGTCTTTTTCGGCTTCCAATCGTTTCCTGGCCTTTTCGATTTCGTGGATGTTGCGTCCACCTTCACCGATTTGGTCGAGCAAATCTTTAACTTCATCGGCGAGGTTCTTGTTCTCGCGACGAACTGCTTCCAATTGTTCTTGTCCTTCTTCGTAAGCTCCCTTAAGTCTGAACAACTCGGTGGAATAGTTGCGGCACTCCTTCTGGCTGGCATCGAGTTCGGCGGCAAGATCGTCAACCTTGAGTTTCCATTCTCCAATAATTTTATCGAATGCCTTCTGTTTCTTCTCGGCGGCGTTGGCAATAGCGTTGGCACGGTCGACTTCCAATTGCAAGTCTTCGACTTCAGTGGCCAAGCGTTGTTTGGTCTTTTCGAGAGCCACGACCTTTTGGTTGAGCGATTCGATGGTTTCCTCAGCTTCAGCAAGACGAGCTTGCAGTTTCCTCTTGGCTTCTTCGAGTTCCTCTGATCTGGCAACACCCTCGGATTCGTATTTTTGACGCCAAAGTTGAGATTCAGCGTTAGCTTTGCTCAGTTGGCGTTGGATGTCAGCCTTGGCTTCCGCTTCCTCTTCAACCTGTTCACGGATGTTGTCCAAGTCGTGTTCCAAGTTGCGGAATTTGCCGAGGAGGGTCGCGCGTTCGCGGGCTTCCTCGTCGGCCAATCTCTTGGTGTCTTCTAATTGGGTAGTCAGGGACACCTTGATCTTGCTGAGTTGGGATACTTGGGACTCAGCTTCTTCCAATTGCCTGAGAAGGTCAGAGTTTTCGATGGACAGCTTCTTCTTAGCAGCGTCGAAGTCGTTGAGTGTGCGGTTGGTTTCGTCAAGCTTGCCTTGTACGTCGTTGAGTTGTTGTCCCAGTTGTTTAGAAACTTTCTCGATGGCGGCCTGGGAAATGAGATAGGAAACGTTTAGATGAACTTTTTACTCCACTCGGTACGAAGCAGAGTATTGCGATCATAAAAATTAGTTGTTAGCTAGCGATAAAATCGGGAAATTAGGAACGAAGCTCTGTCAGCGGTTTCTCAGAAGAGCTGCAACAGTGATATACACGACAAAGACCAATGTGGGCGTCCTTCTAGTACCTTTTCGTTAGCTAAGTGGTCGACAGAAGCACGGAGATCGTTAAGTTCACCAAAGTATTGGGCCTTCTCCTTCTCGGCTCTACAATAACAGACAGAACGAGACAAACGTTAAACGTGAACATACACGCAAAGGACACGACAATGTAAACGGGTGGTACGAGTATTTCACAGTAATAAAATGCAGGCAGAACCGGAATTTTTGGGGTAACACGGGGTACCTTTTCGCGTCCGACTTGGTCAACGGCGCCGCGAGTTTGTTGGAGTTCTTGGTAAATACTTGCACGATCTCTTTCGGCCCTACATTTTACATAAATTAAGTTGCATTATTTACGAGACGGCTCGTCTAAAGATTAATGACGATACGCCGGCCGGTTACGTTTATTTTTCCATTTGCAATTTACAAAAGTTGTTTGTTATTTTTGGAACGGCGCCTTTGGTGTTTATAATTATAAATATATTTAATGACCACGCAATAATAAAGTTTAAAAAAAACCTCGATGCACCAAATTTTCCCGAATATCTAAATTTTTGTTGTGAAGCGAATCGAGATTACTTACTTAGCCTTCAGCTTGTTCAGTTGGTCAATTTGTTCGCCCATTTCGGAGACTGCGTCGTTGTGCTTCTTGCGTAAGTTGGCGAGGGTGCTTTCGTGTTGGATGTTGGCTTCCTCCAAGTCGCGGCGGAGCTTGGCCAGTTCGGCTTCGCGTTTCTTGTTGAGCTCAATTTGAGCCGAGGTAGCGCCACCAGCTTCTTCGAGACGTTCTCCCAACTCCTCGAGTTCCCTGGCCAAATCCGCGCGCTGTTTCTCTGCCTTTGCGCGGGCTTGTCGCTCGGCTTCGACCTCTTCTTCCAATTCTTCGATGCGTGCCTGGAGTTCCTTGATCTGTTTCTGTTGTTTGCCGACAACCGATTGTTCGTCTTCCAATTTGGCGGTCAGAGATGAAATTTCCTTGTCTTTGCGTTGGATGGTTTGTTCGAGTTCCTTTTTGTTACGTTCCAAGTCGGATACGGCTTCCTGGGTCAGTTTCAGATCGCCTTCGACCTTCCTCTTGGATTTCTCCACGTCTCCGCGCAGTTTCTTTTCGCGTTCGAGAGAATCTTCGAGTTCGTCCAGCGTCTGTTCGAGTTTAGCCTTCACTTTGTTCAAGTGGTTGACTTTGTCCTCGGCGGCCTGGAGTTCCTCGGAGATCTTCTGGTTATTTTCGCCGGACATTTTCTTTTCCTTGTTGAGTTTGTTGATGAGTTCATCTTGGTGGGCAATTTCGTCGTTCAAGTTCCTAATCTGGTGGTCTTTGGTGGCCTTGTCTTGCTCGGATTTCTGAAGGTTCAGTTCCAAGTCCTCGACGTCCTTCTTGTAGCCAGAGATTTCTTGCTCCAGCTTTTTCTTCTGTTGCAAAAGCTGGTTTCTGGCGTCTTCTTCCTGGCTGAGGCGGTCTTGGGTTTCCTTGACAAAAATAAATCAGGTAAAGCGGGCGACACTCGCGTATTAATTAAATTCTTATTGGATGCGTTCCAATAAAATGTTTTCGAGTATTTTTAATGATTGCCGATTACCTACATTTTATTTTGAGCGATCGCCAAAATTTATTACGAAAATTAATAAGGTAGCAGTTTTGATTTTGCTAATGAATAAGAAGCATTGACAGCGGTCCAACTTAACGCTCGTCTCGCTTGGATGAGAAGGCGCTTGAATAATTGTAGTTTATAAGTTTCCACAGCAAGTTATTAAAAACTCACCTGCAATTGGGATTCCAGGTCATTTTTCTGAGCTTGCAGCTTGTTGGCCCTCTCTTGAGTCTCGGATAAGGTACCTTTCTCGCCTTCTAAGCTGTTCAACAACTCGGTCTTCTCGTTCAACAATTTGGAGTAGAGGCCTTCGAGTTCTTTTTTGGCTTTCGCTTCCCTTTCGAAAGCTTCCTGTGCCTTGGCCGCTTTCTCTTCAAGTTTCTGCAACAAAGTTTCTTTTTCGGAGAGTTTTTCGAGCACGTCCGCAGCGTAGTGCGTTTTGGAAGATTTTCGTTGCAGGGTCGATTCGGGTTCGAGGGTTTCTTTTTCGTTTGATTCGATTTGGGGTTCGGAGGGTATCGCGTCACCAAGAAGATGTTTCTCTTTAGAGTCTTTCGATTGTTTTCTTTCTTTTGGTAATTTATGTTGGGAGGTTTCGATGTCGGCCATAGTGAACCCCGAAAGACTACCGATAACTGTGCGAGCACGATATGGAATACCGTCCGAATCTAAGAGAGGAGTGCAAGCCGCGAAGACCGAGCTAAAACTGGATTCTGTAGAAAGTTAGGATAAGTCATATCCGAAGGCGTGGGAGAGAGAGATGAAAGATTAGAAAAATATGCGATATAAACCGCGAGGCGTTGACAGAAATAGTATGTAGAGGGAGAAATTTTATATTTAGCGAATCTAATATAGGACAGGTGATTTTATAAGTGGACATAAAAATCGAGCGTTTAAAAAAGTTTGTAAACATTCCTATATCTGTAGGGAAGGTTGTTCGCTAAATGCAGCGTCGCCTACATGAGAGAAGATTCTTGTAAACTGTTGCCCGAGATGCGAGATCGCGAAATTTATTTCGGGATAAAGAACGTATTATAAAAACAAACGTTCGCGCGTCTTGCCTGAAATTAGAATCGGATATTTTGTCGAAAACCGCGGTGAATGACTTAGCGTTGCAAGTCCGATTTATTTAAAGAATGTAAATGATTCAACGCGAAAAAAAATATGCGTGTGTCAAAGCAAACCCCGATATTTTTGACACGAGAATGCGATAAAAATGATCCGCGTAGGTCATTTAAAAATAATCCTACGTGCCGGGATTATGTTTGATTTGCGCAGATCTTGCCCAATTTAAAAACGTGATTCACCCCGAGATGTGTTTCTGAGTTACCCAATGAAAATTTAAAACGTTTAAAAATATTGTTTTCACAATTCTAATTCGATATGAACGTAATTCTCAGAAAAAAAAATAGTTTTGTTCCCTGTAGCACTCATACACAAGAAAAGGAGCTAGAATCCTTGATCGAAATATTCCTTATAAAACAAAAAAGGCTTAGATAAGTTATAACGAGTTTTTGTTTTTTTGACTTACATTAAATATGATCCTGAAGTGATAAGGGAATATTGAAACTTTTATACGATGGTCATAAGATTAACAAAGTATTATATTTTGAACAATATTTCAATATAAATACGGTCGCACAAGTCTCCTGAAAATGGCTGCTATCCAACCTCAACGGTCCCCCAATCATTTTATTTCAATCGAAATTCCTATATGATCTCAATCTATCTCTATGGAATTTCAATCTATCGCCATGAAGTTATCTTGAAATTAGATGTCGACAAAGATTTTTAAAATTCTTTGAAAATTCTGTTTTTTGGGGTCAATGAAAAATATACTTTTTTTCCAAACATTAGATTAGATTAGACTAGTTTTGGTTAGTTGACTTACACAAATTAAATATGATTCTGATGTGATAAAGGAATATTCGATTTCGAAGTGAAATCACTTTTACACCATAAAGGAATGTTTGATCATCATAAGATCAACAAATTATAATATTTTGAACAATATTCTATTATAAATAAGATCGTAAAAACTAACCGACCCCAACGGTCCCCCAATCTTTTAATCGAAATTCCTATGATGCGCGAAATCTCTATCTATCGGCAGGGAGTTATCTCCAAAAAGGCCCCGTTAAAATTCTTAGAATTTTTTTTCGGGGTACTGAAAAATATATTTTTTTTCGAAACGTACCTCTCCGATCAAAAGCAAACTTAAGAAGACGCGTGACAACCGATAACGAAACGTTTGCTCTCTATGACTTTTTCAAAAATGAAAAATAAACGATAATTGTCTTCTTCAGAAGTAAATCGTTAGCGCTAATTAAAAGGGCATACTAAGATTTGTAGGCCTTTAAGAAATATATGAAATTATATATCTTGTTTCTCTATATTAAGCTCTTCGTGTTCTTCTTTTCTAAGTTCCAACCTAGGCAAAGTTTCGACGAATTAATGACCCATTTTTAGAAGACTGAAATATTATATTTCCTAAATCAATCTTGTGTATTATTATCATAAAATCATTTAAAGAATGACATGTATGCCCTTCAATTTAATAAAACGTAGTTGGAATTAAATTAGTTGTAAAAATGAAAATTCTAAAATGCGAATTTTAAAAAATTGTAATTGTAATATCTTAATAAACTTCCTCCAAAAAATACTTAGGTACCAATGGTTTCTAAAAAAGATGAGCAGAGGAGTCCCTGGTAAGGCGAATAATTTAGTAACGAGTCAAATAAAACATTGAGGTCTAAAGATCAGAGAAGCGCATAATATAGAAGAGTGGGAATGAATTAAAGTGGTTGATTAAGGAAATTGCATTAACCAACTTACAGCGATCTCATCCTCGATGCGGGTGACGTTGAGAAGAGGTCTGACCTTCTGCCACAGTTTGTACCATGGCCAGGTACGGAGCTTGAGGTATTTCCTCAAGTTCCTCTGGCACACTTGGAGGGCCAAGCGCTGTTCTTGCAATTTCTTGAATTCCTTCCTGGAGAGGTAACCACGGATCCAGGACTGCATCCAAGTGACGATTTTGCTCAGACGTTCATCACGAAGTTCTTCCATCTGACCCAAGACACCAGCACGGAAGAATACCTAATTTTTCGAGACAACACAATTGGTATATGACCCGAAGGGGGACTCGCCTTTTTTTAAAAATTATTTCGTCTAGCATCTAGCCGTTAGTTGCGTTTGTATACATAAGTTTTCAGTTCTAAGCAGCACAAAAACTGTTCGAAAGAAAATATGTCTTAGTACCCATAAATCTCTCTATCTGCAACTTCACAGCCAAGTTTTCATTAGAATTTGGACGAGATAGGTTAGGCAATTACGTAACAAGAACACTTCACTAGAAATGAATGATTCAATATAGCTCAATAAAAATCAAATGTTTGAGTTTTTGCATGCACTGTTGTCACTCATACCCAATTTTAGTATTTACATCCTTATTTTCAAATATTTTGCCTTATCAGAAACTACCTTCAATAAAAAAAAAACAAGCAGCGCATACGTTTTAGCTAAGAAAATCAAGCTCAATATAGCATCATTTTAGTAATAATCATAGCAGCGATTTTTTTATCGCGCAAGAGCGAAAGCAATTCGTTGAAGTAGTATTGGGGTATACCTTAGTTTTACCCAAACGATATTGCTCTTTGTCTAGATTAATGGAATCCAGAATAATTTGCGCAGCTTTCTCCGGAGTTGTGCTGTCCTTGATTGCACTTGCGACCAGAATTTTGTATCTGATTGACGCAAGAGTTTCGGTTACACACAAAAACAAACAAAAAATAAGGGGTATAACACACAGTTTAAGAGGAGAAGAAACAAATAAAACCTAGCCGAGTAGTGTAGCCCGTCTGTAAGGCTACATGGTGACTCGGCGACAGAACACAACACTGTAATACTCTGTAAACATGCCTTAGTGTGACCGAGACGATACAATTCGGAATCAAGACCGGTAGCTTGCAAGATGTGATCAGCACATTTCTTTGGGTCGGACTCCTTGGACACAGCGGTAGGATTCAAGATCTTGTAACTAAAGGGATACACATGTACAAACTTATTACAACAATGGCTGGACGGACGAAGATACATTTAAATTGCTTCAATCGATGACGATCACTTTTAAAACATGTGCATTTCCTAAACTCTGCAAGTGACGACAACTGAACACTAACGAATGAAAAAAGGATCTAACAAGGGATCACATATAATATTCCCTTGCCTTTGTGTGTCCTACTCTGTAACTGTCAGGGTCTAAAGCAATTTCTTCCAGACACTTTCTAGCTGCTTCCTTTGGATCCTTTTCCTTTGCCATCGTCGCCGGTGCAAGAATCATGTAACTACGTTACACCAAAATAAATGCATTTCTGTTTTTCGCAATTTCTACATAACTACGGATTTTCTAAAGTTTACTCAAGCATGTTTACGCAAAGGATTGATAACCATAATAAATGAAGCTGTTCCCAAATTACTCGTTATTAACGCCACAAGGGCTACAATTTGGGTACTGAAGACTGTTTTATTCGAAATTTCAAAATCTAAATCCAAAATCGGCTCTTCCAAGTAGGTACTTCAGATTATAGTGTCTAATCAATAAAATGACGGTTTCAAGAAATAAAAAAATATTGTAAATGTTTTAAAAATGTAACCTAATATAATGCCTTTGCTCATATAATTTATAATCATTTGGGACGAACTAAAAAATTATTTGCAACAATGGAATTTTCTGAAACCGTTTCAGTATTCTATAGGATCTAATTCTGCAGTCTCCCGTAACTAGTATTTCAAAGTATATTAATAAATCAGGGAGCTTACCGCAGTTTGAAGTCTGGGTAGACCATCCTGTTGGGGAAACCTTTACGGCAAATACGGATACCTTCAAGTACACCGTTGCAAGTCAGCTGGTGCATAACCAAGTGAGAGTCGATCACTCCGGGCTGTTTCAATTCGTTGGGAATGATACAACGTACGAAGTGAGGTTGAGTGGCCCTCAACGTAGACATCAGGTTGTTCAGTTGTTCCTACCGTTACAGCGACGTTAATTTGTGTCATGTTGAATGATTTGGGCGAAACGGATTTTAGTCGAAGTAAATGTATTAATCACGTCTTGTGCAAGCCAAGAGTATACGTAGCACTATTGTTTGGTAGTAGAAAGTGAGTGCGATGTGTTAGTTAAGTCAAATCCGGAAATATTTCGCATACAGTTTTAGTAGGTGCTGCAGTCTGATTTCCAAAAAAAAAACACGAATACCATCATATAGGTAGTATGTAGGAGGTCACGAGGTTCACGTTGAGTATCCTATTAAAGGTTGTGCGGAACTGAACAGGAACTTCTTCAAATTTACTAAATTTTCGAATTCTTCAGGAAATTCGTAGAAAAGGAAAACAAAATCAACACAGCGACACCAAGAGAGAAATCATAGGTTTAGATAACCGGGGTAGTAGCAGTCGCGTTTCTGCTTCACTGATCTTCTTCAGTGACACATGACCAAGTAAATGACAGTCAAGCTCTGAAGAAGCCAACAGGATGTTTAGCGAAACGTTAGCTCGTTCGAGTCAACAAAAACCAACGCAGGAGGAATCCAGAAGTATTATAAAATGTATTACAGTAGCCCGTAGAAGACCATATTTAGCACTGGCTCAAGCCATGATGCATTGCCGGTACTTTTGTTAAAATCTAGTTATACCCTGCCATTCTTTAAGTGGATGCTTTTCGTGGAGCATGGTATTTTAGAAAATTCTCAAAAGTGCGGAAGTATTATAAATACAGTTTTATAAATACAGAGTGTTATACTTAATTTTAACATTTGCGAAACACCCTGAGAATACCAATATGTAAGATCTAACTCGGTGAAATAAGCAGGTAATAACAACGTATATTTTTTGCAGATATCGTTAGAGCTTTAGTAAACTTGGCAGTGCTGTATTGGCGGAAATATTTTAAAAGTATATTGAGAAATTTTCCGTATTTAGTTCACTAGAACGTTTAATAGGAATTACTTCGTATAGCAGCTCAACGTGAAGCAGATGTATGAGTTACATGCTTTGGTAAAACTTGTGCGCAAAAGTATTGGATGGTTTTGACGGTGTCATGACATTATGAACACACTACATTCTCATCGGCAATATTCGTCAAGCTGTTTAATGCCCGAATATTAACGTGGGTTGAGAAACTTTCGATCAAAAGACACGAAAAAACACAAACAATCGGAACTATTCAAAATACATACAAAAAACACTGAACCAGAATAGCAGTATTTTGCTTCTGGTTTGTAAATTTTCAGTATGACAAATGACGTAGCTTAGTTGTTCCATAGACGTTTAGCCTGGACACAATCTAAGCCGCTAGTTGAAAAACAAATTCAAATCAAGTGTGATATACTGTCGTTACAAATTTAGACGTACTTTGTAAGCGGACGAGACGGTAGCAAAAGCGCCACCCTTTTTACCACGACCGGCACCTATAAAAACATGCAAAGGCATAAAATATCGGCAAACATAGATAAAGAGGCGATAGAGATAACATTGGAATTTGCGCAGGCCTGTTTTAGGATCGACATGGAAATCGAACGGGGAAAGGTCAAAGGTAATAGCTCTGAGCTCAGCGTCTCACACGAGTTCTTCAGAGTATTTACCCTGTACATGGCCGAGACGGTCTGGAAAGCAGAACCCTTGGTTCTCTTGCCACCTGTGTTAAATATTATATCAAATCAAAGAATTCCTACATCCGGTAATTCAAACGATTTATACAAATCTTTTAACATACATTTTTGATTTAGCATTTTCCGGGGACATAATAAATCAAAAATTTTTGGTTTTATATATACTTGAAAATGGAATTGGAAATGTCACGTGAAAAGGAATTGAAATTTTCCCAAATGTAAGGTCCAAGTATCTAATTGTTTTGAATGAATAGGTGGATTTTTTTTTTATAATAAAAAATTTATACATTTGACACTTGGATAGATGTCTAATAGTGGATCTATTTAAATTTATTGAAAAACTTTCTCTAATTTTTCTTTAACTGGTACAAACTGTGGACCTTCAGACTTTTCTGTGGAACTGGTCTAAAAAGTTTCAACCAAATGTTCCCTCTGACCAAAATAAAATGAATATGAATTAAATTTTTCACCTTTGGTAATAATTTGTGACCAAACAAACTAGGCTTTCTATTTTATATATTTTAGATACGATCCACGAACCCTACCTAAAGCTTTCAACTATTAAAAAATAACTCATTTTTTAATAGTTTCAACAATTTTTTCACAATAATTCTAAAAATGCAAATGCAATCCAAATGCAAATGAATTTGAAACTGTTATAAAAAGTTGAGTGGGAGCACGTCAACATGTTCGAAAGCTTACCCTTGCCACCGGCGTCGGCTCCGCCAGATTGACCAGGATGGTCAGAGAAGATTTCTTGAACCAGTTTGTTGGTACCCTTCTTGAAGAGATCTACGACGGTGTCGTTAAGGGGATCCTTGTTCTTTTCAAGCCACCCGGTGATATTGTACGGCACCTATAATGATAAGAATTCGATGGACTTCATTCTTTGAACACCGCAACTTTGAAAAACGAACTTACATTACCAGCGTAGTGAGCCAAGGTGAAGTGACCCGCGATCTGACCTGGTTTTGGTGGTTTGGGTTTCTGGTAGTTGGGAGATTTGCCCAAATGGTTCGTGTTCAATTTCTCAACGAACGTTTGATCGGTAGCTTTGGGGAACATAGATTCTTCTTCAAGAATAGACAAGATGCCCATAGGCTAGAGGGAAACTTAAGCTTTAATTTTGTTCGCGAGATTTTTCTCGCCGTCGTTGATAATTTTTCGTAGAAAAATTTACAACGGCATCGTATAATATATGCGTACGATACCTTATGGTGCTAGTGCTAGCCTGCCAAGGAGCTTTCTACTGTGCATATTCTATTTACTGGTGACGCGCGATTAAGAGAAAAAATACCTTCTCGATCAAATCTATACACGGCTGTAAATCCAAGCCAAAATCGATAAAGGTCCAAGCCACGCCTTCGATTTTGTACTCTTCTTGTTCGAGGATGAACATGTGGTGGTTATAAAATTGCTGAAGCTTCTCGTTGGAATAGTTTATGCACAGTTGATTAAAGCCGTTATACTGCAAGTTAAGTTAGTTGATATTAGCACATTTTTTTCGTCTCACCGGCAAAACTCGGATTAAACAATGTTAGTCACTTTATTCCATAGCGTTGTCCATCATACCGACTGCATTAGATATTAAGTATTAAGAATTAATAATCCAGAGTGTCTAGCCCAGGCGCGACGTTGCGAAAACTATGAAGTGTTGCCAAGGAACATGGGAAGAATAAATCTGTGTAATAATATACATATCCTAGAACAAATGGTTTGTCAATGATTTTGTTTTCAGTTTTTTACTAATTGATTGGTATAGGAGAAGAAATATTTTGGGGGCAGCAAAATTTCGCTCTCAATGAAGCAATAATTTCACATCTTTAGTCACTTTTAACAAGTAAAAAAAAGCGAATATAAAAAAACAACTTCCAGCTTCACTGCATATCTTGTTTTCACAACAGCGCACCTTGTTTGGGCTAACGTGACACCCAGTGGAATCAAACGATAAAAATTAAGGTAAGTTGATGGTTGAAATGGTTGTTTAGAGCACCATGAAGTGCCATATACCTTTTCGATGAGTTCGATACAGGCAGCCAAGTCCATACCGAAATCAATGAAAGCCCATTCAATACCTTCACGCTGGTATTCCTCTTGTTCGAGAACGAACATGTGATGGTTAAAGAATTGTTGCAACTTTTCGTTGGTAAAGTTGATGCAAAGCTGTTCAAAGCTGTTGAACTATGTGAATAAATAGACAGACAAATAACTAACAAGGTCACAAAAGATTCTGACCCTGTTGCATAGGTGGAATCCCAATTATTGCTACATATAACATATAATGTGTTAGAGACATTCCGTTGAAGTTCAATATAGTCGATGCGTTAGCGACATAGATGCGCCGACCATTTTGAAAATTTTGCTAATTTTGTTAGCCACAACGTATTGAGTTTGCGATGCGTCTGCGCTCTCTGGCCGTCCTAATTACCTTTTCGATCAACTCAATACACGCGGCCAAATCCATACCAAAATCAATGAAGGTCCACTCGATGCCTTCCGATTTGTACTCTTCTTGTTCGAGTACAAACATGTGGTGATTGAAAAATTGTTGCAATTTTTCATTAGTAAAATTGATACAGAGCTGTTCAAAACTGTTAAACTAACGAAGAAAAACAGAACAAACATTACTACAAACGTCTAAGTCGATTCTGGACCCTGTTACATGGGTGGAATCATTTGACACCAAACTATTTACATGACGCTTGTTTGTTTTGGCCAGAGTACTCTGCAAGACCAATTTCAGAACTATACGAAAATATTGTTTTACACCGCGTCCCACATGGTGTTCGCGAACACAATTCGCTTCATCTACCGTTAAAATTACCTTTTCGATTAATTCGATACAAGCCGCTAAATCCATCCCAAAGTCAATAAACACCCAGTCAATACCTTCCGTCTTATATTCTTCTTGTTCCAGCACGAACATGTGGTGGTTGAAGAATTGTTGCAATTTTTCGTTAGTAAAATTGATGCAAAGTTGTTCAAAACCGTTGTACTGTATTTACAATAAGAGACAATTTAAACATTATCGGCCAAACCAAGAACTGTAGTCGTTACTCGAAAATGACAAGAGACATGTATTTACAAAGCTCGAAGCAAAACAACCCTCGCTTGCAACCAAGGCGCTAACAATATACCTTCTCGATTAATTCAATGCAAGCAGCCAAATCCATGCCGAAATCTATGAAGACCCAGTCGATACCTTCCAGCTTGTACTCCTCTTGTTCCAAAACGAACATGTGATGGTTGAAGAATTGTTGAAGTTTTTCATTGGTAAAATTAATGCACAATTGCTCAAATCCATTATACTAGCCGGCAAAATGTCGAGAATATTAGCTAATCCAGTTAAAGTGAAATAAATAATAAACATGCGCACATTCTAGATGCAAGCACTGAAAGCTTTACCAGCTAACCTTTTCAATAAGCTCAATGCAAGCAGCCAAATCCATTCCGAAATCGATGAACTGCCACACGATTCCCTCTCTGGCGTACTCTTCTTGTTCGAGTACGAACATGTGGTGGTTGAAAAATTGTTGAAGCTTTTCGTTAGTAAAGTTAATGCAAAGCTGCTCAAAGCCGTTATACTGTCGCGTGAAAAAAAAAAGCATAAATAAACAAATTAACAATGTCTCCTGTCTTCTCGAAGTTTAAGAGGAACAAATGATATTTGATAAATGATCCATTTAAATTGAAAGAACGCTTTTTCATAGTTTAATAATTGAATCTCCAATTTTAGTAGGTATGTCAAAAAATTTAAGCACTAAGATTAGTTGGTCACTTATATTCTATTTTATTTTAATTTCATATCTATATGTATTATTGGAAGTACTCTGATATTTACTGAAGATGATTGTCCTACAATGTCCCCCCAATACGTTTTGTGCGCCTCAAAAACTTTTGCTTTTTTTAATAAAAGATAAAGATAAAATTTTGTTGGGGACTAGCTTATAACGTCCCAATTCAAATAGATCACATATAAAATGAATAGGTCCCATAGATCCAAATGGTTTTAACTCTATTAAAAACAAAAGCGTATAGTCACTTAAAAAATGCAAAATATTAGGCTGCTTGTACCATGAGTTCGTTCTAAACCGCCCGTATTTTAAAACCTGATTTTTTGGAACTCAATCATGGCCATTATTCGACATGATCAATTTTCCATTTTGGAAAAAGGCAAATTTGAGGATTATGTCCCATGACATGTGTAAGATTTTTGCGGCTTTATTAGATCATCCTTACAGTATCAAAAATTGTTTATTGTAGTGGATATAGGAAAAAAAATCTTTTCAATCTTTTAAAGAAGTGTTCTGAATGTTTTTCAATAATACAATAATAACAAAAGTCTAGTATTTTTTTGGTTTAGAAAAAAATTAACTATACGCAATTGCCGAGTACCTAAGTCCACAAACAACAAATCAACATCTGAAAAAATTAAATGAAAAAATGATAAATTTGACAGAGTTCCACCATGAACAGGTAATAGTATAGGTTACCCTTACGATGAATTTGTTTGAACTTACGTCGAAAATTTCGAACCCGGCAATATCCAGTACACCGATAAAGTGTTGCCTCTTTTGTTTAGTGTCGAGGGTCTCATTACACTTCTTGACCAAGAACTTGAACACCCTGTCGAACATGGCTTTAGACATGGCACCGACCGAGTAGTTGACCTGGTTGACGTTACGACCTTGGGTGACGAACTCGTTACCGACCTTGATCCTTGGTTTGACGAAAGCCGTGTACATGGCCTGGGTGTCCACGCCCAACAGTTTTGCGACTCTGTCACCTTCCTTTAGTGGAAACACAGTGCATATAGCAGCACAACGGCATCGTTTTAATCTATATTTACATCGGTGCCGTCGGGTTCAGCCTGTTCTTCGCGACCCCTTTGCTTGAATTTCATGGTACCCATGTGCATGACGGCTGCGGTGATCTTGTAAATGTCGTTCTTCTCCTCTTGGGTGAAGCCCAGAATGTCGAAGGCTTGCTACATTTTGACATTCGGGAAAAGTTAATGATCTTCCTGTCGGTTTTGGATACATGGTTTAGATAAAGCAACGCACATTAATTCGACGATTGTCCAGGTCAAAGCGTTAGTTGCCTCACTAATCTTTATTTTGTTGAATATTTACTTGAACAAAGTTTGACATTACTTACTAATTAATGGACAATCCAAGCACAAATCAGCGTGAAAGTCATTTTGAGTTTTTTAGTACAAGAGGTCTTTGTCAAGGACTGCATAATTGAACTAATATTAATCCTAGAGGTGCGTGTACTTAAGGAAACCATGTATACACTAACTCACAAAATTGTACCTCATTGAAGAGCATTAGTTTGAAAGCCACAGCGTCAGTTGCGTACGCAGTAGACGACACAGATTGTGTGCACAGAGTTTAGACCCAATTCCAGCGGAAGATAAAAAAATCGAAAACCATTTTTACCTTTCGACGGAATTTTTTTGGATTACATTGGGACACAGGATGTACAATAACCAGACATCACTGCCTCTTTTATATCAACTTACATCAGTCAATGAGAACTCCTCTGCATCATCTACGCCCTGAATTGTTACTTTACCCTGAGATACGTTGTTGTAGTCGTAAATGTTATTTGTTAGAAAGCATAGGTCTAACAAAAGAAAAGTCGAATTAAAGAGCGTGGTAACTATAAACGTATAAGCGTATCTCAAGTTCAACTCTATCGTAGCTGCGGAAAAATGTAGCGAGAAAGCAAGTGCAGCCATAACCAAAAACGCTTGTGTGGGTGTGAAAAGGAGCGAAGTTAGATTAACACATAACTTACATCGGTAATGGAAAACTCTTCGCCATCGTCTACAGAGGGAATTTTCGTTTTCCCTTGGGACACGAAATTGTAGTCCATGATGTTATTTGACAAATAGCACAGTTCTAGGACAAAAGCGGTCAGTTTTAAAAGGCGGTCAGGTCCTATTCCAATAGGTGATAACCGATAAAACTGAACTATTTTGAGGGGTACGCGTATTAGACAAGAGAAGTTTGGAACATCCCTAACGATTAAGAACAAATTGCGAATGTTGTTAATCTTTTTCTGGGGATACAAAGTTGCAATCGTCGATGTTATTGGATAACAAACATTTAGGGGTCGAATGTATCGTTCGACTTTTCAATTACTGAACAGGGGGCAACAGTACTAACGCATTTCTACTAGGGGAAAACAAATACTGGGCAATCTACGGTTCATTAGTTCACAGGGGTAACACTGGGCCCGCTTCCCGCGGTTATTAGACACCAACACAAACAACCGACAAATAAAACAACTGTTCAAATATGCGGACTTGTTCTTTTCCCCGCTTACATCTGTTAATCTAAATTCCTCTCCGTCATCTACATTGGGGATGTTTGTTTTTCCTTGCGATACAAAGTTGTAATCCATAATGTTATTGCTCAGATAACACAATTCTGAGAATTTGAGAAAACATGTTAATAGGGTCGTCGCTGTAAGATACAGGGTTTATCTACAAAAACATTGCGTCCCATTCGCTATTGTAGTGGAGAACGACAGTCTCGAATGCGTTGCGCGTACGCGTTTAGGAGTTGTGATAGCACAATGTGTCATAAATAAAGGGCGGTTTTTAAATCGATGCCCTGGCGAAGGGTGAAACCCACTTACATCCGTCAAAGTGAACTCCTCACCATCGTCTACGTTCGGAATAGTTAGCTTTCCCTGAGCTACGTAGTAATAATCTTTTAAGTCGTTCGACAGAAAGCACATTTCTAAACGAAAACTTTAGTGAGGTTGATGCACCAGTACATATACAGTATTTATATGGCACAATTAATCATCGCGACAGTAGACATCCAAATATGATAAAAGGAATCAGATTGAGACCTCAGAAGGCTCTAGTGGTTGATGGTATTGATTTCGTAGGAGCAGATGTCTCTGACCTAAGTATGCAAGTGTTTGAACATTTCAACGTGAGATTTGGCACACGGATACTAAAATCATGTTTTTTTCGGGGAACTTTCGTTTCTCGGATCATTTGATTCGATATAACTTAAATCCGGTTACCGCGTTGGTTTTTACCAGCAAATTAAAATATTTAGATTGAGGCTTAACTTGATCCTTCTAAACCAATACCAACATCTTCGGTGCCACGCGTACATGTAAAAGTTCCATGACTCCGTCTAACAATACTTGCCTTTAACACCGGGAACGGAACCAGACATGATCTGGTAAAAGATGTGGTAGGATCTTTCCAGAGACTGCTGAGAAATGACACGAGCCTTCTCGAGCAGATCTGTAAACAGTCGTTTAATACTTTTAACGCACACAATGATGATAGCAACTTACAAGTTTCGATATCGGCACCAGCCAATTTACCAGTTGGACCGAAGTGAATTCTGATGAATTTACCCTAAACGATTTAATGGGTGAACGGTTCAAGTTAAAATTTCGAGCCTTGCAATACTTACGAAACGAGACGAGTTGTCGTTACGGACAGTCTTGGCGTTACCGAAGGCTTCAAGTACGGGATTGGTTTGTACGACCTGATCTTCGAGAGTACCCTTCTTCTGTTGCTCTTCGCTTGGTTTCTTGGTGGAAGCGCCGACGGTGGCGAAGTACGCGATTACTTTTTTCGTGTTTTCAGTTTTTCCGGCACCAGACTCGCCACTGGAATCGAATTGCAGTTTTAAACGAGTTGATGTTTCGTACGGCTGCTTCACGTATAGGAAATATTTTCAAACGTTCTTTTTTAGGGGTTTTAAGAATTGATCCTTATAATTACAATAACAGTAGGAGATACAGGGTGAGTCAATGTTACGTATTAGTGATCCCAATAATATTTTACTTTTAGATTGAAGTAGAATTTGAAATATACTAAAATATGACTATAATATTTGATAATTGTTTAATGAAATCTGTTTTCTTAATGTACACGAAAAATACGATTTTGTGTCCTCAAGATACGTTTCATTTATTTTTAACGAGAGTTCATAAATTAGTGATAAATTACCACCCTCAAAAAAGAACTTTTCAACAGCTCTGTTAACTAAATGAACAACAGCACTTACGTAATCAACATAGACTGGTTTTCGTGATCTAAAAAATAAAAAAAATGAGTAAGTACAGGTTTTGGAGAGACGGCCTGGGAAACTTACTGGTCAACATGTTGACGTAGGCGCCGTCAGAAATGGCGAAAATATGTGGAGGAACTTCATTTCGCCTCTTGCCACGGTACAACTTGGCACAACGGTTGGTGTATACCGGGAAGCGCTTGTAGGGATTGATGGCAACGCAGAACAAACCAGAGTATGTCTACGAAAAGTGATCGGGAATTAACCACGCCCTCGCTCGGAAATGGAAGAAAACACAGAGAAAAACCGCATCCTTGGTCGGAGTTTAATCCGTTTTCAAGGCAAAAAGGTACAAAAAAAAAACACGACTTGGCTGCTACTCGCAGCTTATCCAAGTGTGTAGAAAAAGAAACTGTTGGTGTTAGCACAGAAGTAGACTGAAGTCAAATTTACATATAGTACGGAAACACTTCAAAACTGACATCCTTGGGCGGAGTTGTTCCGCTTTCAAGGCATTAAAAAACACTAGAGATACTAAGAATCGAATCCACACAGCTTGTCGGCAGAAGTCAGATGTCCGAAGTGTGTGGAAACACGTATTGTTAGCACAGAGATGACCAACCACAGCAGCAGTATCTGGGTCCGCATCTCGACAGGTCCATACATCTCTAGACTTACGTAAATAAGTTTGGCATAGTAACGCTGTTTCAAATTATGCAAAACCGACGCGTCGTTAAGATAAGTCAAGTTAGACATATCTTCGGCCTTTTCGTATTTTGGAGGATTCACTTGGGTGACTAGATCTTTCTTAAAGTTCTTCTCCTATGTAAATAAAAGGGCAACGGTTAGTGCTGTTTCGGGGTACTTACGTAAATGAGTTTGGCGTAGTAACGTTGTTTCAAATTGTGCAAAACTGCTGCGTCGTTTAGGTAAGTCAAGTCGGCCATATCTTCGACTTTTTCGTATTTCGGTGGGTTTACTTGGCTCACTTGATCTTTCTTAAAATCCTTGGTCTGTACTCAAAAAGCAGTGTTAATGTCGCGCGGAAGTAAAAGAAGCCTCGCTGCGCATTAAGACAACAGAAACTCGATAACTCATAACTCATAAATAACATATATTGATATATAGGCTGTTATGTAATAAATATTCGATATTTCATAGGGTGACTTTTCAAGCTGAAGGTTACTAAAAACGTATGTTTTTAAGTTTCATTTTTATTTTGTTTTTCTGCATATTTATGAAAGCAAATTAGTAGCTGAAGGTTTTTTGATTCCCCAAGCACCAAGATAAATTGGATGACTTTTTTTCTGCTAGATTCTTGAAACAATATGGTAGAATCAGATTACTATAAGTAGTGAGCTTATTGTATCATCTAAGGCAAGATTAGGATGAATGTTTAATTATTTTTTACTTGTATTTCATGTGTTTTATATTTCCTGCAGAGAATAAAGAGCTGCCTATTTATTATATTTATTTATCTGTAATCTGATCGTTCAAGTCTGTTTCATTCGATATCGAAACGTAGCTGAAGAAAATTAGTTCCAGTAATATTGGTTAGTTTGTCGAGTTTCTCTTTTTCCGATAGCTGTCAACCGGAAGTGATTTGGAGCAGTTATAAAACAGAATTAATTATATGTGCATTATAAACCTCTTGCGAATAAGTTTTTGGCTTACAATCCTGTAAATAAGATTTAGTTATAGCAAATATAAATATGGATAAAAATGGATAAAACAAATTGGTGAAATAGTGAAATAAGTAAAATTCCACAATTTCTTTAATAGTTTTTTTTATTTTTTCATTTATTTCGTTCTTATACACAAATATCAATAACTAATTCGCATATAAAGAAAGTGCCGCATCTAACTCGGACTTCCAATTGACAATTTCACTTGTACCCAGACATTTTGTTCTGAAAATCTTTTGTCTGAAATGACAGCTCTGGATGTCCGACAATTTTTTTTATCAAGAGCGTTTTTGTGTTTCTTAATTCTGCGTTTTGGTTTCTCTGACGTAGACCTTTAGAGCAATTGAGTTGAATCTGAATTTGTTGCAAAGGTTAAAATAATTATTAAGAAATAATAGTAAGTGATTAGCTGGAGAAAGTTTCAACAATAAAAAACGGTTTGCCGTTAATCGAACACAAACAGAATATTGAAATTTGAAAGTGCGTAATTTGGCAAAAAATGGATGTTTGATTCTGAAAGTGTTATCATTCGTTGAAAGCTACTTTAGTATGTGTGGGTGAGAGAGCATCAATATCGTAAGTGATTTGGATCCGCATCGAAGGTTACCTCTCCACCGGGGACAAGGACGGTAACCAAGTCACCCTTCGTGCCCCTGATCTCTCCAAGCACGAATCCTTCTTTGTCGTCCGGTACCCAGCATGATTTCTTGGCATCGTAGGGCTTGGTCTGATCTATACGCTTCTGTTCCAGTGAGACGAAGAGGTATGGGGTGGGATCTTCATCTTCCTGGTTCGCTGGTGCTTTAGGCATCGTGAACGGACGGTTATGAAGGAGCTACTTGAGACACGTATAAAAGCCCTAGAGCCTTCCTGCAAATATAGAAACAATCAATTCGGAACTATGGAATCAAAGAGTGTGTGCTTAGTGCTTTTGTTCGTATAGCTTAGCACCTAGATCAACGTTTATAAAATTTTCGCAGTTCTCGTCCAAATAATTTACGAAATCTTCGGGCGAGTTCCTCGTCCGACATCTTAAATTAAATCGTTCGGTAATCGTCGGGTTTGAGAACCGCTCGCGTCTAAATGCTACGCGGCTAATGCCTGGAGTCGACTATTTTTAATGCATTATTTATAGATTAGAATGTGTGTTGTGAATTTTATTACATTTGTTTGAACGAGGAATATTCAAAGACCGTGGCAAAAAATTGGCACAGTTCGGACCTAATGACGAAATCTAAAAAGCGGTTGATTGGGTTTAGCTTGCGATAAGTCCATTTATGGAAGTGTTACTGACCAAACCCGATTTTAGATCAGTTTGCCCTAGGCTAAGTACATTCACGAGAAACAATAAAATGAGCCAAAAGAACCAGTTGTCCTGCAAGAAACAGGTTTATCCTACACGAAAACTGACCTATTTCGAAACTAATCACTAAATTTAAAAACGAGGAGGTTCAAGCGCTTCTGATTGAATCCATTTATGGCTATGTTACTGACGAAACCCAATTTCAGATCAATCAGTTTATCCTGTCTTAAGTCAAGAAACTCGGAAATGAGCTAAAACTAGTCAGCGTTAACTCAAAACCTAGGAGAGCCTGAACCAAACCAGTTTATCTATCGCGAAACATGATGGTAGTTTGGTTAGTTTTTGCTGGTTTGGACTCAACCGCCTAAGAACAATTCAAAAAAGAAAGCTTCGACTAGAGACTGGAGAAAATTCATCACTTAGAAGGAATGTAGCTTTAAAATGAGTAAAGTATGAGCTGAATATGTAACTCGATACATCCACTTGAAACGAACTTTCATGATTTCTGCTTCCAGAATTACGTTTGAGCGACATTTAATTATTCTTAATAGTAAAGGAAAATGTTGAAAATCGCACAGCTTTGATGTAGCCGATCGTATTTTCGGTGCGATACAACGACCGGGGAAAAAAACTCGAAATAGGCCTCGGCAGACCCAAAAATAGATTCAGCACAGTTAACGCGTCATCCAAGTAAGGTGTGACTGACAACCTGAACATTCAAAATGGCTGCCGTGCATAAGCATCGCGTTTTGCGTGTTTGACTTATTCGACGGGCGATCAATCGGATCGATATTTTAAGCTCGGATTACGTAATCAGTTTATCCTATCGGAACTTTACGCTAACTAGATCGAACTGATCAGATTGACGTCGATTTTTTGAGTAAATTATATCGATCAATGGACACTCTAAAAGTGTCATACTAGCATCGAATTGTGCGCTCTGTAAGCTCGCTCCTCTTAAATCGTGAACGAATCGAGAACACATGTCACTAGATCGAATTAATCCATGAAATAGCACCTGTTCCACAGCAATTTAGCGCTAGTATGACACTCCTAGAATGGTCACTTGACTTTGCACTTGTCACAGGAAAGCGGTAGCACCAAACGACACAGTCCTGAGTGTGTGTAATCCACGAAACACTATATATATATATATATATATATATATATATATATATATATATATATATATATATATATATATATTTGGGAATGTGTTACGACAGAAATGATGGCACGGAGCACACGTTTACACTTACGTTCGAAAAGGCAGTCTGGCCGAGTTTCTAGCCGTTACGACAAATATAAACGTGGTTACCAGATCCTGAAATGTAATGCCGGTTTCTATTGGCCGGCGAACCCAACCAATCGCCAATGAGGTTAGAGAAAACTCTGTCTCCCTTTTTAGGCGTAGGTTACCGGGCAGTTGGCTAGAAATACATTTCGAACTGTGCGCTTTCGAATACTTTTGATCGCGCGAACGTTCTGGAAGGGGAAATTTGGGTTTGATAACTTTCGGAATCGCATTTTTGAACTGGCCGGCTAGCCCGGATGGTTGGCCACGCCGTTCCTCGTGACATAATACTTAGGCAAATGGAGTGATATTTTTTGTAAAAAAAATACATTCTATGTGCAACACGCATCGGGTTTAGAGTTTACGGTTTTTCCTATTTCTTTGAATACCATCTGAGCTTTATAGCATAATATAATATAGCTAACTTTTACATTCTTCTCGTTTTCGTGAACAGATGCCATTACGATATAAGCGTAATTGTAAAAAGTAGTCAATATCGTTAAGGAAAGTATAGGAAAAATAAAATTTTAAGCAATTTCTAGCATTTATATTTTATGCTACTCAACAGTGGGGAGAAAGAGACATTTTCGAAAAATAACCTGTTATGATCAAGAAATGAGTTTTCATGATTTTTGACAATGGCAATGGTAAGATATGCTTTTTAGAAATTGAACTTGTGGTATCCGCTGGCTTATACACTTAAACAATTCTATATACAAATTTTTACATGACTTGCATAAAAAGTTATTACTTTTAGGTCATACATATACAAACCATTAACAGTAAATTTGACATTTTTTTGAGAGGACCCTACCATAACATTTTTTTACTTTCTTTAATTTGGTTCTATCATCTTGAAAAGAAATATATCTGTCAAACTTCTGCTGCCATGTATGTCTAAGAAGAAAGAAAGGCAAAAATAATTAGTTTATCGAATAGTAAACGAAAATATACATTTTTTCCACTTTTTTTGTTTCATGATAAGAGCAATTTACAGGTTGATATGATGACATTATTGTTATTCAGATGAGAAACAGATATATTCGTCTTTTTGTTTATATTTGGAACACTATTTATTTATTTATATTTTATTATAAATCGCAAACAGGGATCATTAAAAAATAATTTAGGGTAACTTACAGTACCCATATTACCAAAGTAACTGTGGGACTTGAAGAATGTTGTTGAGTAGAAACCCTACTTCTTATATAGATATTATTTCTAAAGCAAAAATGAACTGTACATATAACTGAATATTCTCAGGAATATTCTATTATAGCTTCCATCTGATAATTTTCTTTTTTTCCATAAGCTTTGTTTTTGGTTTTTTTGTTTCTAGATTTTTAAAAGTTACAATTTTGACGTCGAAGTCCAAAAGGATATGGATAATAGAATTTTTGTTTTTTATGCATGTTCTAAGCACGGTAATATTAACTAAAGGAAGGTTTTTATTTTTTTTTTAAAGTAAAGTTTGCACTGCCTGACAGGGGATATGTTGTTTATAAATAAGTTATTAGGGTTGTGGGTTTCGTTTGCGAAGTTATGACGAGTTGACTGTTAAAGTGAAGTTAGGGGCTCAGTCATTCAAGTCAAGTGGATCGAAACAGTGATTGTGCCAGGACTTAGATTTGATAAACTATCTTCCATTCCTGCACTAAAATCTTTAAAAAAAATACCATTTACAATTTATTTTACCTCAATTTTTACCAAATTTGTGGAGAAATGGTTTTGAATTTTCTGCAATTAAATCGAATTTTTATTTAACGAATGAAGTAGTGATCAGTGGAAGAAGTTTTATTCTGGCACTCCTTATTACCGAATTTCAAACACTTGGCCGATTTCTTTTGATTTGATATCAACGAACTTGCTGAAGCCGCTTTAAATGGTTGGTTGGCGTTGTTTGCGGACACTACTTTCTTAATAAATAAAAAATTCTTACTGAAACACTTGTAAAACATAACTTAACTATTAACGAAGGGAAAACAGTTTCTTTAATCTTCTCTCAAAGGCACAGCAACGAAGTAAATAACTGTCAAAGTGCAAAATTATTGGGAATTCGTTTAGACCACACAGAACAAGTGGTCAAAAAACTCTCAAAAAATATCTTTCTAATAAGTAGCCTAAAGGCACTGTAGATTTGGCAGCATATCATGCTGTAATTCGCTTTCACTTGCTTTATGGTCTGACAAACTGGTGCCAGCAAGCCTTTGGCCAAAACGTAGGGTAATTTGAATAATCATAAAACTCACCTTCAGAGAGGATCGAAATTTTCGGAGCTTAAAATCCTTACATTGGCAAGCGCTCATATACTTAAGTGTCTAGTTTATGCTCACAAGATTCAAAAAGTTTTTTTGCATGTGAGTACAGTTCAGCCCTACAAAACATGGAATAGGGACAACCTCAAACCTGATTTATCCCGTCCTAATGCGAATAGGCTAGGTTCAAATTACTAATGCGTCCATTTCTTTAATAAACTTAAACGCGAGACAAAACAACTCCCAATAAATAGGTTCAAAAATTTAGTCAAGGACTTTTTAATAAATCAATCCTTTTACAGCTCAGAAGAGTTTATCTTTTTTCAAGATATCAATAACTATATCTCTAGTCAGAGGATTCCAGCTCTTCGACTCTCCCCGCTTTCTGTGATAATCTTCGTTCAGCTTTAATGTATGTCCAGATGTCCGCAAAGCGCTAATATGACTGATTCTATAACTGATTCTATGTTTGTAACATGCTAATAAATAAAATGAAATGAAATGAAAAATGCCAGATGGTGATATTTGTTGTGAGTCGTAGCTCGTAAATACAGTACGGATATTGATCGTGGTGCCATTACTGCAACATTGATTGGAAAATGTTCCGTTTAACATCCAGTACGAAAATAATTATATACTCTGCGATGTAAACCAAGCTATCGATCCTAGAAGCAACGCGACGAGAAAAAAAATTCCAATCATATGTCCAAAATTTCGATCAATCGCATTCATGTGGACGCGAGCGAAATTGGAATAATTAATTTCCTAGCTCGTGTGTAACACGCGGTTTCCGTTAGTTAAGATAAACTTGACGCTATTTAAAATAATTTTTCAGATTAATTTACTGCGACGCAATGTCACGCAAGCAATTTTTGCTTTGGTCTCTGAGTTACCACGCGATTTCGTCGGTAATGAAAATCCACTTAGTTCGATTTGCCAAGAAATTGAAATGCCAACACTTAAAGCCAATTATTATTAGCCACTTGAACTGGTGAAAGGGATTTGCATTTGTGATTTATTGCTTTAACTGCGTTCACTTCCCCGTCGATCGTATAGTAGATAATGGGTAAAGTCCGTTTCAGGAAAATTCGTTAATTTTTAGACCACCTTGTGTTCAAGTATGGATCTATATAAAAGTTCAGATAAACTTGTATTGGAAAAAACTGGCTGTTTTCTTTTAAAGCAATATGTAGCCAGATTATAACATGAGACGCAGAAAATGATTATGTTTACTAATGATTTGACACCACCAAAAACGGACAAAGCAATTCAGGAAGTGCTTTTCAAACCAAAGGGCTTTTTGGTTAGTTTGTTGTTATGGTTTTTTCATAGATATAAGAAAGTGGCCAATTGCTTTTGAATGGGATTATCCAAGGATGATCATTAACATACAATGCAATAAGATTATTACCTAAAGTTTCGGAATTTAAATTCTGGTAAAATTGTGGTCCGTAATAGAAAAACAAACGGCCATATTGACGAAAATTCCAACATCAACTGTATGGAAAATTGTGAATAATCCCATTTCAGCGAGGAAAAAAAAGAAGCGATGCTGACATTTTCTCGAGTGCAGATGAAAATTATTAAGATACAATACGGCGTAAAATTTACCAGTTATACGAGGAACAAAGCGTGCCTACATTAGATATTAATTAGGAGGCTTGAAAAAGATGAAGCCGGTGTTAAAAAATGTGGCAGAACTACCATATGGAAGTGTATTCAACATATGGGTTTTAGATTTAAAAAAATACATACATAAATAAATAAATAAATAAATATTTTTTATAATCTTTCCTAACAAAATCTCAATTAATTAAATTCTAAGCAAAGCACGGACCTGTTCGGTCATATTTCATTATTACAGCTTGCCCGGGTCTTTCCTTAATTCGTATCAGTTAGTCACTTTCACTATGAACAGACTTTAGTGTCCCTTATTTATGTTACTATTTTCGAAAAGTGAAGACAAATTTATCTTTATCATATCGAAAAGTTTGTTTTCATAATCGCCTTCTACCGGATATTCCGAAAACTAGTGTAATTGTGGCCAATAATGTAATAAAGTGTTCAATTCAAACAATACAAAAACTTAGCTATCATCAAAGTGATAAAAACAGTATTTATATATTTATATTTACCGAATGGTTGCAGATGATACAAAATATATAAAAGTCCATGATAGTGTATTAAAGAACATTACAAATTATTCCAAATCACAAACACACATATAGTTTAAATACATAATCAATCGAGGCGTCAGTTGCCATCATCAAAGCTTCTCTCATATGCTGTATTTACTTTTTTAGACACCATTTGGTTAGTTTTCACTTCAGATATAGTTCAAAATCGTTTAAGTTGATCATTGCTTACCACATTTAAAGAAACTACCAGAACTAGGCGAATTAAAAGGAACAAGAGACCCTTGCTACAAAGAAGTATTAATGTAACTTAATTCAAAAATATTGGCTTATTGACTTCAAAAGTTTATCATAGGAAACAAATGAACATTTCTAAAACCAACTTCCATTTATTTTAATTATTATTATTTTGCATACTTCTTTATATTATTTATGTTATTTATTGAAAATTAATTGATGTGTAGAATTTAATATGTTAATTATTTGTGACACATTATAATGTATTTTTATTGCAGTACCGAAAAACGTATGATATGTGACATTATTGTGAAAATTTTAATATTTTCCGAAAGTGACAATAGCGTAAAATATATATGACACACGGGTAAATATTTTCACGCCACGTATTAATACCGTATTCCAACCTCTAGTTGCTTTACCCCACTAGACTGCACCGTCACACAAATCTACGG